AACGGGCAGCTCGTTTCCCACACCATGTCTTTTGGCATCAAATGAGGATCAAGGGTCAGAATAGATTTGTTGTCCTTTGTATGGAAATGTGCATGCTTTATATAGATTGATTTCATTTCCTGATCTTACTATAGCTGACATTTAAATTTTAACAACCTGGCAAGTTAAAAAAAATGAATACAGGATCACAATTTTAATGTTTAGATATAAAAAAGATTATTCATTTTGATGAGATAGTTCAAAAGAAGAATATCAAATAAAATCTTTTCGCCTTTTTCACAATGATGACGGATACATGAAATACTCTTTTCAGTAGTAGATGTAATCTATCCGGGAATGAAAACGACCCTCTCCTGGTTCACAAAAGGGCAACTGATACGGGTCTATAGCTCTTCTGTCTTATACCTTGTCAATATGAGAAAAAAAAATTGTGATTATCTTCATAGTGGCTTTTTACCAAACAATCCAGACTTCCTGCTTAAAGTGTGAAAAAAAGGTCAAGGGAATCATTTGAAATATATTCTTGTCAAAATATGGACATTTTAAATACTATTTCACCGACAGAGAGACTTCCTGTTGATTTGGGAGCAAAGTCAATCAGCAAATATTTAATTCACAAAGAGACTGTAAAGAAACATCAGATATCACATGTTTAGATGTTTAAAGTCAAACATATGATCAGTGTTTTCTTCTTAGGGTATCAATAATGAAATTCAAATAAGGAGACTTTATTCATTGAGATATAGTCCATGTTTGTTTGGTGAAGTGTTGACTTAGCCTTACATCCTGTTTTTTGTGTATGTAGAAAAGTTAAAGAGGTTTTGTACAACAGAAAATGATACCCACAGATGCATTGTCAATGTTTAAACATTCAACTAAGACAAATTACTTCTGTAAATACCAGAAAGGGAGCATATGGCAGATTGACAAGGGTTACCTAGTGGACAAAAAGTAGATGGATGAGAGTGGACAGTGGTCACTGGCCAGAGGTGGTCTGACCCTTTAGTGAACATACCTAGTCCCACCAGTCGTGTGAAGATGCTATCTTAAGCCCTTAGGACACCCTAGCTTACATTTATCTTGCATTGAAAGTTTGAAATGGGTGAAAAGCTTTAGAAAGGGCTCAAAAACTTAATCCTTTGTGAACTTTCAGAAACATTTCTTTGATGTGGGGGATAGAGTTTTATCAGATGATAAAGTCCTTCTGCTTGGGTTACATCACTTGAAAATTAAAATGTCTGGAAGTCCCAAAGGTGTACAAAATACCCTCAGACCAATATAGTCTGGCCATTTCCATTGGTTATAAAGTGTTTTGAACATATTGAAAGTTGTTACAATAAAACCAGTTTTTAATTATAAATAAACTTAATTTTTCTTCAATTTCATCTATATTTTAGACTGAATTTTGCTATCATAACCAAATTCTACATAGATTCAATCATTTGTAAATTAAATTTTTTATATGATATATCAACTACAATAATAACTGAAAGAGCTTTGTACTATCTGACCAACAAATATTTAAACACGATCACAGAATCTGTTAATTAACCTGTAGATCAAGTGGTAAAATGACAGACGGGAAAAAATCTGCTCTCGTGATATTGTTTCTTACCTGTAAAAAACAAAATGCTTCAAATGCTTTGTGTGTACAAGTAGCCCCTACAAACTGTTAGAAGCTGAATAAATAAGTCTGTGTTATTAACCTGGAACCCTTTTGAAGTCCCACAGAGAAATCAGAAGTCCTAATTAAGCTGAAACTGTAACAAACTAGACTAGCATTTATGTCTTATAAAAGACTTTATTGGTCAATTTGTCTTCACAAAAGCCATGATGAATGGCAGAAAAATGTATAATAGGCATTATTTTGTTTGGAAGATCAGATGGTTTACGAATCAAACGAATGACAAGAGATTGACAAGACATAAAATAACACCATTAAAAATGTATGCATTTTATGATGAAGACAAAGAATTTGACATGCAGTGGAAAGTAGAAATATTTTCCCAGCAACTTCAAAAGAATAGTTTCCTAATCAAAGCATGTAAATATTTTCATAGGAAAAATAATTTTTCAGTTTAAGTACGATGAGGACATTTCACTTTGTAGAGTTGATAGAGCCAGACAAAAATCTATTTAGATACTTGACTGAATGGTCAGCCCTAATGACCATATGATGACCATATCATGCTTGGCAAGTGGTCAGTGCTGTGAATGTCCCCTGGGAAGTGGACATTGGCTACAAACTGACCAGTGTCTGGTCATCAGGCCCCATTTCTCACTGCCCTTTAATTAACTGGGAGGACTATAAGAAAACAGTTTCCCTTTCTACTTTGTTATTTCTTCTACAAGCAAATCACTCCCTCTGGATCCAAACTCATTCACTGTTTATTTTTATTTATACTGAGCCAGTCTTTGGTTGTGAATGAGCAAACAGACTGGACAAAGACTTCAAAAATGAAGCTCTTGAGGTGAACATTCAGAATATTGGTCAAGGTTTCTGTTGCTTCTAATTAGTGATGTAACACTGACCATTAGTGACTACAGGGGTTCCCAAGAAAATTGACAAATAAACTCCCTCTAAATTACACAGTCTACACAAACAACAATACACCGAGTCAGTCCTCCCTAGTGGCCAACAAGGGGGTAACCGATGACCATCCTGATAATCAGATTCAAAATTGCTGGTTAGGAACTTATCCCATGGATCCATTGCACACCCTGGGAGTAAATTACAAATAAATGGTTTGATCAAAATGAAATTGGTTATGATGTAATGTATATAAGTGATATATATAAGTAGGCTGTGTTATTACACTAGGTTGTTTGGGAAATTAGCGAATAATTGATGTAGGGCTGGTATGATAGGCTTATATACATTGTATTAGCACATGCATGATAAGCTTTAGTTTACTTCCAGCTCGTTAAGAGTAGAAAATGGAACTATTACATACTTACAATGAATTATTAATTGCATATACATGTAGGCATTATAATGAGAACCATGTTTTGACCAATCAAATATAAGAGAATTAAACATGAACGTCTACCACTGAAAAAACTTATACAAGGACAGTTGCTATGGCAACATTAAATATTATTTAATACTAAAATCAAAAACTATAAAGTAATGAGATTTCAATACTGACTCCAAAATAACACATTCAAAATATATTGTGAATTATGACATATATAATACTTTCAAGGTCTATTAAAAAATGTTTCGCCTTTATTTTTTTTTACTTAACATTTCAGAGATTTACCAAAACAACCATTATTTGAAGTCTTGAAGATTGCATTAAATTTATAAAGTCCTTATCTTGGCAAAAATACAAGCTTATCTTCAGAAATAAATTATCTACACTCTTTGGGATGAATGTCTGTCATCACTGGTCATTATTGTGTCCATAAATTTGGTACATCTATAGCAAACCATGATAACTTCAAACACCTGCTCGTCAGCATCGGAAACAAAGGGGAGATAATCTAAGAGTCAACCATCAGTGTTTATTTAAGAGACATGCTTTATCACCTCTCTAACTTGGTTCTCTTATCAAATTAATTAATTGCTGGGCTCTGTCTGTCATGAAGTTTATTTCTGTCCGTTGCTAATGTCCAGAATCCTCTATGGTGGTCAGTTCTACTGGTCAAGCCTTATTGCCAAATCTTTCCTTGTCATTGACAAATTAAGAACACTATAACAACTGACCAAGCTTCAGCATGCATCAACAATTACAGTTAAAATCAAATTTATTTTACCCAAACAAAATTGTCAAATATCCAAAACTTTTCTTTCATGTTGTTCATCTGTTGCATTTAAGGCATTATGGATTGTAATTAATAAATGTTAACAGTTATAGCAAGCCCAGTAACAGTTGGTGAATAATTTACCATTCTGTGACGGTATTAATAGTCTAATATTCAAATTCATGCCAGGAACAGTTGGCCAATGATTCAGCTGTGAATAATGACATTTAAAATGTCAAAAATCAAATTCCTTTTAGTCAGAATATTTTATTTCATGAACCACAAATTGTTCTGTAGATGAGGAAAAAAGGCCTGATATTTCAGTCACTTATGAGAACATTTGATCTATAAAGGGCATTAAACCTCACAGAAAAACCTGGGGGAGAAAAAAAAGGACTGCGGATTTTTTAACCCTCTGTTTTCTTGAATTTGGAGGAAAAAGCGTAGAAAATTACAAATAGTATTCAAACATTTGTCAAGTCAGCAAAATAAGCTTTTCACAATACAAAGTACCACTGAGACAGGTATTTGTTAAAGGAACAGAATATCCAATAGAAAGCAGGTATTTCTTATCCCCTGAAAGTTCACGGTTTATAATCGATGATTACAATAGCGACACAATAGATTGATATATTCTGTACACTGATGATATTAAACTTCTCATCTTTAAAACATATTCCCAGGATTATTAAGATGCACTGTTGGAGGCGACTAATCCACTTTTCCTCGGCTTTACAGGTGATTTTCGGATCACCTTGATATCCTATGAAAGGGAGATTACTCTTGGCTTGGGATTAGTGCCCTGTAACAATAGCAGCCATTTCCTGTGCACACAGCTTAGTATCAATCTTGGGGATCAGGTGTTAGTCCCCTATAGGGAGGGGGAGCTATCTCAATAATCAGTTAGCACTGCAACGTGTGGCACATATAAAACATACATCTTCTTGTGTACTTTTTCTCATTCATGTACACCTCAGTTTCCTGTGACAGGCGAATATCAAGGTGAAAAGTTTTTTGTGAAACTTTCTCAACGTGAGAGGTACACTTCCTTCTTGCCACCACAAATAGCAATTTCTGGGTGTACAAATTTTGTGGCACTTTAAGGCAGAGACAAACTTCACACTTTGGGACACAGAAAAATCATTGTACTTATTGAAGTAAAGAAATTTCACACCATGGAATAGACTGCACATGTGGTAAAAAGATGTGGCAGACCAGATGGTGTTTAGTTTGATACACACTGTGCCTATGGAATGATTGAAATCCAGGAGGATATAGCCATGACGAGTTTACTAGGAAATTGTAACATCACTTGGCTAACTACTACTTATGTACATAAAGGTAACTAGTTACTATATCAGTTAAATGATATATTTACCTGTATATCTAAATCAATAATTTTACAGGTGTACTATATATCTTTATAGGGTTACATTCTTGTAACAAAAAGTAACTTTGAAATTGAATTAATTCATTAATTAAATAATTAAGTTGACTAATTAGTCTTAACCAGGAATATGTAACATAAACAGTGATTGGTTGGTTATAATCTTAACCAGTACCTATACACCACTTACATCACAGTAAACACATTACAGTAAATAAGTAAATTACAATGATATTGTGAATCCTTTCCAGTGAAACATTTTAATGTAAGATGAAGTAAAATGCATGTTTTAATTCATTTAAATTTTCATAAATGAATTTATAAACTGAAATGAAATTTCATATTTTAAATCAGATCAATTTGTATTACCATCTCCTACTAGTGTTTTTTTTTTTTGGTGCATACTCTCATATTTTATATTCTTTTCATTATTTTTATTTTATTTTACATTTAAGCATAATATTTTTTTTTTAAATTATCTGATTTTTTGCTTAAAAAATACAGCATGAAATTCCTAAATCTTATCAGGGAGGAAAAATGCATTTCACACGTCAGATTTTATTTAGAAATTCAATAAAGTTAGTTAAACCTAAATCGTGATTCTTTCAAATTTGAAATGATGATGGTTTCATCTCCTATATATATATGACAATTAGATTTGTACAGGGAAGATGTTACAGAAATTATGATTGGTCAGTCCATCAGTAATGGTCAGTTGTCCATCATTAGCCTGGAGTGTTAGAGTCAGCAGGTGGGTGTCAGTCCATCAGGGGAGATAAATCAATTTTAACCCATCACTGACACTACCTAATGCAATTCAATCACTTAAATGGGGTACAATAAGGGTATTTTACTTTAGTAACATAATCAATAGTAAGACAAAATTAAATGCTATATCTGTAAACAGAAAGTAGGGAAATTATACAATATCATCATTTAGCAAATTTAAAACCAGATATTTGAGAGTCTTAGATCTTGCCATCAATGGTCACAGTTAAAAAGCAGTGGAAAAACCCAGTAACATTGTTTTATCTATTTTATGTTTTTGTTTTGTTTTTTGGGGTTTATTGTTTTGTAGAAAATGTTTATCTGCCGTAAAGATAGTGGTTATTGTCATCATTTAGGTTGATCCTGTAAGCTAGTCCTGATGTAAATCTAGTGGAGATACAGGCATTATATGACATGTGTCAAAAAGTGTTGTTTATTGATACAACAGTACTTCAACTTGGCAACAATTTACATGAGTAGGTAAACCAGATTGTATTAAGTGCTGTGAAAACAAGATATAGGTATAGATATTACAATATTTCTACATAGAGTAAGGCTTATTGCTGGAGGCCTTCTTTCTTATCATATTGATGGTGATCCTTATCTGATCCTAGCTAGACAGGTCACTTCATACTGGTCAGTCTTGACCACCCCCTGCTCTGGCCCCTCTGGTGGTCAGTTGATACTGATAACACTACTACATGGTCAGTTTAACTGGACTAAGGCTATGGTAGACACTCTTTGTAAAACTTGACCAGTCTGTGAATAATTGTATCTATGACTTTGTTGTGAGTGACCAATTTTAAACCGGACATTGACCAAAACAAACATTTACAGCAAACTAGTGTTTCTTCAGTTTACATGGATATTTAATGGAATTTACCACAACAGTAGTGGACTGCTCTCTCTGCCATTGTTTACATGTTTTGTGGGAACCTTAATGACGGAGTTTGTAACAATAATAACACAGAGACAACTGGGGACAGCAAATGTGGGAAATTATACTGGAGTTCACTTGGCTGTTCGGATTTAAAAAGTAGGATGTGTGGTCCTCACCATCTTCACAAACTTGGTAAGAATACTTGTCTCTGTGTTGATGCTGAAAATGATTGCGGCTGCTGGCAGTTCATGTACTGTATCAGTTATCTTAAAAGGTCAATTTGACCTGGTGTCAGAAATGTAAAATGTCTGTTAAGATACAAATATCTCAAATGCAAATTTTTATTTTTGTTTCTCATGTCACCTTAGTTTATCAAATCTATAAATACTTTCAGACAAAAACTAAATCTGCTTTCATGAAAAAACTTCTGTGAACTACAAGTGTTTTAGGAATGACCTGTGTAAACTAAGATATAGAGCTTGTACAACAACCAGAAAAATTACCATAAATACAGGGCCTTGCTACCTTTAATTTTTGATTATTTCTAAACATTTATAATAAATTGGGGGGGGGGGGGAGTATAATGATACAGCTTGTTTTAGACCAAAGAAAGATTGGGCACTCATATGAATCAGTTTCTATACAAAACTATTCAGGACCAGTGATATATACTTAATTTTGTATTTGTGAACTTTTTGCATTATAAAGTTTTCAGTACAATACAAACTGTTGACATTCTCTACCAGCTTGTGGACCAGCACTTCCTGTGTATATGTCCTGTTATTCATTGACAGGTGTGCGATAAGGGCCTTCCTCCTCTCTATAACTGTTCCACTAAATATGTTACCAGGGTTACTGGGCCTTGCTAGGCAGATATGGGGATTGTTATAAATTAGAAGCTATCTGTGAGAGCTGTATGGCTACAGATTATACCAAATAATTGATGTCCCAGCATGGTTTATCACCTAAAGTTTACTGATTCTGGAAGTTTATCATTATTAAATTCACAGTCATGCTCATACATGACACAAAATGTTTTTCACATATGAAAAATGAAATATACTGACATCGTTTTCTTGTGTACATGTTGGTGTTACAATGATCTGTCACAAATTTTTTGTAAAAACACAACTTTAATATTTATCACACTTAACACATTTACAGCTTAACTGCTTATAAGCAAATATTTTATTTTTCACATCTTTGCTTTTTGGCCTAGAGTTGATCCTCTTTGACATGAAAACAATATTGTAGAATTTTTTATCTTTGTAAATCTTGTGTGTTTACAAGGGACCAGTTTGACATGTTGTTTTTGCAGTGGTCAGTCCTGGGGACTTGTCACTTAACCTATTGTACTGGTCAACTCTGGACACAGGTTTTAAAACCTTTCTTCATGTCTTTGCATAGATTTGTGCTTTTACTATTTGGCTGTGAAAAATAGCCCAGGTGAAAAAATTTGAGTAAAATCTGACACAGTTTCAATATTGACATGCCTTGGACAACTTGAGGCAAGTTCAACAGTATATCACACTTATTACCTCATATTCTGTAACACTTCCACTGTACAAAACTCTGATGGGTTCCCAATCAGGTGTAAATTTTAGGTTTATTACCGGTCTACATTGTACCTATTGTTAGATTTACACCTGAAATTGTTTATCTACCTGTGCTAATAAACCATATAATCTTTAAATGTAAATATTCTAGTTTACTATTACATCCAACTCACCAATAAAAACTCTGCAAGTCTTAACAAAGCTAATGTATTATGTAAGTCCTACAAGATTTACAGACACACTTCTAACCCTTACCCCTAATTAATGTATATATGATCCAATTAAATGTGTTAATGAATTTTGATCACTTTAGGAAATCTGATTAAGTTAATATTTATCACACCTAAATTTTATGAACAAACATGTAATATACAAGTTTCAACACAATTTCTTCTCTTGATATTTTATAAATGTCTTTCATCATTCTAATTAATATGTTAAATATAACATTTATCTCAATCAATGATGTTAAGTCATTAATCACCATTATTGTGAGTATGTTTACATAAAGCTTGCTGTAGTTAAATTGTTTTAATGAGAACAAAATGTTCCATTAATTGTTTGGGGATCAATTGTGTAAAAATTTGCAGGTAAAGAAGATTTTGAAATTTTATTACAACAAATGATATTTACTTTTGAAATTACATACAATCTAGTTTACAAAATGAAATTCATTGTATGAAATGTAGTTTAGAAGATTAATGTATAAAAGATTAATAAAGATTATTAATAAAAAACAAAGATATCCACATACCTTGTCTTCAAATCCTGAATCCCATGTCATAACACTGATGTCTAACTCTCAAATGATAAATTTTGTCTTAAACATTATTTCAGTTTTTTTTGTAACTATGTCAATTACCTCAGTCAATTAATGATTATCAAAGACTTCTTAACACCAAAACATTATACAGTTTGATGTCCATTAATTAATTAGATTAATTACCTGATAAAGGAAGTGATTAAGTTTTCCATAAGGTGTAAACAATGAAATGACCATTTGACCAGGTGATAGTATCAGGTAATTATCAGCTAGACATTGGATAAGACAATGGCTCAGGTGTGAAAGAACATATCCTCATCTGGGATGACCACACCTGACCATTCCCTTAATGAGATATCAACCTGAAGCAATAATTGAACATCAATTTTAACACATTTTTACATGAGTTTTAGCACATTAAAACTTATTAGGTAATTAACACCAAATTTGATGAGAGGACCAATCATGAACTAGATAAAATATGTACTTTAACTAATTATCTCCACAGAATATAAATATAGGAATAATTCCTGACTTCATCATTCACTCACTGATCACAGTTTCTTACAATATTACATTATACAGTTCTACTTTCATTTTCCTTATCCATAATCATGAAGTACACAATGGCTATTGGTAAGTTCCACTTTCACTTTACTATCACAAAGTATTGAAATGTATCTTATCTATACTTTTGTAAGATTAGGTTTCATTTCACTATCAATTTCCTTTAACAATATAATGATTGTATCTTGACTTTTGTAAGGTAAACTTTTATTTTACTCACAAATTCATGCATACAAGTGTATCTTATCTGTACTTTTGTCAGGTACTTAACTAAAATGCCCCAATAACTAAACAGCAGAGCCATAAACCTTATTGTCAAGTCCACAGTCTGTTTGTCCCTTCTGTAAGGGAATGTTTGACAAACACTAGCTTCTATGACAGTCATAAAACTATTTTCTCAATAGATTCAAGGAAATTACAAATTGCAGGTGATTCTGTTTGAAACAAGTTTAATTAAAGGTCCAGCTGTTGGCTACCTGTGATTAGCTGGACATCTGTGGTCAGGGTGGTCATCTCTTTGTAGGATTTTTATGACTGCATAAAAGATAAATGGCTAGTGTCCAGTCTGGTCAAGAGTGATCCAACTGTCTGCAGACTTTAATCCATAAAATCCTTTGCTGGACATGCTAATACAACACACTTAACCTTAATTCAACATTTAACTACTACCCATGGCATATTTCAATACATTTTTGTCATAGTGCCCTGAGTTTTATTGCAATTTAATAAGGCCCCAGATTTCTTTATAAGGTTAGAGAAAACAATCTAGAGTGCATTTGTGTTTGTTCATCATTATAAAAGTCAGAAACCCTAAACCAAGGTTAATCTGTAAAGGAATTTGTTGCTAATAAGTTGCAAGCAAGCTTCCCTATCACTTTACCATTCTGACACCCACTGCCATGAATATTATGGTAAGGGTGTTTTATGCTGCATATTCCCAAGAGTCCAGTAACTTGTGATATTTCACAAGATGAATTACAGATGTTAACATGTATAGTATATCACAATCAAAACCTACCTTATTTAGACTCCACACAATAATCCAATCAGCTGGTAAACACAGCACACATAAAAGTGATATAAGTAAAGAGGATATTATGTTACTTTATCTGTTGATATTTTGAGTTTAAGTTTAATGTTAAAATAACTCTTCAGTACCTATTAGAGTAAATTTGTTATTGCTAAGATATAAAAATGAGGGACTGCCATTATTTTGTGTATATCAAATACTTAATTCCTACTTAGGCTTATCAGCTATACTCAGTAATCCTACCCCAGATTTGATGGCTAAACAAAGGTAAGCTAAATATGTTTGTTTAATATTCACACCTGGGTAGATAGGGCTAAACAAAGTCCAGGGGAGGTAATCCAAGCTAGTCATTAAAGTTGTTTGGGTAGTGGACAGGTGACACAAGTAGAGGAGTACTGTCAGATGCTGCAGTACTCAAATGGTCAGTTTAGGTAGAGGTCAGTAGTGACCACACTCAGTATATATAAAGTCAGACTGATGATCAGTAATCATCCAACTTGTCATAGAGATTTCTCAACCTACTATCATCCTACAAGCAAACTTCTCATTGATTCTACTATATCACCTGGAATATACCTCTGTGATTAGACTTTGTCATTACATGTCAACATGCAGATCACACCTGGTAAAATTCTCAATGACCAACCCATCAGTCAAGGTAAATACATTTCTCTTAATTTCAACATCAACTAAATAATTATTCCATAAATATATAAGACATCCCATATAACAACTATTTAAAAAATATTTAAAAGTTACATAAAAAAGTTAAAATATCTTCACAACTGATAAAAGATTTCAAATTCAATATGAAATTATTATCATAAATGTAGTTATTTCTACTGTTTTTTCCAAAAAAAAATTAACAAATAATATCAAACTTAACTTTTACATCTGGTTTTGGTTTGTTCAATATAAGGAAACTATCTATTCATTTAATGAATTAGAATAGATTTTTTGTGAATTTTGAAATAACAATAAGATGAAAAATCTTTTATGAAAACAATCTTCAAAAGAAACAAAGATATATCTGGCACACTTCATCTCTTTGATTTTTAATTCACATGCTGAGACTGTTAGTTAATGTTAACTGACCATGGGTCACTTTCACACCTTAAGTTTATGTATTATGTAATAGTCCAATATACTTGTGACCACCTGTGGTCAGTAGCAAGCTTCTAAAACCTAGCTATCATTGTGTACTACCTGCATATTTACTAGAGACCACCTGTAGTCAGAAGCCAACTTCTTCAGCTACCGGTATTATTTACCTGTCCATCAACTCAAGTTCACCTGTAGTAAATAGCCAGCTTCCTCACCCTAACCATGTATACTACCTGTATATTTACCTGTAACTCCAGGTACAATAGCCAGGTTCTTACACATCAAAAGATACTTAGTAGACAAATTTACCTGTGTTCTAAAAACACAGGAGCCTTAACCCAGTATATTCTTTCATATTTTCACCTGTGCTGGTCACTCATTCTGACCAACACTTCCATACAAGTCACTGGTCAGTTTAGAATATTCACTCATTCTGTCAGACTGTCAACTTTCACCTGCCAAGTATTTGATTACAGGTGAGAATTTTTGACTTAAAAATCAAACATAAATTCTAGGTTACTTATTATGGATTGTCATTAAGGACTTCAGTGCATGCTTCTCCAGGTAATGTCTGGCTTTTAATTAATTTGGAGTAAGGTTTGTAATCTTTTATTTCCAAAAATATCTTTCCTGAAAACATAGGCTTAATTCTAACAACCTATACATTTGTTAGTAAACAACAGATTTTGGATATTATTGTGCTCCACCAACTTGTGAAATTTAATCTGGTGAATCAGACTTAGAATAAGCCTTAGATGAATGGTCAAGCTTCACACTGACCATATGCTGTACCTCATAAGTAAAACATGTTTCTTTTTCTCTTTATGTCAAGTGTAATGTAACAGAAAGTTCTAATCTTTGTAAATAATAGCAGTACCATCTGCTGTCTTCTTACAAAAAATCACAACAACAGTCTGTAGTATTACAACATGTTAATTTTATAGTGTTGATCAGTCCCCTACTGAGGATCAAAGGCAGGTAGCAGGTTACCTGTAGATCAGTTAATTAATTCACAGGTACAAAGATGTTACCTTGTAATTATACCACAGATAGTACTATTGTGGGGTAATAGGTATCACTCCCTAAGTGTAGAGAGCAGGGGGCAAATCTAACAGGGCGTAAAATTAGTCTTCTCTTCTTGCCTCTAGGAAATTTTGCACAGGATATAGGGGATGTCCTTACACATAATGGGTGGAGTTTCAGTGTTGTTCAAACTTCCTAGGTTAGGGCTAATTTTAATTATAAGGCACACATGAGCATGTGTGTTATTGTTTGGGGTGTGGATAGTGTTTTCTAAGGGGGGGTGGACTTAATGGTTACCAAAACACCCTAACACTATATCAGTACAGGGGCCTATTCATCTCACTGACCAACTGTTGAAGGGCAATTTGCACAGGAATTAGAAAACAATGGAAAGTGATAGGAGTCCATACCACCTCTGTCTACGGTGATTGACCACCATGTTTACTTGGTCATCAACACCATGACCACTGGACTCAATCCCAATTTCACCACATCCTAAACTAAATATTTTATACCATTTAATATTTGGACAGTGAGGTAGTCAGATTAAGTGAGATAAGCAGAGTTCTAGTCGGATTAACAAACTGGTGTTATACAAACGATTGTCCTGGAAATAATTCAGAGCTTTCCCTGGGAGTTAAAGGATTTTATTATAAATCAAGAACTTTACAAAGTTATCTAGTGTTATGGCTCCTCCTGAGCTGGGTTCTCCTTTAGTGTATTTCCTCAGCACCACTTTATTAGACAATAGCATTGGTAAGTTTTCCCCATCAATACTTAATTTGTAAATTGCTGGGTTTGTTGTTATGTTACCAAAGCTGCCATGTTTATTATGGAGGAAATGAAATTTCTATCTTTTTATTGCAATCATAATTAATAATTCTTTACTTTGATTTTAGACTGGATGGAAACTGGTATGGAATCCGACATTTCCGAGCACCTTGAAACTGACGAGATGTACATGATGTTACAAGCTGATATGGTAGGTGTTTACATCCTTTCTTTAATTAGGTCAATTCTAATTCATTATTAACTTTTGAGCATTAATTAGAACATAACAATTGTTAATTTATATACACTAAGCACCTGTTAATCTAATTACAGAAAGAAAGGTTACCTATGTAATTGGTTTATTAAAGTATTAATGCTCAGGATTTTTTATAGATAACTTTACTTAAGCATATCTTAAGATCATCTGTTTTTGAAACTTTGAAAACATGACATTTTAATATCAGTTTTTAATCAAATCCCATTACAACAATCAAGAAAAAAAAAATAATAATTATCAAAAATTTCATATGATTGAAACTATTTGAAACCGTTCTGTCTTGTAATGTCAAAATGAATTTTAAAAAGTGAAAACAATTTAATGGTGTTATTAATATATAAATAAGAAAGTTTCAAAAACTAGAATTTGAATTGCTATTATTTCCTAAACTGATAATTTGAATAACTTTAAAGATAAAAAAAAGACAAAAAACTAAACATCTCCATATTCTTTTACAGCTGAGCATCAAGCGCCAGGAGACTGATTTGAAATCTGAGATTGTTGAAATCACCTCCAAGTTCAAGAACATTCTGACATCATGTGGTATTGAGCCCCAGGATTACTCCATCTTGAACCAGACTGCCAGCACCCTGCCCCCAACTCCATCCTTCATGAGGAGTTCTGCCCTGACACAAGTCACTGCCCTGTCCTCTGATGAAGACTTCCTTCTCCAGGAGATGATGAAGGCGTCCCTCTGTTCCACCAGCTCTGACAGTATCTATGAGGATTCTTCCATGACACTCATTGTTGACTCCAACTCCAACTACATGTCTATGCCAAAGAACTCCATGGTATCCACTCCCAACATCCCCAACGTCACTGGATCATCATCCTCCGACATCAGCAACGGGAGCGTAGGAGCCAACACCTCTGATGGTTACCCCAAGTCCACTGATACCTCATCTGATGACAACCAGTGTGTACCTGAGTGCCTTGACCTCGAGCAGGAGCGTATGTCCCGCATCCAGTACTATGGTGACTTTACCATTGATCGTCAACGTCGCATTGACAATATGACCACATCTCTCTCTACTGGACCTGTCCAAACTGATCTGACCAGTGCTGCCACTGAGGAGCTCTTCACCCGTGAGGTTGAGGGATGCGAGGATAACTCTTCAGTGCCTGCTGTCCGTGTTGGACCTGTCATTGGTGCCTGCCTGCCTACCTCCACCTACTCCACCACCACCTCGGGAAGTGCCAGCTCCACTCCATCCTCTGGTCACCGTCGCCGTCGTCACTCTACCAGAAAGGACCGTACCACTTCATCCAAGGGTAGCTCCGGCAAGTACACCTCCGCACCATGCGCTTCCTCCACAATGATTGAGGATTTGTCTCCCTCATCTTCCAGCAGTGGTAGCAGCAAGCATCGCAGCAGCTCCATTCCCCGAGCCTCCTCCACCATGATTGAAGATCCCGACACACCCTGCAGCAGTGAAGATGATCTTCAGTCCATCTACACCTGGTCCATTCATGACAACGACTGTGATGAGGATCTCGCCCTTGAGGAGTCTTACTTCAAGAACCTGAACCAGCACAACAAGATGTCTTCCAAGCCTCCTCTTCCTCCCAAAAGAGTTCTCTCCAGCAGAAGCAGCAGCAGCAGCAGTCGTTCCAGCTCCCGTCGGTCAGGCAAGCGTGACAACCTGAAGGCCATTCCATCTGACTCCTGCACACTTCCCATTGAAGCTTTGTCTGTGATAGATCCTTCAGCCACCTACAGGGATGCTTACCTCGGCGCCGAGTCCATGTACGATGATGACGACATCCCCTTCAAGTCCAACAGTCTGCCCAGGACTAGCACCAGAATCCAGCTGCTCCCAAACAAGTCTTCTGGAAGCTCTATGGAAGCCCGCTGTTCCTCCATGCCTGACATTGTCAGTGTTGACCCCGCCAACAACGATGACTTTCACAGTGTGCCAACTTCACCTGAACACAGTGCTGACAACACCTCCCCTCTTAGTGAGCGTCTTGAGCTTCCCGGCAAATCCAGCTCCAGTAGTGCCAGCCCAGCAAGTGACAACCAGTGTAGTGCTACCCATCCCAACACTGATGCTCTTGTTGATTCCATCCTCACTGACAGTCCCACCAGTGTCTGCAGTTCTGGCATCTTTGTTCCTTGCAATACACCGGATGTCACAGACCACAGTAAGACCAGCCGATCCACGACTAGTGACAAGTCTGATTCCCGTGTCCAGCCTGTTGCCCCTCCATCCTCTGTCGCATCTGTTGCCTCCAATGCCCAGACCGACGGTGCACTCTTCAAGGTACCCAAGTTCAACCAGCCCCTGAAGAAGCTTTTCCGATTCAAGCGCAGCAAGGCCCAGAGAATGTTGACCAGTACTCCCAGTCATGTTTGCCCATCTTCTGTACAGAGTGATCCTCTCTCCAAGAGGAAGCTCTTCACTGTAGACACGACCAGCTCACCTGATGTTCAGATTGTCAACAAGAAAGCCGTCATCAAGAAATTCAAGAGGTTTAGCGCTAGTTTTAGGAAGGACAGACAAGGTCTTACTCGTATTCAGACCCTCGCCAACTTGTAAACCCAAAAGACATTTCAAATGCCAATACAATCAAAGTGAACTACAATGAACTTGACAGTGATAGTGATCTCATCAGTGATATTGAACTGTGAACTTGATTCATTGATGGTGAAGGTTGTTGATGTGCCTCAGAGTTGATATTTTCAAATGGTTGTGATTAGATTCTGTTTGAACAGTGCCTCATACTGACAGTTTAACTGATAACTGAGCACAAAGTGACTAAAGTGACATTTCATTCCACCATCAGTCAATAACAGAAAGCCAGTTCTTCACTGTCATTCTAGTGCAATATTCTGTTTCTCATTTTACCACAGGTGGTAATTCTAATCTATTTCTATCCTTATCTTTCTTTCTAACTTTGAATTTCAAGAAATGACTCAGGAAAATGTGTATGTGTGAGAGAAATGGATAACAGCCATTTATATCTGTACATTTTGTAAATAGAAAGGAAATCCTAATTTATTTTATCTGTTTGAAAGTCAAGAGATATTGACAGTGCTATTGTGTAAATATTAAAACCAAAATGAATATAATACATGTCTCATTGTTTTCATTTAAACCAAAATGGAAAAAAAAAACTTGAAACATTACAGGAATGATTCTGCTGACCATTTACATTTCAAAATAAAACTTGGTTGTTATGAAATCAAACTAAAAAAAAAAACAAAGATCCATTCCTTTGCTGTTTCAAGTTTAATAAGAGAAGAAAAAAGGTTGAAACCATCAAATGGTACAGGACAGAAGAACATGAAACCATTCCTTCAAAACACCAAATGAAAGTAAGGAATATTTTCAGAAAGAACCTGACAGTCCTACAATTAACCAAAAAAAAAAAAAAAAAAATTGAAATTTCACAGGTCTAAGTTCTCATTATAGAAATAATACGTTTACTAAAACGTCAATTTTTTGACTGAATACAGGGAATTTTCACTGCATTTTAATTCTCGTTCATTATACCCTTTAGGGCATGAATAAAGTTTGACTGAAGTTAAATGTTACAGCTGAAATATTTGTTTGATTGAGCTGACGTTTTTTTTAGAAAGCCTGCATCCATAATTTTTCCTAATAAATCCTAATAACTCCTGATAAAAATATCAAACTCCAACATTTACAAAACAAACTGTTAGAAATCATGTTCTTTCAACAGGTCTCTAAAAGTTAACATGCACAACTAGGTTTAAAGGAAGACTGTTTTTTAAAACTTCTGTGTGACATATTCCACTTCTCTTGACTAGTTTAAGGAAGGACAACCGCCAGCTTGCCATCTTGTGATGGTGTGTTTGAAATAACAACAAAACAAGATTTTTCACTTCTTTAATGCATGAATGACCTTAACAACTACATGTATAATACCTTGTAATAATTCAAGCCTCTGTTTGGTAATAAGAATGTTGACATGCTACAGTGCTCAAGTCTAGACATTTCAGTGAGATGGCACTATAAAGAGTCTCTCAGCGGTCCTTATTGTCTGTAAAACCACATTCATATGACCTTTAGTGTCATGAGGATGTCAAACTTCAAACAAACAAATTAAAATAGATATACACTTACAAATACATCCACATTCTGCAAATATTGAAGGAAGCTTCTTGAACTGACATTTTAAAAAACAAAAAGTGATGATAATCACCAAAATTAGGCAGTGTATATCCCGAGCCATATCTCTCCATATTTGGGGTAAAGTTTTTTGTGGGCCATATGAAATGCATAAGTCTAAATCAAATCAATATAAAATATTAATTTCATACCAAATTCTGTTTTAAAATGCACATTGATAATAAAAGTTTAGTCTGAAAATCTATTAAGACATCTTTTACACCCTATTGCACACAAATTGAAAATGACAATAAATATTTAGGAGGTTATCTCCCCTCAGTACATAAATTGTGTAATGTCTTCAATAAATATATTGGAGTTATCTCATCCACAGTACATATATAGTACAATGTCTTCAATAGATATATAGGAGTTTTCTCCCCTCAGTACATAAATTGTGTAATGTCTTCAATAAATGTATTGGAGTTATCTGCCCTCAGTACATAAATTGTGTAATGTCTTCAATAAATGTATTGGAGTTATCTGCCCTCAGTATATAAATTGTGCAATGTCTTCAATAAATAAATAGGAGTTATCTCCCCTCAGTACATAAATTGTGTAATGTCTTCAATAAATATATTGGAGTTATCTGCCCTCAGTATAAAAATTGTGCAATGTCTTCAATAAATATATAGGAGTTATCTCCCCTCAGTACATAAATTGTGTAATGTCTTCAATAAATATATTGGAGTTATCTTCCCTCAGTACATAAATTGTGTAATGTCTTCAATAAATATATAGGAGTTATCTCCCCTCAGTACATAAATTATTTAGTATATCAGCAGTCTATTGAGAAGATGTTATCAATGACTTACTCTAGAAAGTTTACACTAATCAATGGCTTACTCTACAAAGTTTACACCAATCAATGGCTTACTCTACAAAGTTTACACTAATCAATGACTTACTCTACAAAGTTTACACCAATCAGTGACTTACTCTACAAAGTTTACACCAATCAGTGACTTACTCTACAAAGTTTACACCAATCAGTGACTTACTCTACAAAGTTTACACCAATCAATGGCTTACTCTACAAAGTTTACACTAATCAATGACTTACTCTACAAAGTTTACACCAATCAATGGCTTACTCTACAAAGTTTACACCAATCAATGACTTACTCTACAAAGTTTACATCAATCGATGACTTACTCTACAAAGTTTACACCAATCAATGACTTACTCTACAAAGTTTACACCAATCAATGGCTTACTCTACAAAGTTTACACCAATCAATGGCTTACTCTACAAAGTTTACACCAATCAGTGACTTACTCTACAAAGTTTACACCAATCAATGGCTTACTCTACAAAGTTTACACCAATCAATGGCTTACTCTACAAAGTTTACACCAATCAATGGCTTACTCTACAAAGTTTACACCAATCAATGACTTACTCTACAAAGTTTACACCAATCAATGGCTTACTCTACAAAGTTTACACTAATCAATGGCTTACTCTACAAAGTTTACACCAATCAATGGCTTACTCTACAAAGTTTACACCAATCAATGGCTTACTCTACAAAGTTTACACCAATCAATGACTTACTCTACAAAGTTTACACCAATCAATGGCTTACTCTACAAAGTTTACACCAATCAATGGATTACTCTACCAAGTTTACACCAATCAATGGCTTACTCTACAAAGTTTACACCAATCAATGACTTACTCTACAAAGTTTACACTAATCAATGGCTTACTCTACAAAGTTTACACCAATCAATGACTTACTCTACTTACTCTACAAAGTTTACACCAATCAATTAAATCAATCAACTTACTCTACAAAGTTTACACCAATCAGTGACTTACTCTACAAAGTTTACACCAATCAATGGCTTACTCTACAAAGTTTACACCAATCAATGGCTTACTCTACAAAGTTTACACCAATCAATGGCTTACTCTACAAAGTTTACACCAATCAATGGCTTACTCTACAAAGTTTACACTAATCAATGACTTACTCTACAAAGTTTACACCAATCAATGACTTACTCTACAAAGTTTACACTAATCAATGACTTACTCTACAAAGTTTACACCAATCAATGGCTTACTCTACAAAGTTTACACCAATCAATGGCTTACTCTACAAAGTTTACACCAATCAATGGCTTACTCTACAAAGTTTACACCAATCAGTGACTTACTCTACAAAGTTTACACCAATAAATGGCTTACTCTACAAAGTTTACACCAATAAATGGCTTACTCTACAAAGTTTACACCAATCAGTGACTTACTCTACAAAGTTTACACCAATAAATGGCTTACTCTACAAAGTTTACACCAATCAGTGACTTACTCTACAAAGTTTACACCAATCAATCAATCAGTGACTTAGTGGCTTACTTACTCTACAAAGTTTACACCAATCAGTGACTTACTCTACAAAGTTTACACCAATCAGTGACTTACTCTACAAAGTTTACATCAATCAATGGCTTACTCTACAAAGTTTACACCAATCAGTGACTTACTCTACAAAGTTTACACCAATCAGTGACTTACTCTACAAAGTTTACACCAATCAGTGACTTACTCTACAAAGTTTACACCAATAAATGGCTTACTCTACAAAGTTTACACCAATCAGTGACTTACTCTACAAAGTTTACACCAATCAATGACTTACTCTACAAAGTTTACATCAATCAATGGCTTACTCTACAAAGTTTACACCAATGAGCCTCCGTGAGCATGTGACTTGCAAAATATATTTTACTGCCACAACTTCTTCTGATAAAGTCCAGATACAAATATCGACTCATCCACAGCACACATTTATGTCACCAGATTTTTTCTTCAATGGAATGACAGTTACAGCATGCTACTTAATTATTTTTTGTTATTAGTATCATTATCCATTTATAACTTCATCCTCATCCCCATGAGAAAACAAAGAGACTGATACATGTACAGCACTGATATAAGTAAAAAAATTAATCCAATTTGACGACTTTGTTTTATTTTCTTGTCTGTTCAGTATTGGCAAACTGACAAATAATTTTCACTCAAATATTGGCATTGGGGTCTGACTGACATTCATTTTAGTTTCATGTTTGTAAAAGCAAGCAAGTTAATGTAGGATGATTAGCTAAAGAGATTGTGAGTGCTGCGGCCACAATTGAGAATTAATGGGATACTTACAGGAATTACATATTTGCCGTAGGACTTCATAATGAGTGTTCGTTTCTCTGGGTTATCTGGGTAGAGATTCTCCGGCTGTGCCAAGGCCACCAACATCTGTCGCTTTAGTGTCATACCAAGTCGGGAATTGAGGTCTCTCTCATGGGTCTGTATCAAATAGGGACCACAAACAAAAAGAATAATTGTTTTTTTAACTTTAGAATCTGTATTTATCAATACTTATATCAGTAATTAAATAGCTTCCTTTACATCACATCACATCAAATTCTTTTATGAATATCAGAATTCTGTAAAATATCATTTTAGACTGTTAATGACTTGACTTCCTATGATGACGAGGTCCAAAAATATGAAACTCAGAAACACATTTTGCTTGAATGACCTAAAACTCAGACAGACTGTGGATACAATGACCAATAAGTAAATCAGGGCGTTCTAAAAGTAACCATCTCCCGTAATCAAAATCATTTGATATTACAGGATTTTAATAAACAATCTGGATCCCAATATTCTAAATGCCTCCTTGATTATACACTTTATCAGCTATGTATACAGCTGGTAGATCTGGTTACTAAAATTTCTGAGGGTTGGAGTCTGACAACCTCACACTGACGAAGATATAAAAAACAATAATTTAGCTGTAAAAAATATAGCTTCAAAAATGCCCACTAAAACAAGTAAAAATCATTTATATATAATTGTCAAGGTGCAAGTGTTTTCAAGTTTATTTCTTGAAATCTATCAAAATTTCACATTTTCACCCAAAAAGTGTTTTGAAGCCTTCCGACCTATGAGTCGTACATTTATGATATAACCATGCACCATGTCTTGTTTCTATTTTCTCTATCTGATTTGCCAGTATGTTGTAAGGTTATCAGGCAAGTACTCATAGACTGATGCATGCATGCATGTACACACTACTAGATTAGCATATAACCTGTAACGTTTGCGGTAACAGATTTACAACTGACATACGAAAGAAGAAATCAAATACATATCACACAAACAGACTTACCGCCAAGATGTAGTTATCAAGTCCCATCAGTTTTGTGATCTGGTTCATAACACGGTCTGTGGTATTGATCTTAAACCATTGGTTGAGAATCTCACTATGAAGATATTCTACTCTCACCACAGGGGCCCATACCTTTGGCACTCTATAACATACAAAACTTCAGCTAAAATCTTCTTCATTTAAGGTAAGCTTTATGTCTAATCACAAAATGTCTACAGATTGGACACCTATAAATAGAATCAATCTGTTGGTAGAACAGAGAAGTCTCTATCGGAGGAGGAGAGTCTTGATTGCCTAACCCAAGGCTTTGCTGAGAGTTAAAGTGTCTGGAATCTCCTCCATGGGTAGGCATTTCTCTGTCCTACCCTCAAGGTAGGGTAAGATCCTTTTTCTACCCTTTTTTTGTCCCATTAAAACTAAATAAGTATATAAATATACATGTGACATTATAACCATTGGTAGAATCATTTGCATTCGAGGCCTGGATTGACATCAATGACCCAGCTAAGTCTGATACATAATAAAAATGACATGAACAATTACATGAATCTGAGATGTCACTCCCTGTGCGTGTCTTGCCGGGGTAAGATAGAAATATCTTACCATCACCTGAAGTGTGGATATTTCTATCTGGCGGGGTAGAAATTCTAATCCAAGACTAATATTATCAAAGTTCAGAATGAGGCTTTAACAATGTGCTGAACATGGAAAAAAGAATCATCTTGACAACTGAGAAAACTGTATCCACACCACACAGGGCTAACTGGTTATTTTTTCTACCAAATGTATTTTCTGATCGTACAATATTGGAAGTTTTTGTCAAGAACTGTATACATCAGCTACTATAAATATCCCCTGAGGTTAGTATCAAAACAGGTGACAATGTGTATCTAATTGTGACGTTGTTATGCTGCACGACATGAAGAATATAGCCATGATATGCAATTAACTGTATTTTCTTTAGGGGAAAAGTAGATTATTTCCCTACCAAACCTGAACTGAATGCACATTTGAAGCATGTGAGAACAACCTTAATATTTACTATTACTGGAATTTATCCTTCATACACAATCTTAACAAAATTAGAGAAGAAATAGGTTTTGCCAACCTTGGATTGAACTTGGATTTCCTCTTGAAGCCTCTTATGTAGCCCTCTCCCCCAAACAAACCATTTGTAATGGCCTCAGGATAGGTGACCTCAGGTGGGACATTCTGTACTGGTACCCTACAAAAGAAAGTCTCAAACAATTAGAGCTCAGAATAACCTAGTTCTGTACTGGTACCCTACAAAAGAAAGACTCAAACAATTAGAGCTCAGAATAACCTAGTTCTGTACTGGTATCCCTGCATTCATTACTGTACTTAAACACAGATTCATTTCTGAATACCCTAAAATATCTGTCACTATATATCTGACCGAACTCTTTATCATGGGTAGTTATGTGATGGGTGTTATCACACTGATAACAGGGTAGTTATGTGATGGGTGTTATCACACTGATAACAGGGTAGTTATGTGATGGGTGTTATCACACTGATAACAGGGTAGTTATGTGATGGGTGTTATCACACTGATAACAGGGTAGTTATGTGATGGGTGTTATCACACTGATAACAGGGTAGTTATGTGATGGGTGTTATCATACTGGTAACAGGGTAGTTATGTGATGTGTGTTATCACACTGATAACAGGGTAGTTATGTGATGGGTGTTATCACACTGATATCAGGGTAGTTATGTGATGGGTGTTATCACACTGATATCAGGGTAGTTATGTGATGGGTGTTATCACACTGATAACAGGGTAGTTATGTGATGGGTGTTATCACACTGATAACAGGGTAGTTATGTGATGGGTGTTATCACACTGATAACAGGGTAGTTATGTGATGGGTGTTATCACACTGATAACAGGGTAGTTATGTGATGGGTGTTATCACACTGATAACAGGGTAGTTATGTGATGGGTGTTATCACACTGATAACAGGGTAGTTATGTGATGGGTGTTATTATACTGATATCAGGGTAGTTATGTGATGGGTGTTATTACACTGATATCAGGGTAGTTATGTGATGGGTGTTATACTGATAACATGGTAGTTATGTGATGGGTGTTATCACACTGATAACAGGGTAGTTATGTGATGGGTGTTATCATACTGGTAACAGGGTAGTTATGTGATGTGTGTTATCACACTGATAACAGGGTAGTTATGTGATGGGTGTTATCACACTGATATCAGGGTAGTTATGTGATGGGTGTTATCACACTGATATCAGGGTAGTTATGTGATGGGTGTTATCACACTGATAACAGGGTAGTTATGTGATGGGTGTTATCACACTGATAACAGGGTAGTTATGTGATGGGTGTTATCACACTGATAACAGGGTAGTTATGTGATGGGTGTTATCACACTGATAACAGGGTAGTTATGTGATGGGTGTTATCACACTGATAACAGGGTAGTTATGTGATGGGTGTTATCACACTGATAACAGGGTAGTTATGTGATGGGTGTTATTATACTGATATCAGGGTAGTTATGTGATGGGTGTTATTACACTGATATCAGGGTAGTTATGTGATGGGTGTTATACTGATAACATGGTAGTTATGTGATGGGTGTTATTATACTGATAACAGGGTAGTTATATGATGGGTGTTATCCTACTGATAATAGGGTAGTTATGTAATTGGTGTTATCATACTGATAACATGGTAGTTATGTGATGGGTGTTATCACACTACTGATAACAGGGTATTTATGTAATTGGTGTTATCACACTAGTAACAGGGTAGTTATGTAATTGGTGTTATCACACTGATAACAGGGTAGTGATTGGTATCATTACACTGCTTTACAAGTTAATACAGTATATCTGAATGCCAGCATCTATGATATGCTTCATCTATTCATGCTGCTGACCAAAAATTTTGTCATATCATTCTTGGTACCTTTACCTTTGGTTTTATTTCTGTGAGGCAGCATGACAAATCAGTACCGAAATCACAGCATACAGAGCTACAAAAGCTTATACTTACGGGCGATACTGTGATGAATCAAAACGCCACTTTGCCTTGTTTGGTTTGTAATGTACAGCCGGTGGGTCCCTGGTTTGGAAGTCTATACAGCGCCTCTTGTAGTGGTCAGGGAGGATCTGATCAGCATTCTTGTCCCAGGCATATGAGTAGGCAGCTTTCTCTATCAGTTAAAAAGACATCAGATCAGAGGTTACATATTGATCAAGCAATAACTTTCTTTCAACAGTCAGGCTCATTTCAGGACAGACTCCCTGTGTATCTGATGTGAGATGAGGTGAGGTATAAGAGTTGGCCTCCCTGTATATCTGATGTGAGATGAGGTAAGGTATACGAGGTGGCCTCCCTGTGTATCTGAGGTGAGGTGAGGTGAGGTATATGAGGTGGCCTCCCGGTGTATCTGAGGTGAGGTATATGGAGTGGCCCCCCTGTGTATCTGAGGTAAGATGAGGTATACAGGGTGGCCTCCTGGTGTATCTGAGGTGAGGTATATGGGGTGGCCTCCCTTTGTATATGAAGTTAGGTGAGGTATATGTGGTGACCTCCCTGGTGTATGTGAGGTGAGGTATATGTGGTGGCTTCCCTGTGTATCTGAGGTGAGGTATATGGGGTGGCCTCCCAGGCGTATGTGAGGAATTTGATGCTTTCTCCAATGGTATCTAAAATATAATGATCAGAATCTCTCTATGATTAAATCTAAGATGGCTGCATTTTTTGGTCATCTTGTACTTAAAAAAATAAAACAAAATAAGCCAGACTTTACATTTGTTCATACAAAATAGAGATATAATGACGCTACTTCAATCACATTCAATCATCACAGAAAAGAATCTTTCCTCTGGCCAACCTATTGACAAAACGTCCTGGCTATTTTTAGATTGTGTGGACATGAGTGTGAAATCATATACACCATCCAGATACTTAATACACTGTGACGTGCGTTTTCGTGCGCTTTAAGCTGTTGATATTAAGTATCTGGGTGATTTAAATCGTGCCTTTAATGGAAAAAGTCGATATCACACTAATGTAACCAAGTACATGTACATGTAAGACCACCAATTAACTTATATATAGCGTATATTATATAAAAGGCGCGGATATCATGTAAGTCAAGGCAACTGAAGCGCAATTTTCTATCTTTTGAATTGATTATGAACTCATTGTTATAACATTAACAATCACTCACTTAATTTTGGAATCCTTGGAATGACAGATCTCAGCATACAAGCCATTTTAGTTGGTTTTTTATCACAAATTATACTTCAAAGTCATGCTTTTCGTTATTCTTCGATGGAGGCCGCCATATTGTATCGTAACTAAAGCAAGCGAGTCATTTTTTACAGGCGAATTTCATGGAGATGAACTGTCCATTGCTTATAATTGTTTTCATGCAAAAACTGTATGTTATAGGTATTTCATAGTTTACATTTTTCATGTTTTGTCAAATGCGAAGTTAATTTTAGAGACAACAAACGTTAGTAACAGATCTCTGCTCAAAGTCAGCCGGCTTTACTTTATATTGTTGAACCGATTACAACGGCATCCGCAGGATGATTTTAAAGAAATGCTCATAAACGTATACAAGTAATTCATTGTATGGAATTCTTGACATCATGATAAAATAGTGTAAATTAATGTTATTAGGGTACGGCAATGCACTCTGGAATATGTAGGGTCCTGAGGGGACTTTCAAGATGGCGGTATTGAGCAGGCCGAGCAGATATGTTCTGAGTTTCAATTAATTCAATTTGAAGTTTTTCGAGACAAGTGTTCTCAAAGAAGAGATATATTTTGATATTAGCTTGACTGACATCAGCAAAGAGACCGTCAACATTCGAAAATGAAAAATGACGCATTATTTATCAGAAAGTAATCGTCGCAAGAAAACCAGCACGCCAATTAGTCTACAACTTTGATTAAAATTCAATAACGTGTGGTACATATTCAAAAAATTCAAAATCATTGAAGGCTGTAGAATTGATTTGAATCATTTAAGCAAATGTTTATAAATTAATAGTGAAGATGTGATATCGTGTATGATAAGTGTTCAGATACTGAAGTCTGTAAAAATTAAATGAATTATTTATATCAATGTGCGTGTTTTGTATCTTTACTAAGGGAGATTACACCAAACAACTGGATAGGCGGGAACGCAGTTTAATTATAGCACACATGTCGGCAAAGATGGCTGAATAATGACATGGATGGGATGCTTTCACTTTCTGCTCTTGCTCTGCTCAATATGGACAAATACAACACAGAACTGATCTGTCAGAATATGTTACGGGTATTCGATATATTGACACAGAACTGATCTGTCAGAAAATGTAACGAGTATTCGATATATTGACACAGAATTGATCTGTCAGAATATGTAACGAGTATTCGATATATTGAAACAGAACTGATCTGTCAGAATATGTAACGAGTATTCGATATATTGACACAGAACTGATCTGTCAGAATATGTAACGAGTATTCGATATATTGACACAGAAATGATCTGTCAGAATATGTAACGGGTATTCGATATATTGACACAGAACTGATCTGTCAGAATATGTAACGGGTATTCGATATATTGACACAGAACTGATCTGACAGAATATATAACGAGTATTCGATATATTGACACAGAACTGATCTGTCAGAATATTTTACGAGTATTCGATATATTGACACAGAACTGATCAGTCAGAATATATAACGAGTATTCGATATATTGACACAGAACTGATCTGTCAGAATATATAACGAGTATTCGATATATTGACACAGAACTGATCTGTCAGAATATGTAACGAGTATTCGATATATTGACACAGAACTGATCTGTCAGAATATGTAACGAGTATTCGATATATTGACACAGAACTGATCTGTCAGAATATGTAACGAGTATTCGATATATTGACACAGAACTGATCTGTCAGAATATGTAACGAGTATTCGATATATTGACACAGAACTGATCTGTCAGAATATGTAACGAGTATTCGATATATTGACACAGAACTGATCTGTCAGAATATGTAACGAGTATTCGATATATTGACACAGAACTGATCTGTCAGAATATGTAACGGGTATTCGATATATTGACACAGAACTGATCTGTCAGAATATTTTACGAGTATTCGATATATTGACACAGAACTGATCTGTCAGAATATGTAACGGGTATTCGATATATTGACACAGAACTGATCTGTCAGAATATATAACGAGTATTCGATATATTGACACAGAACTGATCTGTCAGAATATGTAACGAGTATTCGATATATTGACACAGAATTGATCTGTCAGAATATGTAACGAGTATTCGATATATTGACACAGAATTGATCTGTCAGAATATGTAACGAGTATTCGATATATTGACACAGAATTGATCTGTCAGAATATGTAACGAGTATTCGATATATTGAAATAACTTATGTATGTTTAGTTGGATTCACTGCCCTCGATCCTGATGTTAAAGATTGTACTAAAGACACAAAAGTGGAAGGCACATTTAAATATTTAAGGGTTCGATCCAAACGATGACATCAATTAAGTCAATCATTATTTAAAGAATTTGAAGTTTAAAATCTAACTTGAAAACAAAACACATATCAGCATTTTTCGATCCTGATGTTGTAGATCCAAACGATTAATTATACTGCATCATACAGCTGTTCCGTCCTTCTAGGACTCGTCAGTGATGCTACATCATACAGCTGTTTCGTCATTCTAGGACTCGTCATTGATGCTACATCATACAGCTGTTTCGTCCTTCTAGGACTCGTCAGTGATGCTACATCATACAGCTGTTCCGTCCTTCTAGGACTCGTCAGTGATGCTACATCATACAGCTGTTCCGTCCTTCTAGGACTCGTCAGTGATGCTACATCATACAGCTGTTCCGTCCTTCTAGGACTCGTCAGTGATGCTACATCATACAGCTGTTCCGTCCTTCTAGGACTCGTCAGTGATGCTACATCATACAGCTGTTCCGTCCTTCTAGGACTCGTCAGTGATGCTACATCATACAGCTGTTCCGTCCTTCTAGGACTCGTCAGTGATGCTACATCATACAGCTGTTCCGTCCTTCTAGGACTCGTCAGTGATGCTACATCATACAGCTGTCTCGTCCTTCTAGGACTCGTCATTGATGCTACATCATACAGCTGTCTCGTCCTTCTAGGACTCGTCAGTGATGCTACATCATACAGCTGTCCCGTCCTTCTAGGACTCGTCAGTGATGCTACATCATACAGCTGTTTCGTCCTTCTAGGACTCGTCAGTGATGCTACATCATACAGCTGTCTCGTCCTTCTAGGACCCGTCAGTGATGTTACATCATACAGCTGTTTCGTCCTTCTAGGACTCGTCAGTAATGCTAAGCGCCTAAAGTGTGAAAAATCCAAAGTGATCGAAAGAGAAGCCAAAATCTACACGGGGAGGTGCCGCAACCCTATAATTAAATAAAATTCGTGATTTTCAGATAATTTTAGAATGAATTAAAACGTGGCATGCAGGTTACCGGAAACTTAAAGTCGAACAGCAGTGTCTACCACCTGTTATCATTGAATAGTGCCTTTTAATCATTTAGATACAGATCCACACTATTGTGTCTGCAGATAAAACGTCTAAGAACATGATCCTTGTCTGCAAACATTAGTACATTTCCTGTTTTACTCATTTTCTGTACTTCTATTCTGTGTGACTTGTACATAGTGTTAAAAACGGTCTCGGTCACTCAGCTGACTGGTCCGTGTGACTTGTACATAGTGTTAAAACGGTCTCTGTGACTCAGATGGCGGGTCCGTGTTACTTGTACATAGTATTATATACTGTCTCTGTCACTCAGATGGCGGGTCCGTGTGACTTGTGCATAGTGTTAAATGCGGTCTCTGTCACTCAGCCGGCGGGTCGGTGTGACTTGTATATAGTGTTACATACCGTCTCTGCCACTCAGTTGGCGGGTCGGTGTGACTATTATATGGTGTTAAATAACGTCTCTGTCACTCAGATGGCGGGTCACGAAGCATACTTCTTTAGCTAGGTTGGTAAAGCCGTTGATTATCGCACCGGAGACAGGAGTTCGACTCATGTCGGACACTCGGCGAGAATGTTTCAGTGAGTTTTTCACTATTCTTTCACAAATACATAGAAGAGGTGCAAAGAGGAGCCAGGAAAGTACTAGCCGGTCTGTGATAGTTGCCATACGCAGCGTTTGATAATGATAAGAATTCTAATTCCGGCACACTGGCGATTGAGCTAGGGTGACACCATCAACGCTTTTAAATGAGGAATTCAGACCAACATGACCGGAACGTAATAAGAGAAATATCCCAGCTTGATACATCAACTAGAACAAGAGGTCAGACACAGAAAATCAGGGAAATCATCACAGACTTGGAATATACTAACTTCCCTGGAAATACTCACTCAGCTTTAGAGTTGCCGAAATCCGAAACAGTCTCTCGAAATACATTTTAGCGTCACCCAAGATTTAAAAATGACAAAGAATAATACTTTTTAAACAGATATATCAAACTATAGAATGGGAGTTCTTATGACACAACCAGTAGAAGATTAGAGTGTGACGTCACCTTCATCTTATAACACAACCATTAGACAATTAGAGTGTGACGTTTCCATGACTACACTGTCACCTTCATCTTATAACACAACCAATAGAAGATTAGAGTGTGACGTTTCACTGACTACACGGTCACCTTCATCTTATAACACAACCAGTAGAAGATTAGAGTGTGAGGTTTCGGTGACTACGTGGTCACCTTCATCTTATAACACAACCATTAGAAGATTAGAGTGTGAGGTTTCGATGACTACATGGTCACCATCATCAGACAAAAAATAATATCTATGTTTAGATATCATCGGATGAACAGACAGAAGATTTGCCTACATCTGTTTATCCTGTGGCATCCTATTCTATCATACAAATAATAAGCGGAATGTTTAGCTAACCAAAATATTTAGCGATGAACAAATTACATCTAAACCCAGCGGATCAAGCCCCTCTTTAATACAGTTAGGCGTTCTGATTACACGTGAACAACTGTTATGACGCCCTATATTTTTGACATTACCATTGGGCCTCGAGCCACATGTGGAAAATATTCCGAATCCGTTAGGTTTGTCTACTTAACTGGTTAAACGTCTGCTCTGAAAGGTTTGTCGCGATCGACATAGTTTTATTTTGAGCCATTCAATCGGGTTATATGTACATCGCCACAATCTCCTAATGGTAAGCAACGAAATGGAAAACCGTGGGTTAAGTAATATATGAAGAATTTGATATTAAAATCATTTTGATTGACAAAACTGTCAGTACTTTAAGTGATTATTTATGTTGTATAGTTAAGAATTATATTGTAATCAAATATTTTTTTAAGATGATGTTAAGCATATTTGCCCCAAATCCCGTTTGGTACGATATTTTGTAGTCAACCACACTGTAAACAATATGGCGGACATTATCAGATTTTTACCGACAACGCTATGACGCGAAGCCATTTAGTTCCATATCAAGTATTCCTGTGACACTGACTTATTTTAAACAAGGTGCAAGTTGTAAGTACACCACTTAATACAAAATATTCAAAGAGATAATGAAAACACTTTCGGATAAGTTTATTCTTCAGCGAAACAGGTGCTCTTTCATGACTCTACTAGCCCCTGTATGCCTACTGTCTTGACCCTATGCCACTGTATTGAGTACTCATCAATATTCTCATTGACAGGATAAATGATGCATATAAAATTGTGTATGTATAACATTAGCATTAGCTTTATCTTCGTGCAACAGGAAAGACGTAGTTTGCTTTCGCTGTGGATCGAACCTTGATTATAGAGTTGATCTACCGATCGAGCTAAAGGGAAATTTCTTCTAGCCGAAGCTAGTAGGCAGACCTGTCTCCAAGTAAATAAAAATTGTGCCACTTTACATCACAATTCTAATGTGTTCGCCCCTAAACACCACAGAAAAACAGGTTCTGTACTCCAAATAAGTCTCACAGTCTCCTGTATCTTGCACATACAGTGGTCTACAGCACAAAATATAAAAGGAAAGGAGAAGTCTGTCTCCACTGGGCATTGCACCCAAGACCTCTGATATATGAGCATGTTGCTCTGCCAGTTGAAATATAGTGAAATTCCAGTATCATGAATATCTCTCAATGTACAATCAAAACTGGCCACATCCAACTCTATCACTCACAACTTGGAGTATTCTTCTAGTATAAATATAATCATATTCTAACAGTAAATCATTTGTCACCTTTTGAATTTAATATGCTAAATTTACCATGTTAATAATATGGAATTGAATCATATAGACCTTAAGACAAATAATTTTGATGTGAATCTATATCAAGGTAAAGGGTGCTCTGAAACTACATATGGTTTTGTTTCTACAGTTTATTTATATAGTTGGTGAAAGTCTATAAGTCTGTTGTTGAATAGATCTGGTGACTGAAATAATCAAGTTTGTTTCTCCATATTGCTTTTCTGAAAGTATAACTAAATATGAAATGCATATTTTATTCCTGTACTAATACCAAACTGATATAGATTTGATGTTGGTAAGAAAATATTTTTGATGTTTAATAAATTTGAAGTTAAAAATCGCTAACAATTCTTACAAAACACAGGTTATTTTAAATTAAGTTCCTGTGTATATTGATATTTGGAAAAAAAGTTTAAATGTTATTATGCCAGCTTGAAAATTCTTTTTGATTTCATAGACATTACTCTTTGAAAATATATAATTTTTCATTGTATATTCCAGCACAGAAATACCTGATCACCTAAACATGCCAGGGAAAGAGTTGTTTCCTAACAAGAAGGATCCCCGAGGGTCTTTCAGATATGGCACCAATCGCCAGGTGGAGCTAACACTCCGTCATGAATTAGATGATGTTGCCAAGAAATCTGTGACAGAGATCATTTACAACAAACAACAAAAAAACAAAGAACCATTAGATGAAGAAGAATATACATCAAGGTAAGTTCATAGATCAACTAATTAAAGATATTAGTTCATTATTTACCTGATGAATTCTACATATTAGGAATTTAAACATTTAATATTTAAACTTTTTTTATTTGAATTATTGAATTTCTGATTAAATTTTGGATTATGTCATGATTGTGCCCCAATCCACAATAGAAAGTGAATGAAAATGAAGATCACTAAAATGTTTCAAAATGAAATTTTTCATAATTTGTTCATGCAAATTTTTTTTTCTTCCTTCTGCCCTTTTTTTCATTCATTGGTATTATCTAATTTGTTTTGCAAACAGGCGACTCCAGCCAGAGTTTATTCCAAAGAAGGTGAAGGAGAAGAGGAAAACTCAGCCAGTCTTTCATGATGATATTCCAGCAAAGGGTATTAAAAAGGCAAGAATACTTACATCTGTAATGTTACCTATGTCACACTCCTAGTGTCATAGTGGGGAACCATCTTGGTTTTTGTTAATGCCTTTTTTTTTTATCAAACTTAAAAAAAATCATTCTCATTTTATTGTACTTTTAGAAAAGGTTAATATACATATTTGTCCTGATGGTTTTTCATTTTACCATTTTCAGAATTTTTTTTATTGAAGTCTCGAGAAAAATAACGAACATGATACTATTGTAGGATGATTGTAACATTTCATTCCATTTAAAAATGATCAACTTCAAAATTCCAAGTGTTGGAATCAGAGATTGTAATCCCTAAAATTTGGAGGATTAATTTGTACATTTTACATAACAGATATAAACCACAGTTTCAGACAACCAAAAAAGGAACCCGAAATTGTATAAAAAAATTGCACTGCTAGCAATCTGCTTTCAGCACATTTTTATTTAGTGATATGTGAACATGTAATTGATGATTCCAGTATAAGTAATTAGTCATCTCGTCCTGTTATATAGGACCCCAAGTTCCAGTTGGTGCCTAATGTACCTCCCTACAATCCCCTGGACAAGGGAAACAATGCCCATATTCCAGGGGACAAGACAAGGAAATATCCTTATACCAAGGATTCAACAGTCACTACGAAAGGTCAGTCAAATATGTATAGGAAAACCTTTGTAATATGGTCAACTTTTTAATTTGTTCTCCTAAGCAGTTGAATGTCAGCTTTCTTAGATCACTGTTAACATGCTTGAATGAATACATTGGAATCTCTAATCCAGATTGATCATTCAAAAGAGTGATTTCCATGTGCTGTGAGTTTTCACATTCTTTTAATTGGAAATTCTGTTATTACAAATGTATTTCGTGGAAACCAGTGGAATTTGGCATTAATTTCCAGGAGTCTATCTGGAAACATATGATCCAAACCTTAAGGTTGAGAATTTGTGCAGAGGCCCTGTGCTGGAAATCAGTTAATGAAAAGTAGGATATTTTTATCTTTGATGTCTCCTTAATACAACACTGTTCACTTACTTGTTTCATATATTATATGCACAATGTTATATTTCTTGCATGTTGTATGTTACAGAGTTGAAGAAACCTCATATATCCTCCGTGGGTGTCACACCAGCTAGACAAAGGTATTAGATTGCATTTCTTACTCCTCAGTAGTGTTTCTATTCAAACAACAATGTTTGTTTCTATTTCAAATCTTCGCTGAATGAATGATGTTCATTATATTCATTTGTACTGTAAAGTTCTTATCCTAATTTCAAAATTGCTTCTTGTCATTCCAACCCATAGTCATGCATGTGAATTTCTGTTGTTCTGGCTAAATCGTATTCTGTTTAAGTGAAACATAAACCTTATTTGACAATGTCTGAAGCCAGACTTTAAGGATATTCTACCATTGTTTTGAGCTGGTCGCCTCGTTGAAAAAGCTTTAGACTTCTAGGCGGGCTATTATCAGGGCACAAATGACATGATATAGTTATGATGAGTGAACTGTGTACATATAGACTATCTAAAGCATTTATTTTGGTGAGGACAACATATATTTAAAAGGGTATCTAGAATGTTTCCAGGGGCGTTCTTGATACATGATTTCAATTTGTTTATTTTTTCTTTTTGAAATTAGACCTTCAATCTTTTGTTGTAAAATCTTAAATCTAAAATCTTTAGTTCTTGAGTGTTAAAGTGTGTGACCTTTGAACCTTAATCTTTACTGAAAACCAAATATTTTGACTCCTATTTTCATGTTTAATATAAATGAACTTTTGCAGTGTGGATGTGCCAGCTCTCAAGGTCATCATGCAAGGTCAAGCAGCTTCTGTTGATAAGGACTCCATGCTTGACCAGATGGCGATGGTCAGTATAATTATCTAACTCAAATTTTCTTCTCCATAGTTACTTTAGAATAGAGGAAGTTGATATCCATTTATTTAATTTAGTATACTAAACATTTACTATTTCACAACTAGAAATATTGTTTTGTTATTCTTGTTAGTGAAAATATCACGAAGAGAAATTTATTTTACTTTCAAAAATTCAATGCTATATTTAGTTTATCTAAAATATCATTAAAAATTGAACATGATTATATCCATTGCTGTGTACTTCAGTAAATATTGTATGATGAAATGAGTCGGTGATGAATATACTTTGTTTAAATTCAAGGCGAATGAGTTACGTCCAGGTTCACCTGGATCTCCTGAACCCATTGAAGAGGAGACTGCGAGAGAAGACGCTTTGATTCTCTCAGATCGTGACTGGTACAAAAAACCTGCTATAATCAGTTCTGAAGGGACAACCAGAGGAGTTCAGTTCAAGGAGAGACAAAGACATGTCCCACACCCGTCATCACTGAAGAAACCTCCTAAGAAACGATTACAAACCCCAGGTATGTTTGTCTTTTTAAAATTGGAATACAGTCATTATGTTTAACAAACATCTTATTGGTTCATGTGTTAAACAATTTTGTTTTGCTTTACACAAACAGCATAGTTCTCTGCACCAAGAAATCCCAAATATCGTCAGTGGTTGACGAGTTCTTAGATAAATCTATATGACAGTCATATATATATATATATATATATAATGGATAGCAAACACAATAGTCAAGTGTAAGTGAAAGTGAAAAATGACATGTTTTTCCTTATATACCCTGGTATATCTGTATATCTTCTTACACCTCTACACAGATTTGACTACAACATGTCTTGACTTCTATTTTACATTGATGTATATTTTTTCATGTTAATCATTTTATCATATTTACACATACATATAAATCAGTCAATTTTGTCTAAGAAGTCCATATTTTTCTTGCATTAAATTTCTATATCATTAGTTTTTAAAAGACTTCATTTTCAATTATCAAAATTTTCAAATATTAAAGATATTCTTAAACTAGCACCAGTTTAGAACTTTTTGTGACTGTATTGACTCTTGATGACAGTATACAAAGCTTTGTGGTGAAAAAAGTCACTCAGTTTTACTATGTAGTACTGTAGTGTCGTTTGGCTGTAATTTTATTGGTTTCCTCAGCTCACAGTGCCACCAGTATTCGGTCCTCCCTACAGAGTGAGAACATCTCTCTACCTGATGATGGCGTTTATAGTCAGTATGATGATGTCATCGCTGGCCTTGACCAGGACATGGAAAATGTACAGACCGCTATGCAGGCCCAAGAGGAGGGGGATGATAGGGCTGTTAGTCGGGATGTAAGCACTACAGTGTAAAAGGCTTAAAGTTTAAAAGAACAAAGGATGCAAAAATCAAACATATACATGTATATGGTTCATTAAATTTTGAAAATAGCCTTTTGCAAGTATTTTCTGATTTACAGTTGTGTGTTTTACTTTAGAATGACATCAAACTACCCCTGAAATTAGAGTGAAATCAAGGCTGAATAATCATTAGATTGAATTCTTTATTGCAGAGTCATTGTATACCTAGTGTAGATGTGATCACACTTTTTTATCACTAAGTAATTATTACTATCTTCTTATGAGCAAACAAGGTATCACAAAATATGTTAACTCTCCACTCCATCCCCTTCATCATTATAACCTGTTTTTAAAGGCCAAGTCATCTAAAGATCTGCTGGAGGAAGCGCGAAGAATATCACGACCCGGGTCAGAGGCGCTTTACAAGTCAGGCAAGAAGAAGGAGTCACCAAGAAAGAAGGACGGCAAGAAAGAGAGCAAGAAATCTGCCAAAGGTGGGAACCTCTGGAACGAGAGAAATAGTAAAAGCGGATTTAATTAAAACAGGAAAGATAAAACATTAAACATAATTTTACCTTAAAGTTATAGACCATACCATTTATTATCTATATCATTAGCCTGTTTGTTAATTGGTAGTTGAACAACAAACAGACATTTTGTTTTTCATGGTTTCAGAAAAGGCAAAAGGAAAGGGTAAAGAGAAGGAAGATGAAACAGAGGTCAAACCAAGGGTCGAGAGGACTGTAGATGAAATCATCGCCTCTCTTCGTGCCCACTCAGGACAAAAGTAAGTCTCTCTGTTCAGGACAAAAGGAAGTCATATCTGTTCAGGACAAAAGTAAGTCTCTCTGTTCAGGACAGAAGTAAGACATGTCTGTTCAGGACAAAAGTAAGACATGTCTGTTCAGGACAAAAGTAAGTCATGTCTTTTCAGGACAAAAGTAAGACATGTCTGTTCAGGACAAAAGTAAGTCTCTCAGTTCAGGACAAAAGTAAGACATGTCTGTTCAGGACAGAAGTAAGACATGTCTGTTCAGGACAAAAGTAAGACATGTCTGTTCAGGGCAAAAGTAAGTCATGTCTGTTCAGGACAAAAGTAAGTCTCTCTGTTCAGGACAGAAGTAAAACATGTCTGTTCAGGACAAAAGTAAGACATGTCTGTTCAGGACAAAAGTAAGTCATGTCTGTTCAGGACAAAAGTAAGACATGTCTTTTCAGGACAAAAGTAAGACATGTCTGTTCAGGACAAAAGTAAGTCTCTCAGTTCAGGACAAAAGTAAGACATGTCTGTTCAGGACAGAAGTAAGACATGTCTGTTCAGGACAAAAGTAAGACATGTCTGTTCAGGGCAAAAGTAAGTCATGTCTGTTCAGGACAAAAGTAAGTCTCTCTGTTCAGGACAGAAGTAAGACATGTCTGTTCAGGACAAAAGTAAGATATGTCTGTTCAGGACTGAAGTAAGACATGTCTTTTCAGGAGAAAAGTAAGTCATGTCTGTTCAGGACATTGTAAGTCATGTCTATTATACATAAAGTATATAGGTGTTGACACATCCTTTATTGGGTAAGATTATTAACTGGTATGTATCATTGCTGACACATTCGTTATTGGGTAAGATTATTTACTGGTCTATATCAGTGTTGACACATCCTTTATTGGGTAAGATTATTAAGTGGTCTATATCGGTGTTGACACATCCTTTATTGGGTAAGATTATTAACTGGTATATATCAGTGTTGACACATCCTTTATTGGGTAAGATTATTAACTGGTATATATCATTGCTGACACATCCTGTATTGGGTAAGATTATTAACTGGTATATATCAGTGTTGACACATCCTTTATTGGGTAAGATTATTAACTGGTATATATCAGTGTTGACACATCCTGTATTGGGTAAGATTATTAACTGGGATATATCAGTGTTGACACATCCTTTATTGGGTAAGATTATTAACTGGTCTATATCAGTGTTGACACATCCTGTATTGGGTAAGATTATTAACTGGGATATATCAGTGTTGACACATCCTTTATTGGGTAAGATTATTAACTGGTATATATCATTGCTGACACATCCTTTATTGGGTAAGATTATTTACTGGTCTATATCAGTGTTGACACATCCTTTATTGGGTAAGATTATTAACTGGTATATATCAGTGTTGACACATCCTTTATTGGGTAAGATTATTAACTGGTATATATCAGTGTTGACACATCCTTTATTGGGTAAGATTATTAACTGGTATATATCAGTGTTGACACATCCTTTATTGGGTAAGATTATTAACTGGTATATATCAGTGTTGACACATCCTTTATTGGGTAAGATTATTAACTGGTATATATCAGTGTTGACACATCCTTTATTGGGTAAGATTATTAACTGGTATATATCAGTGTCAGCACATCCTTTATTGGGTAAGATTATTAACTGGGCACATCCTTTATTGGGTAAGATTATATATCAGTGTTGACACATCCTTTATTGGGTAAGATTATTAACTTTATTGGGTAAGATTATTAACTGGTCTTTATCAGTGTTGACACATCCTTTATTGGGTAAGATTATTAACTGGTATATATCAGTGTCAGCACATCCTTTATTGGGTAAGATTATTAACTGGTATATATCAGTGTTGACACATCCTTTATTGGGTAAGATTATTAACTGGTATATATCAGTGTCAGCATATCCTTTATTGGGTAAGATTATTAACTGGTCTTTATCAGTGTTAACACATCCTTTATTGGGTAAGATTATTAACTGGTCTATATCAGTGTTGACACATCCTGTATTGGGTAAGATTATTAACTGGGATATATCAGTGTTGACACATCCTTTATTGGGTAAGATTATTAACTGGTATATATCATTGCTGACACATCCTTTATTGGGTAAGATTATTTACCGGTCTATATCAGTGTTGACACATCCTTTATTGGGTAAGATTATTAACTGGTATATATCAGTGTTGACACATCCTTTATTGGGTAAGATTATTAATTGTTACTTTTTTTCTACAGAAAAATGTCTGAGGCAGACAGGAGGATACAGGAGCTTCTGGAAGGGGTTATGGCTGGGGACAAACTTTACGGTACAGTTGTGAGAGTGGTCAGACATAAGATTTTTTTCAATATCTGGGTACAAAGGTGAAAGAATGATATATATGTTCTGTTTCAAATGCATAGATACATTTCTTCATACATTTTCTTCAAACCTTTTTCTTCACACTAAAAAAACGTACCAACATTTTTCTATATATGTTCAATTGAATAAAAAACAAAACATAAAACAAAACAAAAAAATCATTAATAAGAATGAAAATTGTAAAAACCCAAATCTTTCAAGGACAAGTGAACTTACACATTTAACATGTCGGTCCATGTTTATCAAATATCTGCTGCAGTACACAACTATATGTTAATGGGAAATTTTGTTGATTTATTTGTACAGAAGATGAAGAAGGCCAGAAAGAGGACTCTCCAGACCCCAACAAGACAGGTAGGTGTCTCAACAGTGTGGGTTCTTTCCTGACAACAGCATTGAACTAGGAGTCAATTGCTTGGAAAATCTTGATATCGATAAATTTATGATATTGATAAATTTGTGATATTAGGTTGTCCTGGGAGATAATTTTAGCACCAGAAGGATTCATTACAATGTTTATTTCTGTCATTGTGATGTTTGTTTCTATAAGTATTAATGTATCGTTGTATTTTAATTATTGGTTTGACAATACTATATGTTATAGCCATTGTCTAACCTCTATACATATCAGTCACTAAAAGTATCTCTGGAAATCTGATGGATTTTAACTTCAAATTCAATTTCATTTTGTCAACTTGCTTTGTCATTTCAGGAAATTGATATCTAACATTTCAAAAAGGAAAAAAAAATTGAAAATTGAATTATTAAAAAAATCATAACATGAAATATGATCTTTACTTGTGATATCTGTTAGAATCAATTTCTGATGTTGTTTCTTGAGTAGCTGTTGCTTTTTGTGTCATTTCAAAAATTCATTCTCGAGCTATGTGTTAGAAACTGTTATTGTTGTGTTTTGATAATTGGTGTTTATTGTCTGTACATTAAAGCAGCTATTGTATCTTTATTTTATTGGTATGTTGTATATTTTGTGTAAACCTTACAACTACAGATACAGAATCGGAGCTGGATCCACAAAGTGTTTCACTAACCCCTCAACTACTAGAGGGCACTAGTGTGTCATCCCCCTCGGGGGGAGATACCACTGCCCGTACTAGTCCGTCCATCATGGAGGGTATGATGTCACTTACCTCCCTTTGTACTAAATGCCCACCAGTCATATTCATTCCTGACTTTTATTCTAATTTAACCACTATTTAGTGCATGTGCCACATGTAGCATAACACAAAAATATTTTCCCTGGCCTTAGTGCATGTGCCACATGTAGCATAACACAAAAATATTTTTCCTTGGCCTTAGTGCATGTGTCACATATATTGTGATGAACATTTTTCCCTGGCCTATTTGCATGTTTCATCAATGTAGATTCTAACCCAGATTCCCCCCTTATTTTGAATGCATGCTTCATGGAAGTGTTAATTCTCTTAAGCTAAACCTATATAATGATACTCTTGTTCTCAATTCCATGATCCTGAAAATTTTATTTTCTTGTTGTTAGTACTAACGTACATAATTTCCTTCCACACACTTACACAGAGAGAACAAAGACAAACATTATCATATGATATCCCATATTACTCATAACTTACCTTAGAATTACCTTAGCACATTTTGATTACCTTAGCACACCTTGATTACCTTAGCACACATTGATTACTTTAGCAGACCTTGATTACCTTAGCACACCTTGATTACCGTAACACACCATGATTACCTTAGCACACCTTGATTACCTTAGCACACCTTGATTACCTTAGCACACCTTGATTACCTTAGCACACATTGATTACTTTAGCAGACCTTGATTACCTTAGCACACCTTGATTACCTTAGCACACCTTGATTACTTTAGCACACCTTGATTACCTTAGCACACCTTGATTACCTTAGCACACCTTGATTACTTTAGCAGACCTTGATTACCTTAGCGCACCTTGATTACCTTAGCACACATTGATTACCTTAGCACACCTTGATTATTTTAGCAGACCTTGATTACCTTAGCACACCTTAGCACACCTTGATTACCTTAGCACACCTTGATTACTTTAGCTCACCTTGATTACCTTAGCACACCTTGATTACCTTAGCACACCTTGATTACGTTAGCATGCCTTTACTGTGGCACATCTTTACCTGAGCACACTTTATTTGCTTTCTCCTGTATGACCTTGCATGTGTTTTTTGTATTGATGAATGAGGTTTCATCACATTAATAAGTAAAACCTCTAACTTTCTTACCTGATACTTAAATGCATGTTTCTCACACCGAGATACACCTGGTCAAACTTTATTGTTTTAGAAGTACCAGTGTTTCAATCCGTTTATAAACATCAATGTTTTCTGTGTATGAATATTTAAGTAAATTTACACCTGAATTGTTTTCATTTGGCCCAGTAATGTATGGATGATTCTATTCTATACTCATCTTGTATTACTTAAAGTTTCTCTGTGAAGTTTAGAAAGTTAATTGTAGTATGGGCTTATTGTAGGACAAGTATTGGTTGATTGTCATGTCTGTATGATAGTAAATATATTACATGTAAATTTTTCATATTCTGTGTACCGTTTCCAGTCTCTAGGATTAAACAGATTGTAATGTCTATATAACATATGGGATGATGTTAACAAATTCTTCTGTAGAATAGGTTATTTTACAACAGACTTTTGACTTCACATTTGTAGTTATCTGATCACAAGTGCACACGTGATAAAATTCTGTCAATAATTTTTGTAAATAGTAATAAATGTTAATTAATTGTTAGATGATAAGGTCAGACTTTTATACTGTCTCTGCATTAGTTACAGAAAATGTGTGAGAACTATTACATACGATATAAACAGTTATACTGGAGGATAAGTCACATGACAGTCCTGTGTGACATATACTTTCTCGGTCATTAAAAGGTAGTGGTCAGTCAGATATAATTGTAATACTTGGAATTATTGATTGATTTTATAGACCTATACTTATCACTTGTTTTTTCTTCCAAAATTTGTTTCTAACATAAATTCAACATCAATATTTGAAATTTAACATTTATGGATTTTAAGATTTTTTCTAAGTCATGTTAGACAGGATATCAGATACTTCAACATTCCATCTTTTTAAACACAAAAAAGTTGATTTAAGTACAGACATACAAAATAGTGACAAGGATTTTGATGTATGTATGCGTATAAAATGATTTTATCGATCAGAAATAACGGGGAACAACACACTGATGATTCCAACCTGTTCAATCTTAGTGTACATGACATTAAAAAATTACTAACAGAAGTGATCTACGCTCAACGTGATCGTAGATATTTTTAGATGTGATTCTTTTTATTTTTCTCTTTTTACTGACAGCATGAATGGACAAACCTGTCCACTTATCTAACTAAGATTATTTGTATGCTCAGTGTTCTGTCTTCCCAAACTGGCATTGTGGTACTGTTGTTATTAAATACTATGTTTTTGTATTGTTTACGGCCCATAGAGGATCGTTTAGGGTATATACGGTATACGGTTCTGTCACTACAGAGTAGTAATGACATGGCATCATACAGACTCGGTGATAGTCTGGAAAACAACATAAAAACCAGAAATTGACATATACATTATGGTTAAAAAGTTATCTTTAATTTCGTTTGATTTTAAGATTTGTAAAATTTACTTCCTTATTTTCTTTTCAGTTTAGACAAATTCTTAAAGATTAAACTGCAGACTGAATCTTCTGTAAAATCTGGTATCATAAATTTGTTTAAGCAGTATCCAAAATAAATATTTCTGTGGGTTAAAATGCCTGATATGACTCTTAGAATAGTCAGCAAGAGAAATTAAAACACAAAAAAATTGTCAAAAATCCTGTAAGGTGCATGGTTTTCAGTACAATGATGTTCATGGTTGTGTGATTGTGAGTGATCAATATTCCATAATGTTTGTACAAATAGACAGTCTTTTCCCATCATCAAAAATTTGTGTTCTGAATGGAATTTGTGATTTTTAATTTACAAAATGATTAAAGTTGTTGCATTGGAAGTAAGTATTGAGCAAGCTATACAGTTACTTCATGGACAGGCAATTTTTTTTCTAAACCTCAAAATTAAAGGTGTCTAGCATGTATGTTATCACAAATTGTACATGTACTGAACTTTATAAAATGATGTTTGGATCTTAAAAAAAAGAAAAGAAAAAGAAATGAATGAAATAGATCACACACATATTTCAAATAAACTGTATATGTACCGTTGTATTTTTCTGAGTAGGATCAAAAGAAGGAGGGCAACATGACCAGATACCAGAGGAGAAAGAGGATGGAAAGACAGAAGGTGAGAATCGCCAAAAATATATTTTGAGGATTTCTATAAAATCATGTGGCATTTCTGTGAAAATTTTTAACATGAAAAAACAGTAATTCCTATTGGTGGTTCGTAGTACAAAACTATGATGTTTTTCAGGTGAAATGGGTGGTGGTCCAGCGACCAAGGGTACAGCAGACGACAAGCAGGCTGAGGATAAGGTAGGATCAAGTCAATGTTTCACGATAGACCTGTAAAGTGTCTGGGTATCAGAATAGGAAGGTTGGAATATTTGAAATGGCATACAGTATTAGCCATGTCTGTCTATCCCAGAGCTTTGAATGATTCCCATCCATATTCTGTCCCTTCCCCTTTCCATCCTGTCCCATCCCTGTCCTGTCCCAGTCCCTTTTATGTAATGTAGTCATCCTGTCCTGTCTCGTCCCATCCCTGTTCTCATCCCCATCCTTGTCCTGTCTCCTTTCCTTCCTGTACCATCCTGTCCCATCCTATTACATCTTGTCCCAACCCTGTTCTCCTCCCCATCCTTGACCTGTCTCTGTTCTTCCCCGTCCCATCCTGTCCTGTCCCATTCCGTCCCTGTTCTCGTCCCCATCGTTGTCCTGTCTCTGTTCCTTCCCGTCCCGTCCTGTCCCGTCCCGTTCCGTCCCTGTTCTCGTCCCCATCGTTGTCCTGTCTCTGTTCCTTCCCGTCCCGTCCTGTCCCGTCCCAATCCGTCCCTGTTCTCGTCCCCATCGTTGTCCTGTCTCTGTTCCTTCCCGTCCCGTCCTGTCCCGTCCCGTTCCGTCTCTGTTCAAGTCCCCATCCTTGACCTGTCTCTGTTCCTCCCTGTCCCATCCTGTACCGTCCTGTTCATGTCGTGTTTCTATCCTATCCTATTTGGAATTAGTGTTATATCTTGAGGACTTGTAAACAGATTTTGTTATATTTGTCCCATAGTATCATGTTTCATCAAATTCTACACCTGATCAGATTCTGGTTTGCGTTTGAGTCTGGGAATTTGTCTTACAGACATTTTCTAAGTTGGTTGTTGTTTGTTTTAGGTTATCACTAAACCTGTAACATTGCCATTTGTTGTCCTTTACAAAGCAAGATAATTTGCCTACCCTGATAATTTTAAACAAATTTACAGGGACACAGGAACATGCCATTGTATTGATGTTGTGTGGAGCTTGCCTTTGTACACAATCTGAGATGGAAAAAATCAAAGTCCAACAAGAGGGAATAAGAGAATGTGAACATTGATCAAAATCTGGATCTGATCTAATCATTAGGGTGATTGTTTTTTGTTTTGTTGATAAGAGTCCGATTTTTCTGTTTCAGCCACAGGTAGATGTACAGATTCCATATCCACCCACAGAGACAACTCGAGGGGTTATGTTTGGTGATGACATTACAGCTGAAGGCAGACAACCAGAGTCAATAGACATTAAACAGGTTAGTAGATGTTATGTTAGGAACCAGCAGTTTGTTGTATGTTAGGAACCAGCAGATTGTTGTATGTTAGGAACCAGCAGTTTGTTGTATGTTAGGAACCAGCACTTTGTTGTATGTTAGGAACCAGCAGTTTGTTGTATGTTAGGAACCAGCAGTTTGTTGTATGTTAGGAACCAGCAGTTTGTTGTATGTTTGGAACCAGCAGTTTGTTGTATGTTAGGAACCAGCAGTTTGTTGTCTGTTAGGAACCAGCAGTTTGTTGTATGTTAGGAACCAGCAGTTTGTTGAATGTTAGGAACTAGCAGATTGATTTAAACAAAATGACTGTCAGAATATTTCTAGGATATCATTTGTGTCTTCACTCTTCATCTATATCTCCACTCACCAATCTCAGCTTTTCCTCAACACTTTACTTAGGGATTCATTTTATTAACAATGATTTGGAAGTTTCATTCCAAAAATTTTTACAGTACAAATTAAGTACTTAAGTTTGAAAACATTTTTGCCTGTTGAATATGTTCGTGTATAAATCTGATTTATTCCGGTACATTTCACATTGACACAGAAATTAACCACTATTGACTGCCTGCAACAATAAGAAAGATACTAAACTGAAAAATACACTATAATTAAGTTGTATTGACAATATAGGCGTGTTTGGTTCACTTAGTTATAATTTTATCTTGTTTTTACAGATTTATGATGATCTAATGGCCCCTCCAGATGCCACATATGAAGACATTGTTAGTGTAGCAGGACAAAGTTTTGACCTAGCAGGGAGACAACTCCGACAGCCAAATATTCCAAAAAACACGATTCAGTCATCCTCAGTATCTTTTCTGTCTTCATGGAAACCGATGTCTCCTCGGAAATACCCACCCCCTGAGCCTGAGGAAGCTCCCCCTCCTTCAAAGAACATTCATCATTTTTGTACAGTAACAGCAGATTATCAGCTTCCCGATGAGTTCAGAAATGTTGGACGTAAATATCACACACCAAGCCGATTTGAAGGCCAGCTGAAACAGCCATACAGGGTAAGATATGGAATGATTAATTCTTCATTGATCCAGACAAACATCAACTAAAATGTTCAATTTCTCGTTTCTGTTACTATTGCCTAAGATAGGTACTGTGGTCTTTGTCTGACTTCCATAATGTAGACCTCCTATTGGGCGATAGACCCATCTTGGTAATAACCTGCTGCTATCATCTGTTGTTAAGTTGACCAACATAATGTTATATCATTGTCCTGTAATAAACCTGAGGTAATACAGAGTCTCCTAAACCAGGATAAATGATGAATGTACCATGATTTCACAAACTCTGATCTATAAATAACTTTAAATTTGCGAAGGATAAGCTGTTATCCTATCCAATATCAGTGACAAAATCAACATGGATGCCACCCAGAATTATTTTTATACAAATTTTCACAAGGTATTTTAACTCATGATTTTCTCTTCTTGTGTATTAATATGAAAATAAATCCCATGCAAAATATAAGTGATTTACAGTAAGAATTATATTGGAGAAAATCTGGTCAAGGCTATCATTTTGTTTTAGTTTGGGAGTTCAGGCCCCAGCCAGGCAGAGACAATAGAGGAGGAGACAGCTTCCCAAATATCAAAGGCTTCAGATGAACGAGATGCAGAGGAAGAGAGACTTGTGTCAGCTGCAAGACGTGTTTTGATGGAAGCAGATGATGACATGACAATTTCGCGAGAGGATTCCTTCATGATCTGGAAGAAACGTGCAGAGAATGTGGTAAGTTCCGAGTTAAAAAAGAGTCAATGCCAGTAGTTTTTAGGATAGTTTGTAGAAATTGAGTCCATTGCTTTTACTGTATGTTAATGAATTTCTTTTACATAAATATTTTGTTATCATTTTGTTAACGTTTTTGATTAGTTTTGTAGGAAAATGGTCATATTGATTGTCTATGGTGTGAAATCCTCTACTAAAGGATGATTATAAAGATATGTCATCATCTCCTGAGTTCTCAGTTCCTGACATTCTAGATAATTTAATGTTTTGTCATATATACATGTAATTTCTCCCTATTGTGGCCTTCCTCAGTTTGACCAGGAGGAAATCACAGTAGAAGGGGCTCAGATCACCCTGAAGTCAGATGAATCACGTTTGTACTGGATGCCTGCTCCTCCTAAATTAGATGTTCCACCTGTCAAGGTGAAGGAAGTCCTGTTTCCGGAGTACCAACCTGCAGTTATTTTAGGACAAGACATTCGAGAGCGATCTGCAACTCAGCAGGAGGAGTATGAGGAAAGTGAGGAAGAAGAGGAAGAGGATGATGTCACAGAAGCAGGACAAGAACTGCAGGAGAGCTTCAGGTAAGGGAGATAATCTTGTCTCTTCATTGACAGGCTCTTTTACACTCAATGCCAAAACATTGAATTTCAATTTATTTACACTTCTGATTGAAAAAGAATTTTTCTTAACCTGATGAAGTTCTTTCATTCTTGGTATTTTTTTTATCATCATGGAAATTGTATATACTAGATAAGATTTAAAAAGTTATCATGTGCCTTCCTAAAGTTTTTTTAACAAGTATATATTACTGAGAGAAACTTTGTGTTCCTGACTATAAGGAAAATGTCCCCTGAATATTTTCTACCAATTTTATACAGAGTTATTCATCACAAGAGTTTGTCATGCCAAGATCTAACCAAGCTTGATTTAGCTAAGTCCAAGTACCAGGAGGATGTAAAGGCTGGGAAAATCTACCCATATGAAAAGAGAAAACTACTAAAGGGGGAGGCTCCAGCAGATGATGGAAAACCAGGCAAGTTAGCAATAATGATGTCACTGGACAAAAATCTATGATAAAAAAGGGTCCTTGTTAGATATTTTTTCCACCAATTTGAAATTTACAAATATCTGAATACAATGTATTTATGTTTAAACTTTGATATAGATGCAATGTTTATTTTCTTAATGAAAGTTTTTTGTCAATGAGGTGATGCTTGGGTAAAATTTAATGCATATTTCTTGTAAATGAGTGTTGATGTAGTTAATACCTTTGAGAGCTAGACACTTTGAAGAAAGTTTATAGATCCAAATTTGACTAAATTTTTCTTCTCTTCAGTCGGAGCTGCTTCTTACATCTAACTTTGTTTATCCTGTAGTAAGTCAGGGTGACTGATACCTAATCTCTGGCAGGCCTATTACACAACTGTATAAATATAGATATACATAAATGTGGTATATTCAGATACATGTAATTTGTTGTATGAACATCTTGAGTGTTAACTTCACAAACATCAGGAAGGAGAGATTTTCTCTAAACAATCTTTTAATGCATGATGTTACAGAGGAACTGAGCCGGGAATCTACGCCCATAGGTCCCCCTCCTCCACAGAGTGGAGTGATGGAACCTGCAGAAGAAGAGTATGAACCAGTGTTCCCCCTTCTAAGGTGAGTTATCTCCCATGTCTCATGATCAACCCTACACTAGTGACTTATCAACAGATGTGCTTTTTCATTTTATTGATGTCAGAATTAATCAACGAGATGGAAATTAAAAATCAGTGATGCCAACATACATTTGGTTTGTTGTTCAAGTTTTTTCTTATCTTAATTTTTTTTATTTGTATTAAGAAGCATTTTTAAAGTGGACATATGTAATGATCTCATGACCAACTGTAGTGGCCCACATTTATTCTGAAGGAAAAAAAGATAAAAAAAATTATCCAATATCTTACCCTATGATTATAAGGTTAAACTTATTTACAAATAACAGTAATGGATGGATACAGGATGTTTGTTGTTGAAACAGGCGGAGTCGATCAGACCCGATGTTGGTGGGCCTAGACGATGATACCTTATTGGTTCCTCAGGATTATAACTCAGCAATGGAGGAGGTATGTGGGATACTAGAAATGTTCTTGTGTTTTTAATCTTGGTACAAAACATATCTGTTTAACTCTCTCCTTCATCTTTACTACGTAAGATCCTATTTCATCTTCATAACACCGGGTACATTAATGTCATTATGTTTTATCCCCAACACCATTTTTTTTTTAAATCTGACACCATTATCAAATACTGTAAAACCATATGTTTTTGTGGTTAGAAAAATTTCATGGTTTTTACAAAAAAATGATTTTTTCTTTATTTTATGGGTATTTATTACTTACTACAGTCCCCGACAGTTTTTACTTTATTACTATTCCATAGAAATATGAAACTGTGAATTAAGTGTAACCACAGATTCTACAAAGATGTAACCCCAACAATAATTTATAATATCACAGTATGATTAGTGAGCATTAGTTAGATTACCAACATATCAAAGTTATTTCATTCCGTGTAGCTGTAAAGATATGTGAATTTTTGCTTTAACGATTTCTGATTTTTCAGTCTCTTGTTACTCTTGGACTAACAGAGTGATAACATACAAAGTTATAACAGGGAATTTTATCATGTATTTTCAGATAAAACGTCAAAAGAGAAACATTCGTCAGATGAAGTTAAAAACAAGACTTGAAGAAATAGAGAGACTGGAGAACGAAAAACGCCTCTTGGATGAAGAAGTAAGTCAAGTGTACTATTTTGTGAAGGTCAAGGATGTTTCTATCAGAACATAAAAGGTCAATAGGTCAGCAAAAATAGGATTACTGTACAGGTTTTAGGTAATCATCTGTCAGATCCAGTGTAGAGAAATTAAATTTTTTTTTTTTTTTAAAATTTGAAAGTAAAGGATATATTATGATACAATGTTTCAAACCCTCTAGTATTAGGCTGGAAGATATATAAATGTGAAAAGAATAATTGACATTTAAGTTATGAAAATGATAATTACAAAACCTAGTCACATGAATTTGATGCCTCTACCATTTAATGTTAGGGTTACCTTTGGCTGTCATTCTGTCCTTATTTCATTTCTGTTCATTTTTTCTTTAACAAATACAGATATAGAACTGTAATTTGGGTTATAATGATAATATACAGGTCAACAATTGATGTTGCTGTGGTCAGTTTCATTTTTTCTAGAGTTATTGCTGCAGGTATTTAATTTCTAGAATTTTTATTAAAATTTTTTCACATAAACAGTAAAACCAAATTAGAGAGGCTTGCATAAATCCAGGGGGTAATTTTAAAACACCTCTTAACAAAGTCAATACTTTGCCACTAAAATGTTTCAGATTTATCCTTGGTTGCAAGGTGAGGTCACTGCAACACATTTTGTTTACATACACTTTAGTTGTACACACATTTGTTTTCATGATGAATGAACAAGTCAGTATTTACTAAAAAGTTCCTCAGTTGGTGTTTTCATGATATTTTATTTTTTCATTAAGTCTTACAAATGAATGATTTTTCCTCGGAAATCTCAGAGATTTGTATGATTGGTTTGGAACTTTCATTTTATAGACGAAGGAAGATTCTAAGGATGATGTTGCTATCATTATGAAACAGAAAGGTAAGTTTTCAAACAATTTTATACCTCGTTCACATCATACATACCTATAAGTTGTGTATATTAGTGGGGGAGAGGATATGCTCCATTTTGTGTACAGAATTGATTTGTAAATTGTTAAAATGAAATTGAATTCTTTAAATCTGAGTAGATATTTCAGTAGGTTTTTAAAACTCGAGTAAATTTTCTTTGTACCTGAATAATTCTGTATATGATATTGTTTGTACTGTATATCACTATCTAAAATTTGCTGCATGAAGGGGTGGGCTTATTACCAAACATGGGACTTTCACTGGTTAAAATGATGTCTTTTTTAACGTCAATAACTGTTCAGATGTATCAAACATATAGCATCAAATCTAGAAATCTGGCTTGGAATGATTGACTCGAATGTGCTATGATCTTGTCAGAAGATTCAACGGTCAACGAAAGTGACCAGTCAAATGTGGTAGATGACCACAACACACTGGCTGATGACCATGGTCAGACTTTCATGCATGATCGGAAACTGACCAGTGGTGAAAAATTTAAATTATCTATGGGTATGTCATACCTTGAGTACACTTTGCACTCTCTTCTGTTGGAAACATATACAGCTTTCTCAAAGTCACTTTTATAGAGAAAATCTAGCATTTGATCATGTAACACAAATAAAGATGAAAATCATATCTGTCATTATAAACTTTTCACATTCAAATTTAGACTGTAATGTTGTAAATATTCAAAAATGAAAATTTGTTTGATTTCTTATTGTTAAATATGACATATTTTTTCAGATAAATAGATATTTTTTATCAAAATAATGAAAAAGAAGTTTTTCTTTTCAAAATATGTTTCACATAAATATTTTAAAAAATTGACCTTATCTATCATTTTGTATCAAATCTGAAAATGGAAGGAAATGGGAATTTTGAAGATTTATAGAGTCTTTGAGATGGATGTACATAAATGTGTTTTATCCAGAAAGGCTGAGGGCTGCAAGCTTGACATACACTTTAAGATTGCAGGGTGATGGTTCATTGGGCAGGTTCCAATTTAGTACTCAAACTTCATCAACTCGTCTCAATTTTAGTGTATTGATTTTATCTTGGATGGAATAGTTGAATTTATAAAAAGTATAGATGGTGACTTTCAATTGCTTATAAACAATTCATTGAAATTGTTTTACATGTAAAAATTTTCATGGAACAAAAAATTCAGATGACAGATTGGATTATAAATAAATCTGTAAAATATTTTAAAGTTGGTGTTTGTAAATCAGTTCAGTATTTACTATTGCATCCAATGTGCTGTTCATAGAATTTTTTCCTTTTTTTTTACATAAACTTTCCCATGATGCTTTAAAATTTTCAAAATGTTTAGTTTCAGTTTAAGGCTGTTGCTAGCCTATGCCACTCTGTAATGCATAGCTCACTATAGAAATTTAAAAATGGAAATATTCAAAATCAATAATAAGACTTTGAAAAACAAAAAGAACAGTCTTTTAAAAAATCAGAGCATTTTCTGTTAAATATTTTTACCTTGTATGTTGGAGCAGAGACTTAATATGTCAGACACTAGTGACTGGCAGTGGAAGGGTTCTCTGTTTGAGGCTTGGGCTTTCACATCTTTGCTAGCCAGAGGTTAACAAAAGGATCATAGCCATTGGCTAGGAACGATGGGTGTTTCCATGGCATTTGAGGCCAGACACAAACTCTATTCTCTATGGTTTCTGTTTTATAAACAGAGAGGTTGCCGTGATTTTTATTGTTGACAGAGCCTTTTCATTATTTGCTTGTCTTGCTATCAGTTCCAGATATAGGTACGGTATGGGTTGTCTCCCTTGGCTGGTGGTAATATCTGTCCCTCCTTGCCTATTTACATAGATGTGGCAGGTCTTACTAATATTGATATTCATGTGCATTAATTTGATTACAACTCTAATTTCAACTAAGATAGATTTAGTAGATACCGTAATGATCATAACCAATGGATTTTAGATGTATATGTATCAGAGAGTCACAAAACTCTGGTAGTTATATAATTTTTCATTTCCTTGTCAATGAATGAATGCTAGTAAAGTGTTCATGTTAGGAAGGATGTTCATGTGAGTAAATAGAAAACAATTTGTTACCTGTGACAAATTCTTCATGTCTTTCTTTTGTATTCCTTTCAATATGCCTGTATGTAAATTAGTTGTAGAATTTTATAATTTTAAGTTCTATCAAATATTATCAATATTTTGATCTTATTCATAAACCTAATTTTGCCAAACATACATAGATTGAAGGGAGGATTCAAAGCTATAAAGATTTGTAGGAGATTGGAAAGGGGTGACATTTCTTATGTGCTGTTAAAATTTATAATTAAAAAGTCTAATAAAGGTAAAAGTAAATATTTTTTACTTATTCAGACTTGAACAAAAATTGAGCATATATCATAACTTACATGAACGTCCATCAATTTTATATCTGTTTTTCTGAATTTTATTCTTAACCTACAATTTATATTTTTCAGCTTGAATTATTTCTAATTTTGCAGTTTCAATACAGCATTAAGATACTGCTTTAATCGGCATGTTTATAGATTTAATTAGTTTTTATACAAGGAATTTAATTATAGAACGAGACTCAATTATAATGAAAACAGATTTCTCAGACATCAAAAATTATGTCTTTTTTCTGTTTCTCTCTCTGTATACATATACAGACCTGTACAAGTTACAATGGTTTACTAACACCTTACCTTAATGAATTAGGTAAAGTTCAGATCTGTGATGTTTATTACATTTGCTTCATTAATATTAAATTTTGATTTGATCTTTATTCTATAAAACAACTTCATTTGAGAAATACCAGTAATCATAATTTTGGTTTTGGTGGATTTGGAATTTGTTTTTAATTCAAACCAGTTTAACCAATTCAAATAGAATTATGATGTATTTAGTGTGGGAAACAAACTTTGATATTTAAGGACATAACAGGGTTGAAATATTTACTTAAAACTAATATGTAGATATGTAAAGATATTATAACATTTGATTGTGAAAATGTCATATACAAGTTAAATACTGGACATGACAATATCCACAAAATCAATACTGTTTTTATTGATTTTATTGATTTTAGAATGGAATTTTAGAATGTCCATTGCCATGTCTTATTGTATAAGCTTTGTTATTCTATCCTAATATTAAATTCTGTTAGGAGAATTACTTTTACTGATATCTATCACATGATTTTTAAAATGATGAAACTAAAATGTGATTTATGAATAATATGATCTATTTTCCTTTAAAACAGTTTTATTTTTTGTTAAATTTTATTAAGAATGATATTGGTCTATATCAGGGTCATTCATTTAGAAATTACACTTTTGTATATATCAAATATATTTCATGTAATAGTATTTGATTTATTTGTTACCAAGATGAACCAACACCTGCAGAGCTCGCCTTGGCTGCTGGGCGGGCGTACGTCATACTTCCCAAAAAGTAAGTGACCATTCCTCAAACTCTCTATTAACTTACAGTAATGGTGTACTGTCTTTTCTGAATGATTTTTTTACATTAATTCTTTCATTGTTGACTAAAATTTTTGGATAATCATAAACCTCTGAACCCAAAATTCTGACAAAATGCTTCTACAGAGCAGAAATTCCTGTAAATATTGTCATAATGACTGAGCTTTGACTATTCTTCAAATTCAAACAAATCTCTTCATGATTCAAGAGAAAATATTTGTGTCAATTGGACTTCTATTAATTTTCCAATGAATTTTCCTATGAGAGTATTTCATGGTACTGAGGTATCAGACTTGTTTCATCGTGATCACTTCTAGGGGTAAGAAGAAGAAGAAGCGTGCTCCGATCAACATGGCTCGCCTTGATGATATTGAGCGATTTTTGAGAGCGCCACCAAAGCGTCTTGAACGGTCGAATTCTTTTACCGATATAGTAAAACCTGTGGAGAGAGAACTACGAGTGCCAAGGTAAGAAAACTGCGAGTGCCAAGGTAAGAGAGCTACGAGTGCCAAGGTAAGAGAACTACGAGTACGAGTGCCAAGGTAAGAGAACTGCGAGTGCCAAGGTAAGAGAACTGCGAGTGCCAAGGTAAGAGAGCTGCGAGTGCCAAGGTAAGAGAACTGCGAGTGCCAAGGTAAGAGAACTACGAGTGCCAAGGTAAGAACTACGAATGCCAAGGTAAGAGAACTACGAGTGCCAAGGTAAGAGAGCTACGAGTGCCAAGGTAAGAGAGCTACGAGTGCCAAGGTAAGAGAACTGCGACTGCCAAGGTAAGAGAACGACATGAGCTGAGTTTCATTTTAATTTCCTTTTTACGACTGGGGTTCTGTACATGTCTGTGATAAAACTGGTCATTTTTATGATTAATTTAATCACTTGACCCAGGTCTGTTTTTTAAAATAATGACAGACCTGTCTTATCTTATTCTGCTTTCTGATGAGCCTCAACTGACTTTTGGAATAGCTGTGTCAACAATGCTGGTCCATCCAGATTTATGCCTGTAAAGATTCATTAAGTTCCACTTTAATATGATCTGGATACTTTAATTCCTTAAACACTTTTAAATTTTCCAGAATGTAGGGAGCAGTTTTACTCATTAAGGTTAAGGCCATATTGTAGAGAATGTATAAATATAGAGTTGGAATATTTTAGAAGATTCCTCCTATGTCATTATCAAGTTAAGCATTTAAGTTTGTAAACAAAACTAATAATGTTAATTTCATTGGTGAGTCTCATGCATAAGATACAAATTGGACACAGAAAGGGGAGACAACAAATGCTCAGTTTCAGGTTTAAATCCTCTATTGTTGACATCAAGCCAGATTTTATATTGCTGAATGACTTTCTTTCTATTTATGAAATTGGTGCAGCAAGGTGAGAAGTCGAGTCCGCAGCAGTATTCCAGATTTACTGAATTTTGATGAGTACGGCAAGAAAAAGGGACTGAGGTGAGGATGGAAGTAATTTAACACACCCTGACTGCCTTTAGTAGCTTACCTGGTTTACATTCCATTTCCAAATCTTCAGTCTTTAGAAATTCTTATAGTAAAGGAATAGCATGACTATATTAATTCTGTGGCCAAGCTGTTACATGCATCGTCACATCATGATATCTTCAGAATTTTCATATTTTACATAAATATTGTATAAACATATAAGCATGATTCTCTTGTCACAGAGCTGATGACGATGAACGGGAATGGGTGCGGGCGATCTGGAACCGCTGGTTTGATGAGCTCTTCCCTCCAACCCCATCAGATTCCGAGGATGAAGAGGAAATGTCAGTGTCAGAAGATCAAGTTAAGGAAGACAAGATGGATAAAAAACGGTAAATACAAAAAACTGCATCTTAAAATCTGATTAATGAAGGCAATTAAATGATCATACTCATTGCTTGTCACAAAAGTATTTCAGGTATAACATGTCTGAGGTGGGATTTCATTGCTGTATGTCCAAAAATTGAATTTTTTGACAGATAAACTTATTTTGGTTCCATTTTGAAGAAGAAATATGAAATAGACATGAAATCTTTCAACCTACCTGATGTTCACTCTTTCTTATTCGGAGGTAACTCATGTGTGTTTTTTTTCACCCCTACAGGAAGGACTCTCTGACCAGTTCCTTATCAGATATCATAAGTGTCATTGACCCTATTGAGGAGTCGGAGGAGAATCTCGAATTACTCGAGGTACATGTTATAGTTTTGTCATTCTGTCATAATGGTAACATAGTTCATAGGGTATTTATTATTAGCAGAGGGCTTGGAAGTGGTTGGATAGTAAATACTGTACTAGCTGATAGCAATGTTTAAACTTTAAATTTGTTTTAGAAAAGTTTTGGTTTCCTTTTACAATATTCTTCTCTTAGATCTGATTTAACATAACACAACTGTGTTTTGTTTTAGTTTTCTTTCTGTATCTATAATTTACTGATCTCAAAATACTCTGGACTGATGAGATCCATAGCTTCAGCGAAGAAAGTTTCCTTTTAAAAATTTTGGTGGATGAATATATGATCAATTTTTATCAGAACAAAATTTCATTAAAATCTCTAGTGTTAACAGTTTCCTAGAAAAACTCACTTACAGTTTTCATGAAACTGCCCACATGTAAATGAAGAACTGGTAGTGTTAACAAATTTTGAGGATTATGATATTCTGCTTAATCAGCACTATTACTATTAACGTGCAAATTACATTACAGGGCAAAGATTCTTAATGGTATGTGACAGCAAAATGTCATAAAAACAATTTTATGATCAGAAAAATTCCCTTTTACAAACTTTCACTGTTTGATAAAACAGATAATTATCATATTGGAACTAAAAATTGTTTCAGAAAATTCTTCAGGAAAATGGGATGAAATTTTAGATCACACAAGGGGCAAGATTGAAGTATGTTTTACCACTGTTTCACAGAACACTTGTTTTTTTTTTTGTTACAGATAATGTATGAAGAGGTGGAGAAACTGGACAAGGAGATCGCTGAGACAAAGCGACCAATAGCTTTTGACCTCTGTAGAAGGGGTGCCCTCCTTAGGAAGGTTGGTATTTTAAAGACAGAGAAATTTCTGATTTTCTAACCTGAGTGACATTCCTCTCAACTAGGATTTTGTTATTGTTCTTACAATTGAAGAATCAACAAAACATTCCAAAAATGAGATTCATACCTTTGATTTATTCATGAGTTGTCTCCCTTATAGAGAATGCTGCTCATGTCATTTCAGTTCAGTTTTCTGCACAGGTTCTGTGCCTTTCATCAAGCCAAATTTAGATGATTGTTGAAAGGATTCATCCCTTAATGTCTGGAGGTGTAACTCTTTGATAATATATGTCATTTCCACCTTTTCTAACACTATTCTGTACAACTAAGTCTAGATAAATCAGATGTAGAGTTTGGAGTGTACATGATATACTGTAAAATCATGTATTTTTGAGGGACGCAATTTTTGTGGTTTTCAGTTTTTCAAGGATACTGAATTTCGTTAGTAGATATTGTTAACTAAATCTGCTTGTACTGATTTTAACACTTTGTGGACATGTGAGTTCAGGGTTGAGAGTAACAATGAAATCAACAAAAAATTAATCCTCCAAAATAACAAATGATAGATGGGATGGCCTGAGCACATTTTTAAAAGATATCACAAATCTAAATCATAGAATGTTTTTTAATATGACCTTTAAAATAGTGTTAAGGTGTTTAATTGATTTTCTTGTACACTTTGTATAAATCCACTGATGTTGTCTTCCTTAGCTTGGTATGGTTAAGAAAGCAGAAGAAGATCTGGACCAGTAAGTATTGATATCAGTAGACAATAAATAATTCACAACATCACAGACAGGCAATCTTTTCTGTAGTACTAACATAGAATCATTTCACAAATAAAGACCTTGAATAAGAGAGTTTTCTGATTCCAAATTGTATAAGGAATCTATACAGTTAACTTCTCTGAGTTTTCATGATCTGAAATTTTTTGCAGAAGTTGTCATTGCTTAGTCAGTATTACAGCTTGAATTTGAAAATTGACATCTTTTCTTTATTTACTTACTCTCTCTGTAAAAAATTCATACTTGATTAAAGGCATTCATGAAAATCTTTGTCAGTGATTGTTTTGTTCTTACTCAGGGCCATACGTCTGGAACCAATGTTACTGGACGCCTACTGGCACAGACATCTACTGTTCCTACTACAGGACAAGAAAAAGGAAGCTCTTGATGATCTTACATTTATCCTAAAACACAGCAAAAACCACTCTGGGTCGTATAGGTCTATGTAAGTCATCAAAGTCTGCTGACAAATCTTTATTTAGTTCAATGTGTCATATGCCTGGTGTACTGTAAGGGCATTGGAGGGTACAAGTTAGGGCCAATGTGAGGCCACTCGATTTTAAGTAGAATATTTTTGAAGATCGGTTTCTGAGAAGAAATTGAATGAAAAAGCTGAAAAATATTCCATATCCTGTAAATGTTTGCTTGGTAGATGACATTCAATGTGAAGAAATTTGTGTAGAACTCTTGCTCACACATATTGCTGTATGATTTTTACTGTTGGTTTTTTCAGGGCTGAGATTTATCGTAAACAAGGGGAGATTACTATGGCAGTGATAAATTACACACAGGCAGTGAAACTGAACCCACTGGACCATGAAGCCTATTACCAGAGGGCACTCATGTATGAAAAGGTCAGTAGTGAATCAGTATCTCCTATATGGTATATATGTCGTGGTGAACCAGGTAAGAAAGTAAGCCAAGTAACGGCATTCAGACTTAATAAAAAGAGCTTTTGTTTATATTTACAGTGTACTTTTAAAATCATGCTCATCATAGGATTTCAAAATAAGTACAACTATCGATAATATGTTCAGCGATACATTTTATCTTTGTGTTGATTGGCTGAAGTAAATTGTACCTTAAGTTATATTGGCTGTTATATCTACCATGATTTGTGACTTTGGTTTTGATTGGCTGAAGTAAATTGTACCTTAAGTTATATTGGCTGTTATATCTACCATGATTTGTGACTTTGGTTTTGATTGGCTGAAGTAAATTGTACCTTAAGTTATATTGGCTGTTATATCTACCATGATTTGTGACTTTGGTTTTGATTGGCTGAAGTAAATTGTAACTTAAGTTATATTGGCTGTTATATCTACCATGATTTGTGACTTTGGTTTTGATTGGCTGAAGTAAATTGTAACTTAAGTTATATTGGCTGTTATATCTACCATGATTTGTGACTTTGGTTTTGATTGGCTGAAGTAAATTGTAACTTAAGTTATATTGGCTGTTATATCTACCATGATTTGTGACTTTGGTTTTGATTGGCTGAAGTAAATTGTACCTTAAGTTATATTGGCTGTTATATCTATCATGATTTGTGACTTTGTTTTTGATTGGTTGCAGAGAGGAGATATGCTGTTGGCTCTTGAGGATTTGTCAAAGGCCAAGAAGATTATGCCAACAAGAACAGATGCCATCCTCAAACATGGCCTCTACTATTTTGAGATTGGGTAAGGTTTTATGTGGGATTTGCATGTAACAATACATTACATGTTTCATCTGAGGCTTCAGAATTGATCGTGCACCACTCTGGAACACTGCAGGTTTTTTTTAATTATCTAGACTTCATAGCAACTTAGACTTTGGTAGATTCTGATTAAAGCTGAAACATCACAAATCTTTTCAGTCTTCTTTTGGAAAGGGTTTTTTCAGCTGATATCTTTTCAATTCTGTAAATTTTTAAAAATTATGATACTCCACTAAAGCTGTCATGGGAGATGATATTTTCTAAATGTATTTTTTTAGAATCTTAGAATCTAGGTGTGATCACTTCTAAATTTTACTATCACATGCTTTCATGTTGTCACATTCAAGCATTTTTATCCGTTTTAGACCGTACAGTTGACTGCTGTGACTATAGACTATTATTAAGTCATTGAATTCTATGTTATGACAAATAAGTAAAAAATGCTTGAATTTTTTATATAGAAATTGGACCAATGCTATACAGGACTTTACAGACTTACTGAAAGTGGACCCCCTTGATGCCTCAGCGAGAACATATCGGGGCCGAGCTTACGCCAAAATGCAGCAGTGGACACCAGCTGTGCAGGATTTATCAGCAGCTATCCACCTTGATCCTCTCAGCTGGCAGGCATTTTTCCATCGTGCCTGTATCCTCAGAAAGTATGCCTTTGATTTAGTAATCACAAAAATGTAATGTCGCTAAAATTGAAAGCCACATACATACAAATATATATATATATTTCTTTTGGTAGTCTGTTACAGTAAAGGGGGATAACTCTGATATATATATAAATCACATGTAAATAGTGTAAGGTGGCATATATCCTTAATCATGTACAGTGTCATTTGTAATGTTTATGAGATCTTGTATATTGTAAATGAACTTATTTTGTTGCAATCAATTTTTAAGACATAATCACTTACTGGCACATTAGTGCTTTGATTAAATTGTGTATATATTTACAGTATATATGACCTGAAAAACCATCAAATGTTTCAAAGTTTGAAGAAACAAAATATCTTTAAACATGAAGGAGATTTCTCTTTGCATTTCCATATTATATATATATATATATGATAGAAATGTTTCATTATGATATATTAAGGAAAAAATATGTTTGATTCTACTATAAATGGGTCATTGAATTTTTTCTAGAGCTCATCCTAAGCGAGCTCTCCATGACTACAGTGTCTCTCTCCTCATCAATGATACGGATGAGAATGTCATGTCCTACCTTCACCGAGGGATCCTGTACGATGCCATGGGCAAGTAAGTAATAGGTCTAGTGCTGAACCCTTCACTGTTAAACACTTTATGATAGATTGTCATGACTGTTTAGTAGATGTTTATAAAGGTGTTACTAGTGATGAGGACTTTATAACACAACTATCTGATAACTGTAGAATCCAACATAATCTTAGTACTATATAAACATGTATCAATGCTATTTTCTGTACCTTGATGTAGTAGTTTGAGATATCTGTACATGTAATGGTAACTTTAAGATTTACTGAAATCTACAGCAGTTGTCAAGTGGTTAAGGCATCTGACTGTCTTTATCACTAGCTCTCCACCTCTTGGTCACAAGTTTGAGACCTACATGGGGCAGTTACCAGGTTCGGGCTGTAGGTCGGTGTTTTTTGTCTGGGAACTCTGGGCTTTCCTTCACCACCTAAACCAGGCATGTCCTTAAATGGCCCTGGCTGTTGATAGGATGTAAAGTAACAACAAACAAATAGTCTGCCATATTTCATTACTATAGCAACATTTGTTTCATGGCTGTTTCAGATTTCACTGATGGAGTAATTAGTTCATTTCAGCTCATTTTAGTACATTTTAGTACATTGTCATAGTGATGGTTTCTGGACTGCCTGGAGGACAGATACAGTAAAACAAAGTCCTATGTCACATGGCAGTGGCTGAAATAGGTTCTATAGCATATTCATTCTTGGGATACAAAATGAATTTATTCAGCTGACACAGATTCATTTGAAATTTCGTTAGATTTTTGAAATTTTTATTTTGTTACAGACATGAGGATGCTATCCCAGACTTTGAGAGTGTTCTTAAACTGAACAAGGATATTGCCTGTGCCCATGTGAACCTCGGGCTGATCTTCATGAATCACTATGACAACTACCACAGGTTCAGAACATTTTAATAATCTGTATAAAATGTCTTAAAATCCCCAACCACCCTTACCCCTTGATTTACTAAATCTATATCAGAGATTTACTCCATATTGTGATAAAATTAGAGATTTTATGTAAGGCAGCTGTACATAATGTGTTTACACACATGTACTTTGTAAATACTCCCCGTTGTAGTGTGTTGATATGTATGTACTTTGTAAATACTCCCCGTTGTAGTGTGTTGATATGTACGTACTTTGTAAATACTCCCCGTTGTAGTGTGTTGATATGTACGTACTTTGTAAATACTCCCCGTTGTAGTGTGTAGATATGTACGTACTTTGTAAATACTCCCCGTGTACTTTGTAAACACTCCCCGTTGTAGTGTGTTGATATGTACATACTTTGTAAATACTCCCCGTTGTAGTGTGTTGATATGTATGTACTTTGTAAATACTCCCCGTTGTAGTGTGTGTACTTTGTAAATACTCCCCGTTGTAGTGTGTTGATATGTACGTACTTTGTAAATACTCCCCGTTATAGTGTGTTGATATGTACGTACTTTGTAAATACTTCCCGTTGTAGTGTGTTGATATGTACGTACTTTGTAAATACTCCCCGTTGTAGTGTGTTGATATGTACGTACTTTGTAAATACTCCCCGTTGTAGTGTGTTGATATGTACGTACTTTGTAAATACTCCCCGTTGTAGTGTGTTGATATGTACGTACTTTGTAAATACTCCCCGTTGTAGTGTGTTGATATGTACGTACTTTGTAAATACTCCCCGTTGTAGTGTGTTGATATGTATGTGCCCGTGAGTACCTCTGTACTCTGACTGTTTAAAGTGTAGGATTATGTGTATATTTTTGTACCTATTTCCAACCCTTTGCTACATACATCCAAAATTAGAAAGTTGTATTTCAGTAAGAGAAAATGATGTTGATGTGTCATTTGTTTTGATCCAGGGCGATTAAGAAGTTTTCCTCAGGTATCAAGGTTGACCCTACCTATGTGAGAGCCTATGTTTGTCGAGGAGAAGCTTATCATAAGATACACGAGGTAAGTGTTGTAGATACACTTTAGGTAGTATTATGGTACATATTTTTATCCCTAGAGTTTGTTTAACTTTGTAGAAATTAAATGTGATTTTTTGGTATACCACCTATATACACAGTTGAAGAGGGTGTATATGGTTTCTTCTGTTGTAACAGATAGGTAGATGATACCGGATCCTACCGTATTTTTCCTACAATAAGCCCAGGTACCTGACATTACTGTTTACTCTACATCATGAGGTGGGCGTGTTACAGAGCAGTATAATAGCATTGGTTAATGGTTTTACAGAACAGCAATTTGTATTTATAAGAAGAGATAAAGAATACCTTGCCATTACTTGGGTTCAGACTAGCGACCCTTTGGATTCTAGTTGGACACTCTATTGCTCAATTCCCTCTAACCAAGGCTACCTAGTCAGGCTCTCATCTTTTACATGATTCCTTCCTTCACTAAGTCTTCAAACCCAAAAAACATTAACAACTCAGGTTCTTAAAGGCAAAGTAAGCATCTCAATCTCCTGTAACTTGTACCCTTGGAGTGGTCAATGGCACCAATTCTAATAAGAAGGAGTAATGAATAATACCCTACCACTGCTGGGGTTTGAACTAGGGACCCTTCGGTCTCTAGCTGGACACTCTACTGCTCCACTAAAGGGAAGCCCCCTAGTTGAAGCTAGTAAGGCGGCCATTTACTCTCACCTTTTACATATAAATGGGCTTATTGTGGAATAAATACAATACTTTCAGACATAAGGGTGTGATGTTTTTATATCATATTATATTATATGCTCTGTTATCAGTTGAAGCTGGCCCTAAGAGACTTCACAAGAGCTATCCATCTACGGCCAGATGTACACCACTACTACATGTACCGAGTATGTATACTACCACATCACTGCATACTTCAACTCCATCAATGTTTATAACAATATCTCTACACTCCAGAAATACATAGTAAATACACCTGAATCCCTCTAATTCTGATGAAATTAAATCCTTTATTCATGATATTCTATAATTGAAATTTCATGAGAAAAATAAATGGTTTCACAAGATGTCCATAGTTAGATCTGAAATCATTTTCTGTTTTTTTTTTTTTTTTTAAAACATGATATTGTGTTAAATGTGTACAATGTACCTCCTATTTACCATGTAACTCAACCAGTCTCAATATCTACTACAGCTTCACCCCTTACTCTAATAAACAACCACTTTTAAGTAAAGATTGAAGTTTAAATAAAATATACCTTATGTTGTCTCAAAACTTTGACTTCCAGTCATTTTTCTGAATAATTTGTAAGTAAATAATGCGTTTGTGTAAATCTTTGCTCAGGGACAACTTGTGCTGGAGATGGGCAACTTGGACCTGGCAGCATTCTGTGTACGGTAAGTCAAAGTGAAAGTAGAAGTCACAATATAAATTTCAGTGCTTATTAGTGGTATCCCAGAGGCTTAGATATCCAGCTAGGTAAAACCACTGTAAAACGAAAGTAACTTATCATGTAGATAAAACCATTGTAAAGTGAAAGTAAACATGCCTTTTAAGTATGTTGACTAGAGCATTTGGTGATGCAGACTGAACATTTTTTTATTTTTCCCAGTTCTGTATTTCAAAGTTTAAGATCTGAAGAAGTAATTTGATCAGTAAATCATACTATACTGTTTTCCAATTTATATCCTGTAATGTCCCATCACACGTGTGTTTTTGATTGTTTTGGCACATATGTAGGCCCTGAATCATTTCATCTTACATGTGTAACCATACACCTGTCATTTGTGGGTCAAGGTCACAATCAATACAAGATCTAGGCCAATTTACCACAAGGTTATTAAAGCTCACTATTCTTAACAAAATATGTCCCACATTTGTTTCCATTTGAAGACATGTTCCCAATTTTCTCCAAAGAAACGTGACCTTGACTCATCAGGTTGGGGCCATCGTTTGTTTATTGTTTGTATATCATTTTGTTGTTTGAACTATGACCTTAGATTCTTCATGCGACTACAGGAGTCAGAATATGGGTATGGTGAACATTTGGTTTCTGTGATTACTCATGTGTTGTATTATCACTAATGTGCTTTTCACAACATATAGTATTCAGTCCTTAATATTCTTATTGACTACAATTTTTTTACTTGCTTACTCTCATATTAGAATAATTGGTAGAACATTGTTTGTCACTGGAAAGAACATGTGCCTTGTAGTTATATAAATGAGTATGCGGAGGGAACGATTGAGCAAAGGTGACAATCTGAGATCATAAAAAAGAGAAAGATATTTATATTCATAGGAAATTTAAAAAAAAAAATGAAACTGGAGATGGTTTTCTGGAACATTCATATTGATACAAAATCTCTGCCACCATGGATTCTGTGAGTCCCTAAGATAATGCTGTGTAGAAGTCTAACCCAGTTTTGTATCTTATTGTGTTTTACTTCCAAAAGTTAAGGCCCTTGTTATGAATGTTTTGATGAAACAAGTAAGGCTGATTATATTTGGTAACATAAAGGTTCTCAATTTTACTATTAGGACTTGTGCAGGTTTGTTAATCTTTAGTAAATAAAGGATTAAGTACATGATTTTATCTTAAGACTAGATGTGAGTACCATGGAACCATAAAAGCATAACTTTTGTATGTTGCCTAGAGTTCGTACTGCTTTTGTATATCATACTCATTAAATAATTGTTCTTATTGAATTAAATCTTGTGATATTTTTTTCCTGAATTTTATCAAACTGTATTTAATAGATAGATCCTTATTTATTTGTTTATCATTTTAATTTTTTTATAATGATTGAGTTAACAAATTAACATTGCTTATTAATTAATGATATAATTATGTGTATTTAATTAGCTTAAAATCCTTAATGCTTTTATCTGTTTTTATGCTGTGATGACTTTGTCATGTAAATATTCATAAGACTGTTTTGTTTGTTATGTTGATAAGTAATCTTAGATGATATTCTGATATAAGTAATTAATGTGAGTTTGTCCAGCAGTTATGCCAGTTGTTACAATGATTTTCAGGTAGTGGTAGGCTTGTAACAAAGAGCAAGAGTCCTTGAAGATTATCTGTGTAGTGGAATCTGAACTGATAATGATAGTGTTGGATATTCAACAATTAATTGAAGATCATTAACTTGATGACTTCCACAAATCATTAAAAGGCATTATTTCCTAAATTAAAGATAAAAGTTTCATAACTTTTTAAAATAAATTTTTGAAAAAAAAAAAAATTGGTCATGACAGATATTGAGTAAATGTTAAAGACTTCAGTGTCATCATGGTTAAATTGTTTCATGACTAATTCTTCATTTGAATTATTTTTTTTAATGGAAGGATTTTTGTTGCTGTAGTATCATTTTCTGGTAGTTTTTACATACAAACACTTCCATAATGAAATCATATGAATAAAGATCATTTCCAAGGCTTTCAAGGTCAAAGACAAGGTCAGAGGTTCAAGGTTACAAAGTTACAAGGTCAAATACATTAAAATTATGAATCATTTAAACTTGAACACTTGTCCTTCCAAGGTCATGATTTTAGTTGTCAGCTGTTTATCTAGCAATAGGGTCCCTGTCTGATTCCAGACACTCCCATATCTCTTGCAATTCAGTAGAAATGTATTGATATTTATTGAATTGTCCTGTAATAAACCCTCCACGTACTGTCATGTAATACTGGTAAATACTAGTCACAATATATCACTTGGTGAGAGAAAATTTCTTTTCCACTCTATCAGTTGAGCATCAGACTTATAAGCCAGAAGTCCCAGGTTTTTGTTCAAGCGGAGGCATTGGAATAAAGAATGACCTTTTGTTACATCATTCAGAGTTTACACGCTGAAATACTGATATTGTTACAGGATACACCATATAACCATAAGGAGGCCATGGAAATTCTAATTAGCAGGGATAGGTACAGAATAAGATTCTAATTAGCAGGGATAGGAACAGAATAAGATTGTAATTAGCAGGGATAGGGACAGAATAAGATTCTAATTAGCAGGGATAGGGACAGAATAAGATTCTAATTAGCAGGGATAGGGACAGAATAGGATTGTAATTAGCAGGGATAGGGACAGAATAGGATTTTATTAGCAGGGATAGGGACAGAATAGGATTCTAATAAGCAGGGATAGGTACAGAATAGGATTGTAATTAGCAGGGATAGGAACAGAATAAGATTGTAATTAGCATGGATAGGTACAGAATAAGATTGTAATTAGCAGGGATAGGGACAGAATAAGATTGTAATTAGCAGGGATAGGGACAGAATAAGATTCTAATTAGCAGGGATAGGGACAGAATAAGATTGTAATTAGCAGGGATAGGGACAGAATAAGATTGTAATTAGCATGGATAGGGACAGAATAGGATTGTTAGGGACAGAATAGGATTGTTAGGGACAGAATAGGATTGTAATTAGCAGGGATAGGAACAGAATAAGATTGTAATTAGCATGGATAGGGACAGAATAAGATTGTAATTAGCAGGGATAGGGACAGAATAAGATTGTAATTAGCAGGGATAGGGACAGAATAGGATTGTAATTAGCAGGGATAGGGACAGAATAGGATTGTAATTAGCAGGGATAGGGACAGAATAGGATTGTAATTAGCAGGGATAGGGACAGAATAGGATTGTAATTAGCAGGGATAGGGACAGAATAGGATTCTAATTAGCAGGGATAGGGACAGAATAGGATTCTAATTAGCAGGGATAGGGACAGAATAGGATTGTAATTAGCAGGGATAGGGACAGAATAGGATTGTAATTAGCATGGATAGGGACAGAATAGGATTCTAATTAGCATGGATAGGGACAGAATAGGATTGTTAGGGACAGAATAGGATTGTAATTAGCAGGGATAGGAACAGAATAAGATTGTAATTAGCAGGGATAGGGACAGAATAAGATTGTAATTAGCAGGGATAGGGACAGAATAAGATTCTAATTAGCAGGGATAGGGACAGAATAAGATTCTAATTAGCAGGGATAGGGACAGAATAAGATTGTAATTAGCAGGGATAGGGACAGAATAAGATTGTAATTAGCAGGGATACATACAGAATAGGATTCTAATTAGCAGGGATAGGTACAGAATAAAATTATCCTATGATACATATTGATGGATGTGACTATAGACTTAATGTGGTATTCTTACAGACATGCTTCTGATATTGGAACACAAGACTCGGCCTTGGGGCAGATGCCAACTCAACAAGCTGTGGTGCAAACATTCCTGAAAAATTATGGCAAGGTAGATATAGATATAGACAGCATTTGACAATAAAGATAAAACTATGAATACTCACAAAAAAAAAAAAAAAAACGGTATTAGCTTAGTTTGGACATGTGCAGGAAGAATTTTGGCAAGGCCAATATGAATATTCATGAAGAAATTTGTTAGATTATGATCATGACAAGGTAAGTAAGTAGGCATTAATATGCATTATGTATCATTGTAAGACATGAATATACATGATGTATTACATGTAAGGCATGAACATGCATGATGTATTATAATGTATGAATATGCATGATGTATTATGATAAGGTATGAATATGCATGATGTATCATGATAAGGTATGAATATGCATGATGTATTATGATAAGGTATGATTATGCATGATGTATTACATGTAAGGCATGAATATGCATGATGTATTATAAGGTATGAATATCCATGATGTATTATGATAAGGTATGAATATGCATGATGTATTATGATAAGGTATAAATATGCATGATGTATAACATGTAAGGCATGAATATGCATGATGTATTATAAGGTATGAATATCCATGATGTATTATGATAAGGTATGAATATGCATGATGTATTATGATAAGGTATGAATGTGCATGATGTATTATGATAAGGTATGAATATGCATGACGTATTATGATAAGGTATGAATGTGCATCATGTATTATGATAAGGTATGAATATGCATGATGTATTATGATAAGGTATGAATATGCATGAAGTATTATGATAAGGTATGAATATGCATCATGTATTATGATAAGGTATGAATATGTATGATGTATTATGATAAGGTATGAATATGCATGACGTGTTATGATAAGGTATGAATGTGCATGAAGTATTATGATAAGGTATGAATATGCATCATGTATTATGATAAGGTATGAATATGCATGATGTATTATGATAAGGTATGAATATGCATGAAGTATTATGATAAGGTATGAATATGCATGATGTATCATGATAAGGTATGAATGTGCATCATGTATTATGATAAGGTATGAATATGCATGATGTATCATGATAAGGTATGAATATGCATGATGTATCATGATAAGGTATGAATGTGCATCATGTATTACATGTAAGGCATGAACATGCATGATGTATTATAATGTATGAATATGCATGATGTATTATGATAAGGTATGAATATGCATGATGTATTATGATAAGGTATGAATATGCATGATGTATTACATGTAAGGCATGAATATGCATGATGTATTATAAGGTATGAATATGCATGATGTATTATGATAAGGTATGAATATGCATGATGTATTATGATAAGGTATGAATATGCATGATGTATCATGATAAGGTATGAATATGCATGATGTATTTATGTAAGGCATGAATATTCATGATGTATTTATGTAAGGCATGAATATGTCAGGATGCAGTAAGATGTATCTTGGAATAAAATAGTAACACTTAGATTTAGAGAAATATTGAGTAAAACAGTTGAAAGTCCTGTTAATGTTTCTTAGTAGATGTAGATTGGGAAAGAAGATATGATACAAGGAATTAATTGAATATAATCAATGTTTCAGGCTATCGAAGCTCTCAATATAGCAACCCGCTCCAAACCTGTAGGATCCATGTTCATGCTGTTAGGAAAAACGCAGATGAAGGCCAAACTTTACAAGGACGCCATCACTAGCTTTGAGCGTGCTCTGAGTATATATGTGAGTGTTGATGACTTAAGTGCACAGTTTTGGTGTGTGGGCGTTTTTATTAAGCAGAAACAGATTTGTCATTTGCAAACAAGGTTATATAAGGGTCTTTGACCACTGCAGGCTAAGTCTTCTTCGCCAAGGTTCTGCAATTATTATTTTTTTTTTTGTAAAATAGTAAGATTTCATATTTTAAGAATACAAAATTGTCATTGAAACAGAGGAGATTAGAATTTATGCTGAAATATTGTGATCATATCCATGTAGAAATTGCTTTAGTTGATCAAAATATTTCTTTTTTACCAAGAAAACTTTCTATCTGTGCTTGAAATATAGAACCTCGCTATAATTTTATTTCTTTCAGAAATATGATCAACATACTATTAATAAATAGGGTTTTACTTTAATGTTGAAACTTCTATAACTTTGTGAAATTACAGTATTTGGAATATTTCCATATACCTTAAGAAGCAATAAGCTGTTGTAGCAATATCTAATTCAGGCTATTCTATTGATAGAATATATAGTATAGTGTCAGGTTTCCATGAAGCAATATTTTTATTCTGTACAGTATCAGGCTTCCATAGATTAATATTTTTATTCTGTACAGTATCAGGCTTCCATAGATTAATATTTTTATTCTGTATAGTATCAGGCTTCCATAGATTAATATTTTTATTCTGTATAGTATCAGGCTTCCATAGATTAATATTTTTATTCTGTATACCATCAGGTTTCCATAGATAAATATTTTTATTCTGTATAGTATCAGGTTTCCATAGATTAATATTTTTATTCTGTATAGTATCAGGTTTCCATAGATTAATATTTTTATTCTGTATACCATTAGGTTTCCATAGATTAATATTTTTATTCTGTATACCATTAGGTTTCCATAGATAAATATTTTTATTCTGTATACCATCAGGTTTCCATAGATTAATATTTTTATTCTGTATAGTATCAGGTTTCCATAGATTAATATTTTTATTCTGTATAGTATCAGGTTTCCATAGATTAATATTTTTATTCTGTATAGTATCAGGTTTCCATAGATTGATATTTTTATTCTGTATAGTATCCTATATCATTATCTAGTTAGCAGCCAGCTCTGGTTGGTTTAGTTGTAGATCAATCATTACACACCTATGTATGCAACATTTCATGGTTTCAAGTTTTCTTACAGTATATTTAATTTAGTTTTCTTATCTTTTTATCATCACATGAAATAGATAATACAAACATAATTAATGTTATCAATGTATCTGCATTTTTCATGAATAAGGAAAAAGTTTATTTCTTTTTTTAGCATGTTTGATTTGTCACAAGTGTCCCTGTAACATTATATAGTGTTGTCCCTTACCATTAGACCTTCTAAAAATCCTCCCACCACCACCAAAGTACTACACCCGTCACAAAACCCTGTCTGATACTTTCCTTGTATACTACCTGTAAATTAGAAAGACTGGATTTACGTTGGAAGGTGTTACTTAATTAAAAGATGTGTCACCATGACTACAAACTTCCTGGACAATTTCTGACAGTTCAGGTTTTTGAGTTTTTTTATCCTGGAGCCCTAATTTGGTCCGAGTTGTAACTCTTGATGAACGCCGAAACAGCTCTAGTGTGTAAGATGAGAATACTACATGTATCCTTATATACAACTGATTAACACTCTGATTTGTAACAGATGTGATGACAAATTGTCTTAGATATGTAGTTATGTACACACATCTACAACAGTTGATATGTTGGCTTTACATGATACCTGTATGTTTATAAAGATATAAATTTTTCTTGATATTTTCATTTTTGTATTTTGTATTAGTTTGTCTTTGGTGCTTCTGACTGGTTATTTCAGTAGGACAACATTACACGATGGTGAGGAGACGAATTCTTGCATTCAATCTCTTATTTACATCTGTTTACATTGGCGCTTCTGACTGGTTATTTCAGTAGGACAACATTACATGATGGCGAGGAGACGAATTCTTGCATTCAATCTCTTATTTACATCTGTTTACATTGGCGTTTCTGACTGGTTATTTCAGTAGGACAACATTACACGATGGTGAGGAGACGAATTCTTGCATTCAATCTCTTATTTACATCTGTTTACATTGGCGCTTCTGACTGGTTATTTCAGTAGGACAACATTACACGATGGTGAGGAGACGAATTCTTGCATTCAATCTCTTGTTTACATCTGTTTACATTGGCGCTGACTGGTTATTTTAGGACAACATTACACGATGGTGAGGAGACGAATTCTTGCATTCAATCTCTTGTTTACATCTGTTTACATTGGCGCTTCTGACTGGTTATTTCAGTAGGACAACATTACACGATGGTGAGGAGACGAATTCTTGCATTCAATCTCTTGTTTACATCTGTTTACATTGGCGCTTCTGATTGGCCATTTTAGTAGGACAACATTACACGATGGCGAGGAGACAAAATCTTCCAATCAATCTCTTGTCTACATCTGTTTACATTACACTTATGAACTACTCTGGCTTGTCTGTATGTGACCTGGGTTGAACAAAATAATTTTTTCTAAATATGCTCCTTCCAGAGTAAATAAGTCTCCTTTATACATACGTATACACCACCATCACCCACATTGCCCTAATACTATGAAACAAAAGGATTTGAATTGGAGAAGATTAAAAATCTGCCCCATCATTATATTGGTGTTGGGTCATACCTGGTGCTACAGTAAGCTTTATTTGTATGTTGCCATGGTAGCAGAGTTTTTTTATCCTATTAGGTGGCAGTTTTTACCTGCTTTTATAGCTGCGTTTGTTTATGTTTATATAATAGAACGTCGATTTAAAGGTAAGTTTTCACTGGTCTAACACCTGGTGAAAGTCATGTGCTCACTCACCTGTAGCTTCTATATATATATATATAAACTTGTAACGTTTTGTGGGATTTCTTTAGTCCAGACAGTTTTACTTCTGAAGTGAAACATTAAATATGAAATATTTTCTCATGAATCAGAACAAATACTGCAAAATTTCTATTTGAGGGTATTTAAAATTTTGGAAATTTTTTAGCTGCATTGCGTTAATGTCTTATAAATTTTGGAGTTCCTGAAGTTTTTGGAGAGTTCAAGATCTTAAGTTTCTGTGAAATTTTCAATTTATTCGAAGTCTTTAATTTTTAAGCAAGAAAATTTTCTATTCTATTTAAGTCTGAAATTGATCAGAATCTGGATTAACGAGATTCCACTTTTCGTTTACCTTTTCTGTTGGATATATATATTTCCTTGATAGTTCCGTTGTTTGCTTTTCACAATTAGCATAATTATATTGTTATCAACTGTTAGTTCAGTTAATTGTTTGATCAATCAATTTTTATTAAGCTGATCAACATTCTTTTAAAGGTGGTGAATTACTTTCAAGACAACATAAATTTGAACCAAGATTCAGGGAAAAATTCAGGAAAAGGTTTCGAGATTTCACTCCTTTCCCATTGTTCATATTTTCTTTCAGAACACTGATCATCTGAAACCTGATCACGTGACCATTAGTTATGTCCCTGTGAAAAGCTTTTTTGGTTGTCTCCCTTAGTTTTGATGTATTTGGTAAATTTAGATACAATTGTTACATTACAGTTAGATATTTTTTTGAACAGAAGATTTACCCCAAGCTTCTAAGATTTTGATTTGACAGAAAAAACGAGTGCAAATTTCAAGACATCTGTCTCTCATAAATAAATTATGCATTTGTGATCTAAAGATTCCGTCTATATGTTTCCAACATTAATTACATCTATATACTGTAGCTTTGATATATATAAAAATTTACATGATGTCTTCACACTTTGTCTAGATGTTGTATACATTGTAAATGTTTGTGTGTTTATTGTAGTTTTCGTATATTTGCAGAACAATATCAGCTCATATGTATTAAGCATGATATAGCATTATGTGTTGCTAGCTTTTTCAGAATTGTGCCGTTTATTTAAGCATGATGATTAATCTAAGCACACACGCAAGGGCTTTTATTCATATTGGGTCTTTCAAATTTTCATCGCTCATGTATTTTTCTGTGAAAATGATACGTTAGAAACACTTCATTCTCATCCATATTTTTAATAAATCTTCACACAAAAAAATGCCGGTACTTGTGTCACCCATGCTCAGACTTATGTTTGGTATCAACTTGATTAAGTATATATCTTATTACAGAAAATTCTTATCTGCTATTTTAAAAGATAAATTGATGTTAGGAACTTTTTGTATGAATAAACAAACTACATGAATCCTTACAAAAAATATAAACTGCAAGTTTGTAAAAAAGACACACAGGTGAGAAGCAACTTTCAATACAAAATACATCTCTGTATGTGAATAATGAAGACATGAATTATAGCCATCCAAAACAGCTACAGGGTTAAGATGGTATTAATTATGTCACTTACGGTACATGTTACACTTGGCTTTAACGTTACAAAAATAAAATATTTATTGTTTTATTTTAAAGTTGTTTAAATAAAATAAATGAAAAAAAAAATGGTGAATGATAATTTGTTAGTAACGATTTGAATAAAAATGAGAATTTACTTGTATGAGCTCTAATATGTTAGGTTGTTATGACTGGTTAAGGCGATGTTTTAATTTCTAATTAATGATAAAGATAGATTTAATGATTGGTGGATGCAGAACCTGAACTGAAATATTCCTAATCTTTTTGAATCTGAGACCCTGAGTAATCCTACACAGTGAGTTCCTACAGATTATTGTGTGCCAGGATTTTACCATATTTAACCTGATGTAAGCCCACGAAGTTCCCAGGGTTATCGTCGTCCACTGAAAGGCTGTCATAGTGGACGTAAAATCCTGTTAAATAGATAAAACCCATTAAATACCAGGGGATCAACACATCACCCCTGACTCAAACTCAGGGGATGGGCTTATTATAGAACAAAGGTCCTGTATGAATTCTGCTAAACTATAAAAGAGATGTGTGGACTTATTTCTGAATAAATATGGTTAAAAAAAATCCTGAATATGATTTGTTTGTTTGGACATTTTGCCAAATTTTTAAATGAATGTTACGTTCTCAGGGTACCAGATCAGAAAGTTTGATGTAGAAATAATTAGTAGTCTGTTTATGTTATTTGGTTCCCATCTTTACCAAATCGTTTATGACACAACCAAATTCTAGCAAACTTTATACAAAGTTTTTGACTCGTCTCAGGAAAGTTTAAATAAATCAACAAGAAGATTTGAAAACAAAGATGTTTCAACCTATAACTTGTGGAAGTATAAATATTCATTACCTGATGAGGTAATTTAGAACATATCACTAGAAAAAGGGAAAAAATACTCAGTTTCAAAGAAAATTTGAATTGTAGAAGTTTTTCTGAGACATTTTGACTATTTCAGTAAATTTGAATAAGTTCTGAAATATTTCATGTGCATTCTCCAACATTTGGTAACCAAATAAGATGGTTTAGATTGAGGTGAACGGGAAACATCAAAAACTTGTTAGTGACCATCTACAGTCAGCATGGTAGTTTTGTTGTACTGATGTGGTCATTACAGTAAATAACCTGGGATCTTGCTGTCCAATCTTGTTTCCAAAACAAGTACATTTTTGTAATGGAATTTATGTGACAATAAGTACCTTATCTCTGAATATTTGTTTCCGGGAAAAAAAAATCATACGAAAATTTGAAAATCCTTTTATTCTTATGAAAGGATATAAATGTGAAAAAAAACACACATAATCACCAGAGAATAAACAAGATTTTTCTTACTAATTGTATTTTTTGTGAAACTTCTCATCATCCACAACTTTCCCAGTCATAGTCTTATCCTCCTGGTAGGTGCTCTATACATAGTCCTTGCCCATTGGTTTTAAATGACATAATAAAGAATTGTTTAATCCTATTTGTGTATTAGACCTGCAAGGCTTTCACAAAGTTTGACGTATCACTACATGTATAACTCCTGCCTGCACGGGAAAGGCTTATATACGCCCCGCAGTCTGACTGTTTATCAGTTTCCTAATAATGAACGGATTTCTTTTCTTATGGTTGTATCACACCAGTGATAAACCTAGGTGTTAATATCTAATTTTTATCATACTTCCTTTGTAAGGTACATCAGATAATGCTGATGTTGAAAAAATAATATTTCTCTGTAAACCTTCCAGAATATTAAGCCTTACACTTGATAGCCATGTGTATACCTTACTGTAGGTGAAACTTCATCCTATGATGGGAACATATACACAGTAAAACCATGATATAATGACATTAGCTTGTCAGTATAGAGTAACACCTTGATATAATGCCTGTCATTTATCAGAATTCCAAAAATTTTGAAAAAATAAACAACTAATTAACGAAAATCTTAATTTATAAATCTATTTGTATCTCTATCACCTTTGTTAACATATTTCAAAGTTTTCCTATTTCTATATATACCCTTTGATATATCATAAAACTTGTCCTTGTATCACATTTGGTTACAATGTATTGAGGTTTTAGAATTTGTCTAAACTGAATTCTTTGTAAGACTAAAAATTTTCTCAAGTGTATGTGGAGAACGGCCTCATTTGTGATGGAAATCAGGTTGTCTTGGGAAAAGAATTATGAATGAAAGTAAATTCAACTCCTCATAGAATTAGCATTACATACATGTAAAAGTATATGATATTGATCATGACTTCATTACCAAAATATATTGTATAAACATTTCCATGAATATTAGAACATTAATTGTGTGGATGCAGAATACCTTTCAGTATTATACACCAATGAAATACATTTAACTGTAAACGTAACGTCAAAGACATCAGTTACTTAAAGCACATCAGTATACCTTTTCCTATGATTTATCATTTACCTTCTTCAGAAACCATGGAAACCACGAGAGCCGTGGCCTGCGGAGGCTGGAGAGGCCCATTTCCTCATTGGTATGTGTCACATGGAACTCAAGCGATATGTTGACTCCTTGGAAGCCTTCTCGAACGCCATCAAACTTGACTCCAGTTATGCTGAGGTTAGTGTGAAAGTATAAATTGCTGGAAAAGAAGTTTTTAAACGGTTGACTTACATATCAGAATATATCTGTCAGCAGGATTGATTGGTTGGAACAGATGTCTGCGCTCAGAGAATCAGATTGATATTTTTAGGCCCCCTCCATTTTATGGTTAAGATTCTATATTTAAGTGATACCTGTCATTTCCTCATGATATGATTTCCTCTCGTTTACTTTCCATAACTCCTTACAGGTACACACTGTTATTTGGTATGCAGTTGAATGATGCTAATTTGCAGGTCAAGTTCAGATTTGGTTGTGTTCAACTTATTTTTTCTAGAATAAAGACCATTAAATTTTCAGAAACTAAAAATGATAAAAAATGAAAGATAAATAATAAGAGCAATATTGGAAAGCCTTGCCTAAGTCTTGTGGAACTTCAATTTCTGCAGGAAGAAATTCAGTTTTATTTCTTGCAGCATGAGTATACCTCTGAACCAAGCCAGTCACACTAGGCAGGTCCAAACCTTGTCACTCTGACATATCTAGTTTTCTACCAAACAGATATTTGAAAATTGATGCTATTTATTTATCTTCTACATTGTGATTTCTTGATATCATATATCTGTTTTGTATTATATGAAAGCATGAAAAACATGAAATTTTTATAATTCATGTTTGAACTATTGTTTCCCTCAGGCTCTTTACCAGAGGGGCGTGGCCAGAACCAAACTGGGAATGTCTAAAGGTATCCAAGACTTCAATAAGGCCCTCGCCATCAACCCAAAGATTTTCCAGGTAATGTCTAATTTGAACTAAGATGGTACTTATCGTGGGATGTTCATATAATAAAATAATTTAAAGAATTATAGCCTAGTTATATAGTCATATATATATTTACCTTTAGTATGCAAAATCACTGTTTTTTAGTATCAGTTTTAAGGGTATATTTTACCTTGATTTACCAGATCAGTTTTAAGGGTATATTTTACCTTGATTTACCAGATCAGTTTTAAGAGTATATTTAACCATGATTTACAGGATCAGTTTTAAGGGTATATTTAACCTTGATTTACCAGATCAGTTATAAGGGTATATTTACCTTGATTTACAGGATCAGTTTTAAGGGTATATTTAACCTTGATTTACCAGATCAGTTTTAAGGGTATATTTTACCTTGATTTACCAGATCAGTTTTAAGGTATATTTAATATCAGGATCAGTTTTAAGGGTATATTTTGATTTACAAGATCAGTTTTAAGGGTATATTTAACCTTGATTTACAAGATCAGTTTTAAGGGTATATTTAACCTTGATTTACAAGATCAGTTTTAAGGGTATATTTAACCATGATTTACAGGATCAGTTTTAAGGGTATATTTTACCTTGATTTACCAGATCAGTTTTAAGGGTATATTTAATCTTGATTTACAAGATCAGTTTTAAGGGTATATTTTACCTTGATTTACAAGATCAGTTTTAAGGGTATATTTAACCATGATTTACAGGATCAGTTTTAAGGGTATATTTAACCTTGATTTACCAGATCAGTTTTAAGGGTATATTTAACCATGATTTACAGGATCAGTTTTAAGGGTATATTTAACCATGATTTACAGGATCAGTTTTAAGGGTATATTTTACCTTGATTTACCAGATCAGTTTTAAGGGTATATTTTACCTTGATTTACAGGATCAGTTTTAAGGGTATATTTAACCTTGATTTACCAGATCAGTTTTAAGGGTATATTTAACCATGATTTACAGGATCAGTTTTAAGGGTATATTTAACCTTGATTTACCAGATCAGTTTTAAGGGTACATTTTACCTTGATTTACCAGATCAGTTTTAAGGGTATATTTAACCATGATTTACAAGATCAGTTTTAAGGGTATATTTAACCTTGATTTACAAGATCAGTTTTAAGGGTATATTTAACCTTGATTTACAAGATCAGTTTTAACGGTATATTTTTCCATGATTTACAAGATCAGTTTTAACGGTATATTTTTCCATGATTTACAAGATCAGTTTTAAGGCTATATGCTATCTTAGTTTATAACATTAGTTTTACTTCCTTGTTGTTGTTTGTATGAAAATCATGTAATTTAGATTTACATTGGTGACATACTTGATACATATTCAACAATGGTCTTTAGATTTTATATAGATAGTTATATTGAATTAAATTTATATGATTTTAAGCGAGATAATTGTTATATGTTGTCCCTTGTGGGACTCGAATGGATACCCTGAATGGATGTTTGTAAAAATAACGATGAAAAATTTGGAACGTTCACTCAAACATAAAAAAAGCTTTATCCTTTATGAAGTAGAGGTATTTTTGTATATTAATTGTTTGATGCCTGCCATGTTAAAACTTATTCTATCCATTGTGTTTCTAGGCGTATCTAAGTCGAGCCTGTTACTATGGCCACAGGAAGAACTACACTAAGGCCATCTTGAATTGTAATGAAGCAATCAAACTACAGCCACAGAGTGTACGAGCATTCCTGTACAGGCAAGTAACAAGGAGTTGGATGGGGCAGTTTTATAAATTTAATGTATTGTCAGAAATTCAGTTGAAAAAATGAGTGGTTTTAATATAAACAGGCTTTAAGGTTGTAATTTGCTGTAATAATGCTTTGTGTTAGATCATGAATCTCTTATTTTGAATCAACACAACATCTAAAATAAAGATGTGAAAACAATTCCATTTATGAAATATTGAAAATAGAGAGCATTTTCTTCAATTTAAGTCATATTAGCTAAAAAATGAATAGACAATTTTGAACTTACTTTTGATACTAATTGCTAACATTTGACCCACAGAGGGGCCCTGAAGTACCACATCAAAGCCTTTGACCTTGCCATCCAGGACTTGACCAAAGCCACTAGTATAGATAGTACTTGTGCCCTTGGTTACTTCAACCGTGCTGTCTGTTTCCAGGAGAAGAAGGATTACCAGCGGGTAGGAAGTTCCTTGTCAATTTTTGTTCACAACAGTTTTTGAACAACATTCCAGCTGAGACAGTTGTCATAATTTAAAAAATTCAAAATAGAATTTTAATGCACCTGGTCCTTGGTGCAGCATCCCTCATCTCTCTGTCTAGCATCAACGTTTGAATAACCTCTTCTCAAAAACTAATTAGTTAAACGTTATGATATTCAGCAGGTGGATTGCTAGTATGAATCATGACAAAGTTGTTGTAAGGAAATGACTTTAATCCATATTCAAGATCACAGAGGTCAAATTTGTTAAAACTTTAAACAATTCCTTCTGATTAACCAAAAGGCTTAGAAACATCAAGGTCACTGGGGCCAAATTTGTCAAAACCGGTAAAAGACTTCATTTTGGTATTTGGTGGAAAGGTGTTTCTAGGTCAAAGCCTGACAAAGTTTGAGGAGAAAAAACAAAGTAATGACACTAACCAATAATCCAGGTCATTGTTGTCACAGTTTAGAGCTGAGTGTTAGAAGCTGAAGTTTGTTGTCAAAATTGGTTAGAATTGATTGGATGTGCCCACTCTGAATACCAATGTGTTAATATTTGTGATGAATGTTAATCGTATTATTAAAGAGCATTGAATACAAGGTGAGCGATGCAGGCCCATTGGGCCTCTTGTTAAATACCAGTAACATTATCTTTACAGAACATTTTCAGTATATGTGAAATTTGTTTTTATTTTATTCAGGCCCTGACAGATTACGGCATTGTCCTGCTGCTTGGAGATGATCTCAGAATTCAGGTAATATCTCAGTAAGATATCAGGGTAGGGTTGGATACTTACTCACCCTGTACATACACTTGTATCAGTATGATATCAGGGTAGGGTTGGATACTTACTCACCCTGTACATACACTTGTATCAGTATGATATCAGGGTAGGGTTTCATACTTACTAACCCTGTACATACACCTGTATCAGTATGATATCAGGGTAGGGTTGGATACTTACTCACCCTGTACATACACCTGTATCAGTAGGATATCAGGGTAGGGTTGGATACTTACTAACCCTGTACATACACTTGTATCAGTATGATATCAGGGTAGGGTTGGATACTTACTCACCCTGTACATACATGTGTATCAGGGTAGGGTTGGATACTTACTCACCCTGTACATACACTTGTATCAGTATGATATCAGGGTAGGGTTGGATACTTACTAACCCTGTACATACACGTGTATCAGTATGATATCAGGGTAGGGTTGGATACTTACTAACCCTGTACATACACTTGTATCAGTATGATATCAGGGTAGGGTTGGATACTTACTCACCCTGTACATACACGTGTATCAGTATGATATCAGGGTAGGGTTGGATACTTACTAACCCTGTACATACACCTGTATCAGTAAGATATCAGGGTAGGGTTGGATACTTACTCACCCTGTACATACACTTGTATCAGTATGATATCAGGGTAGGGTTGGATACTTACTAACCCTGTACATACACTTGTATCAGTATGATATCAGGGTAGGGTTGGATACTTACTAACCCTGTACATACACTTGTATCAGTATGATATCAGGGTAGGGTTGGATACTTACTAACCCTGTACATACACGTGTATCAGGGTAGGGTTGGATACTTACTAACCCTGTACATACACTTGTATCAGTATGATATCAGGGTAGGGTTGGATACTTACTAACCCTGTACAACCCTGTACATACACCTGTATCAGTAAGATATCAGGGTAGGGTTTCATACTTACTCACCCTGTACATACACTTGTATCAGTATGATATCAGGGTAGGGTTGGATACTTACTAACCCTGTACATACACGTGTAGCAGTATGTTATCTAAATGTTACCAAATTAGAGAACTTTTGTCAGACAAGGATAATCTCTACGTTGAAGTATATTTATGATACATTAATAATGGCAGTTTTATCTCAGGTGATTAATATATCAGTACCCTTGCTGGCTGGAATAAAACTTCCACTAAAACTTCCAGTATGGTCTTCATTGAATATTACAGAATTCCTGATGTCAAATAATTTTGTTATTATATTGAAATGTTTATTTATTTATTCAACAGGTTTTAATCAATAGAGGTTTGTTGTACTTTGAGAGAATGGATTACACAAATGCTCTGTATGATTTCAAAATGGCTGCCAAACTGAAGCCGACAGACCAGAGAATCCTCCATACCCTTGGTCTGTGTTATCACAAGTGAGTGAGGACTATCAGCTCCACCTGTAATGTTTGTGATAAAATATTTAGCCACTTGTTGTGTCAATGTGGATATCTTATAAAAACAAATAACATTAAATGTAAGGTTAAGCATGTAACGAAAAATCATGTCTTAGATTAAAATTGTCTTTAACTTGGTTATGTCTGAGGTAAAGTATTTTTTTTTCACAATATGTCAACTTTTTAAAGAAAACAAGATTTCAAACTTCATTAAAACATAGGGAAATGAAACTTTGCTTTGTTTTAAAATCTCTGTGTGATTATTTTAATTTTCTTTGTTGTATGAGGTATATATACCAAGGAAAGAAAAAATTCCAAAACCTGAATTTTCTGACACCCTGCTTAATTCCACCAAAACAATGGCTCCCCCATGATGTCGGATTAGACAGGTTTAACTGTACTGTTTTATGTTTATAGATATTTACATGTTTTGTGTTTCTGATTTTATGAGGTTGTATCAGAAGACAAAGTAACATTATTTGTGTGTAATGACCTCATACTGATTTCATGTATTTGTTGTTGACAGGATGAACCAACTGAAGGGAGCTCTGGCTGTGTTTACATCCTGTATAGAGAAAAATCCTGCCTTCCTGGACGGAATCATTGCCCGTGGCAACGTGTACATGGACTGTGGTTCAGATGGTCTGCGCTACGCCAGGTATTCTATGGAGGGATCAGAGAACTATATAATATATATAGTATTTGTGTCTTGTTACACATCAGAAATATATTAGATGGTAACATGTATAAAAAATTATTTAACAACAAATCCAATTAAAAATTATTAATTAGATCTGGTGTTAGCACAAAAATGCTGTGGTAAATCAGACACACAGATGTATCAGTCATAAAGTCACCTTTAAGGTATTAACAGTTTACACATCACCGACGAGTCCTGGTGGGACGAAGCGGCTGTAGAATGGGTCTCCTTCATTATAGGACTCTATTGTGCTTGGTTCTGAAAGGTTGAAGGTGCAATTCACTTGTGTGTCGATTGTACAATTCTTTCTTTGTTATATTATCATATTTTGTAAATAATTCTCAGAAACAGGAAACAGTTGAATGTTTGGCCGGGTTGCACATAGTGCAAATCCGGGTTATAGTATGGTGAATGTTGGACAAGCGGGCGGGTGGGTGGGGAAAAGGGGTACCAGTTTTGTAGAATCAACTCCTCCTAGAGTTTTTGATGTAGAAGCTTGAAACTTTGTTGGATGTTTATATATAATTTTCTGGATTTTGCGGGCTTTGGAACTTAGTCATTTCCTGAAACTTTTCTTGATATCACAGTTTCTCAGATTCTACTACTAACTGCACCAATTCATGAAATACAACCAAACTTTCTCTCTTATAACAAACATTCTACATACTTAACAAATGAAACACCCTTAACTGTCATAAATACCATACAACATTGTACTCATCCCGCAACCCGGCCAATTGTGGCTTTGCCCCATTTTTATTTCTAAATTCTCATTAGAATAAAAATCCTTATTTTGTGTTGCCCTATAGGTCAGAAGGAATGATAAGGATGTTGTCAGAAAAACTGGATGGAACAGCCACATTTTGTTACGATATAACAGATGTAATACAAAGCTATAGATAGTAATGTTATGGTATATATCTGTTACAGACGAGACTATGAGCGTGCCCTGTTGAGAGATCCTCTATGTCTACCAGCCAGAGTGAACCTTGCCTACACACTTCAAGTGTCTGCCAAGTTCATGCAGGCCTGGACACAATTCACAACTGCTATAGCCATCCGTCCAAGTAAGTATGCCTGTCGTCAGTAGTCCATGGAAACAAAGTCACATGTCTAACTAGTTATATACCCAACTGAATATAACCATACGTCCAAGTAAGTACACCTGTCGTCAGTAGTCCATGGAAACAAAGTCACATGTCTAACTAGTTATATACCCAACTGAGTATAACCATCTGTGTAAGCAAGTACACCTGTCATCAGTATTCCATGGAAACAAAGTCACATGTCTCACTAGTTATATACCCAACTGAGTATAACCATCTGTGTAAGCAAGTACACCTGTCATCAGTATTCCATGGAAACAAAGTCACATGTCTCACTAGTTATATACCCAACTGAGTATAACCATCTGTGTAAGCAGGTACACCTGTCATCAGTATTCCATGGAAACAAAGTCACATGTCTCACTAGTTATATACCCAACTGAGTATAACCATCTGTGTAAGCAAGTACACCTGTCATCAGTATTCCATGGAAACATAGTCACATGTCTAACTACAGTTATACACAAAAACTGAGTATAACCATACATCCAAGTAAGTACACCTGTCGTCAGTAGTCCATGGAAACAAAGTCACATGTCTAACTAGTTATATACCCAACTGAGTATAACCATACGTGTAAGTATGTGTAGGTACAACTAATATAAGGGTCCATTTTTCCAGCTAAGTACGGTCATATGACCAACTAAGTATGGTCATTCACCCATCTCAGTACGGTCATTCACCCATCTCAGTACGGTCATTCACCCATCTTAGTATGGTCATACACCCATCTCAGTATGGTCATTCACCCAACTTAGTTCAGTCATACACCCAACTAAGTACTTAAACGTTATATATTCCCGTTAGTGTAATCAGATATGTGAATACACAATAGTATATATGTGAGCTCATTGTAGAAGTATTTTCATAAGCTGGAGTAGTTTGTAACTGTGGAAAAAGCCCAATCCTGTGTTTGCTTTATCTCTATATGGCCAACATTTTGTAGTTTACATATGGTATAGACTAATGAGAGAAACCTAGATTATATACCGTTACTATGGTCACCATAATTATGTGTTGTTTCAGCCTTTAAACCAGCCCTAGAAGGTCGAGCCATCATCAACCTACAGATGAGTAACACGTTCGCTGCCTTCCAGGACATCAATGCCTCCATTAAAGTGGGACCTACTGCTGAATTGTATACAAACCGCGGTGTTGTTAATCAGGTGTGTATATCGTAACAGCAAAATGGTGTTTTTGTTTGTGAGTAGGGGTGCGGATTTGGGACCATAAGTAAATGTTGAGAAATTGCAAAGAGATCTGGTAGAATTCTAGATTAGTGTTGCTGGTGGAATGTGCATGAAAATCTTTTGATAAGTCTATACACATGACTATGATCTATCAAAACTGCTGTGATAACTGATTGGCTATGCTGTATAAATTTCCTTAAGGATTGTAACTCTGATTGGTTATAAGAGATCAGCTGATTGTTTTATCAACTGTGTTACAATCAATGAAAAATTACAAAGCTGTTTTTGAGAAATTTGATTTGGTCGACTGTGATACACATGACATGTGAATTATGATTGGTTGTAAAAGACGAGGTGAATGTCTGTAGGTGATTTTGATTGGTTGTAAAAGACGAGGTGAATGTCTGTAGGTGATTTTGATTGGCAGTTTTATCAATCATCACATGATTGTGAATTGTGATTGGCTGTTACAGTTTATGAAGGATCATGTAAATGCTATGAGGGATTACCAGGCAGCGATACAGATGGATCCTACATATGCTCTCGCTTACTTTAACGCAGCAAATGTCTACTTCCATACTCGACACTTCAGACAGGTGAGCTCCCCACAACAAAATATCAGTTATCTGTCATCATGTTTGATTTCTCTATCTGTGATCTGAAAATGTATCGTGTCACATTCCTAGCCCAGTAGATTGCCTCTTTATACTCTGGTTTCCTCACTACGAAGAGGCCAACAAGTGACTAATATCAGTCGGGAAAAAATTGTTTCTTTTTATTTTGTATCTGGCATTTTGTGGAGTAATTCTATGATCTCGAAAAACTTTGATGTACAGTGTGAAAAGCTCCATTATGTACACATTACAATAAAAAAAACATGATAAATAATACAACCCTGGTGTAGGGTGTGATTTATCTGTGATATATCTGTGTTTAAGGCTCATGACTACTACTCCAAGGCCATACTGAACAATCCCAAAGACGAATCAGCTTTCCTTAACCGTGCTATCACTAAGGTGAGTTATATCTATATACACATCACATATACATATCATTGTTTCAATATATGTATTTGAAAAAGATCTGATCAGAACTTCCTGTACAATATATATCAGTGATAGTGTATAATGATATTGGTTGTACGTAGTCAGCTGATAAAACAACGGAAAAGAGATCCAACGTCTGGGTTAATGTACCCAATGCTAACAGATTGGCAACATTTTATAAATTGCTGAAAAAAAACCTGTTTGATAACTTTACAATATTGCTGTATATTGGATGAGAAATGAGTAGTTTGACCATGAATTTTAAACCAAATCTTCAATAAAGGTGATGTTACGAAATGCGGAGGGAGCCCTGTCTGACTTTGGTGAAGCCTTGAAACTGAGTCCCCACACAGCACATATGTACTTTAATCGTGGTAACTTGTATTCTTCTATGGGCCAGTACGATAAGGCTGAGGCAGACTACAGCAAATGTAAGTAGACTGGTTTTTCCCTTTACATTGATATCTTCCTCCAAACGTCATATTGGAGCAGTTTTCTAAAACTCTATGCCAGAGTTTTCGTACCTACTCTCTGCTTTAGTGTAGTACTGATTCTATTGTACAACACTGATGGTTGTGATGAAATCTTAACAAATTTTAGCTCTGTGCTACATTCCAGATTGTTAAATTGTGGTCTGCTATGTTTCAGCCCTCAGTCTCAAACCAGATGATGCTCTAGTGCTGAAGAGACGAGCAGATGTGCTGGGTAAGCTTGGAAGGAAAGAGGAGGCCATCGAGGATTACAGACTTGCTGTGGAAATACAGAGCAGACGGAAATCCTAGTCAGAGTGAATCGGGCACATCAAATACAGAGGATACCATGTCATTCAGAAGGCCTATTCAGAATTGGTCAGACGATACACATTTAGTAAACTCACTTTGTTGGAAATCCTAGTTGGAGTGAATCAGTAATACAGATGTTGGAGAAAAAAGTTTTGTAAAAATTCTAGAAAATCTCTAATGGGATTCAACAGAGAGAGAAATACAGAATCTTAAATGAAAAGCATTGGACAAAACTGAGATTCAGATTTATAGGAAGTTCTACAGGGATTGCTGTGATGTAAGGAAATTGATCAATCCAGATTGTAGAAGTATATCCCATGTTTTTTGTCTTCCTTCCATGAGACGAAAGACTGCAAGACTACAGCAGAGATATCAGAAGATTTTGTGATACTATAATCACCAAAGCAACATGTCTAACTCTTAACTTCAAAGTGAAGAACAATTAGCATACATCTTTAGCACATATATTTATCTGCAGTGGTTTTGATGTAAGCTTATTGTATGTGTGTTAGTGCTGTCAGGGTTTGGGTATATCGCGATTTTCTCCTGTAAGTCCAGTATTATGTACGCTTCAGTCATACAAACAATGCCAAATGGTTCCTCCATGTGATAGTTTTGTGGTCTAGTCCTTGTTTCTGCATAATGACACTGTTGGAATGAACAGTACAAAAGATGTGGCTTCATAACTTCCGGCTGTGCGATATATTTTATCAACTGTGATACTACGAAGGCGTTTCATTACTGATAAAAACGTCACCAACAATGAAGTTAAACACAGCATTCATTCCATTGGTTTTGTGTTTGATGTACATACACTTGTACATATAATATTGAATCCTTAAAACTGAACTGTGATATCAGCAATTTTTATGTGCTAGGTGTATTTAAAAATATATATATTCATTGTAACCTGTCTCAAACCAAACCTGTGTAATCTGGATATCTGTATAAACTAGACATTCTGTGTTAGGGTTAGGGTAATCTCTCACATATTGTCCCTCATCCATCCAGTTATTGTAGATATTTTTTTATATATATATTTGAGAATATGCAGGCTTTTTTTGTGATATAAATGCCATTCCGTCCTTTTAAGTCAGTTTGATAAGAATTAGATGTCTATTCTAAAGTGTTTCCTATTTTAATCAGACTATGTGTGGACTATAAAGCTAGGTTGTGATATACGAAGATTAAAGTGAACTACATTGACTTGAACCTCTGACATGACTAGGAGACAAGCAAAGGAAACTTGTAAAAAACTTGTTTTGAATGTAACACACAAAACCTTCATGAATTGTAATGCCTGTAGTAACAAATCAGGTAAAATGCCCCTGGAGAAATCAGGAATATATGTTCATATAATTGAAATGACCCTCTAAACTCCAAAGTTAAACAGCAGTCCTGTTGTAATATGAGAAATCATTAGTCTATACTTTAATGTGTGGTAAGGTTTCATATTCATCACACGTTAACAGTATGATCAATGGTATATCACCCGCATTATCCAGATTATAAACAAATGTAGCCATGAACAAAACCACCATTTTCAGGCAGAAATAACAATATTTTATATATATAACAGGTTGATGTCAGTGTAAATACCAGTATTTTCTTTTTGATATTTAACATTTATGAGATCAGTTTTTTTTATCTCCAAGAATATTTATTTTCAAATGTGACCTAAACCCATATACAGGTTACAGATCTGATAGAAGTTTATGGTAACATAACAGTAACTTATTTTCTAGGAATGGTGCCTGTAAATTGTTGAGAGTGAATCACATTTATATTTATTTGTTATATAAATGCACTGTATTGACAGGTTTTGAATTTTATCTATTCTAGACTGGTGTTTTTTTTTCTGTTTTTGTAAATATAATCAGATCTTGTAAATATGAATTTATTTGTATGTAAATGTATATATATGTTATGTAAATGAAGGCAAATGTAAAAGCATCTATTAAATGTTATATAAATATTCATTTAAAAAGAATAAAACACATATTGATTCTATTTCATTTTAATTTTTATTTTCAGTTTTCTTTGTATAAAATAGTATAAATTTGTTTAACACTATTTACAAACTGTGTGGAGTTTACATACAATGTAATGACAAACAGTTAATGTAAAAACATTTGAAAATGTGATAAATTTTAGAAAATTTGTACAATATTTTATCCAGCACTTAACTGTGACAATATAATTTCATAATTTAGTGATAAACAATAATCTATGATATTAATTTAAAAGTAAGAGGTTAATATTTTTACAATGTTAAATGAGAAATGTTCAACTTGAGAGGAAAATACTGACCATTCATCAAACTTCATCTTAGAGTGTTAATTGTTTAAATAACTTAAATTGATTGAGATAAAGCAGAACTTAATTCTGTTATCAATAATTTCTAGTTATCAACTTTTTAAAAAAATACAGGAATAAATTACCCTGATTTAAACACTTTTAAGGAACGGGATCATGATTTCAATTTTGTTCCATTGAAAAAACTGTGATATATTTTCAGATTTAGATATTCTGTAAATATAATTTTACAAAGAATTATAAACTTAAACCAGATTCTACTTTCTGAATTGCTCTAGCATTTTCTTGTGTCTAGAAATTAATGAAACTGAAAAGAATTTATCTTTACCAGTAGCAATGTTTACAAAATATTCTAACCACCTTTGAAATCATGAAAGTGCACACCATGAACATTTCCCATTTTACATTTTTCTTCGCAATATTAATGAAAAATGCAAAAAGAAAAGACATTCTTCAATGTTTTGAATGAAAATACTGAATGTGGCAAAGCTCACACACATACACACTACCTATACATATTTGGAAGACAGGAAGCAGAGGAAGGATGTAGGATTACTAGTACAGTGGTCAAATCATTCATTTATAGCAGTCATCCTAACAGCAGTAGTGACGATGGCAATCATATGATCGTAATAACCATGACTGTATAAATATTGAAGTGACTGTCCAATTATAACAATTAATCAATCACAGCGATCATTGTTAAAACCTTGACTGCATTACTGTAACTTATCAAGGTCTAAATCACAGCAATCATTATTAGAACCTTGACTGAATTACTGTAACTTATCAAGGTCTAAATCACAGCAAACATTATTAGAACCTTGACTGAATTACTGTATCAAGGTCTAAATCACAGCAATCATTATTAGAACCTTGACTGAATTACTGTATCAAGGTCTAAATTACAGCGATCATTGTTAAAACCTTGACTGCATTACTGTAACTTATCAAGGTCTAAATCACAGCAATCATTATTAGAACCTTGACTAAATTACTGTATCAAGGTCTAAATTACAGCAATCATTGTTAAAACCTTGACTGCATTATTGTAACTTATCATGGTCTAAATCACAGCAATCATTATTAGAACCTTGACTGAATTACTGTAACTTATCAAGGTCTAAATCACAGCAATCATTGTTAGAACTTTGACTGAATTACTGTAACTTATCAAGGTCTAAATCACAGCAATCATTGTTAGAACCTTGACTGAATTACTGTATCAAGGTCTAAATCACAGCGATCATTGTTAGAACTTTGACTGAATTACTGTAACTTATCAAGGTCTAAATCACAGCAATCATTGTTAGAACTTTGACTGAATTACTGTTACTTATCAAGGTCTAAATCACAGCAATCATTGTTTACAATTAAATTGCTTTCGATTGTTGTATGATTTCAGTGATTATACAATAACCAATCATTGTGATTATACAATAACCAATCATTGTGCTTATATATTATATATCATAAAAGTTTACAATCACTGATATTTTCACCAAAAATTATCAACAGTCCTAAAATCACACAGAAATCATACAATATAACCATTATTTCAACAGCCACAATCTGTGATTAGACAATTTCAACAGTCATAATCTGTGATTAGACAATTTCAACAGAATATTTCAACAGTCATAATCCATGATTAGAAGATTTCAACAGCCACAATCTGTGATTAGACAATTTCAACAGTCATAATCTGTGATTAGACGATTTCAACAGTTGTAATCTGTAATTAGACGATAATGATGACTTACAAGAATTGGAGAATTTCTATGGTTTGTAATGATGGAAAGTCACAGCTATCATTTATCAAGCTGTATGAGCTGTGTGCATTCATTGTTTTATTTACATAGCAATAAAAGACTCTATAACAACATCAAACACCAACAAATGCCACTAATTCAAAATCAATAAACAAGCTTCTGTATCAACAGAAAATGTGCACCTATCTCTCCTAACTAGTAAAACATTAGGACTTATCTCAGCAGTGTTTAAAACATCAAAAAACAGTAAAACCTTAATATATTTTTTATATGTATCCACAAACATTCTACACAAAAGATGCCTCTCTGCCCTTCTTTCTTGAATGACTTGTGTAAAACACATGATACAAACTAATGAAGGAAAACACAAATTTTTACAATGTAAAAGATAAAAAATGAATATGACCTACATATGTAATTACACACAACACAAAACTAGGACTAATTCTACTTACATAACTTGGGTCTTTTTAAGAACAAGTCATAATGAAAAGCATAATGAATAGGTGGCACTGGATTTCATTCCATAATTACTTATCTATACAGTTACTATGACAACAGTTATAGTTCCACACCTATTAAAGGGAGACAACACATCATTTGATATGATAAAAGTTCAAAGATTTTTAAATGGAAGCACCATATTTTGAATTGGACAAATGACCAAGTATTTAACATATAAAAATAACATCAATATGTATGGCATAATGAAGATTTCTAAACTTCGATAAATGCAAAAATAAAAGTGCTGAAACGAAACATGGGTGAAAATATAAATAGTATGCTGGACTTCAGACTGAAATATCTTATTTGTACTTTGTCTAAGGCTGAACTAAGCAAACTCTTATCAAAATATGTTAATTTTGTCTACTCTAGTACATCTGGTTGTGGTCTGAGCAAAACAACACCAACCAAGATCATAAAACTTTCTGAATTTTTTTTCATCATATGGGTATTTTACTTTGGTTCTTAAAAAAAACAACAACAAAAGAAAACAGGAATGAATTATTTTAGACTCGCATGATATTTACCATTAATTTAAGCCAAAAAGGATTAATTAGGATTAATTTAATTAAGTGCAAAACATTGAAAATTACTGAGCAAAGCTTTATGATTAAGTCAAATATTGAGGGGAAATGCACAAAAATATATATATATATACATATAAATTTGTCTATATTCTCACATAATTTACATGGGTCTTTTCCAAATTCTACACAATATGGGATAGAAGGTGAAATATATGTCCAGGTAACATTCCTCTACATGTACTTACTCAAACATTTCAATTCTTAAATTGGTTTCTCAGTTTAAAAGAAGGTAAAGAGAAGAATCACTCAATCAAGTTCACTATTCTGTCACATAGCTAAGTTGTATATATATAACATTTAGTCTTATCCTTTACAAGACAACATCTTCTTGTTAGTTTTAGAAATGAAATTTCTTGGATATCTTTCCTTTCCATGAAGTTCAGGATTTTTAGAAAAAATGATCATGTATTTTTTGGTGTTTTTTATTAACAAATCCTTAAAGTGTAGTACACATGTAGTTCAGTCCACATATAGTAAAAAATTGCTGAATACCTAAATAAAGTTACTCTAAAAAGCTGTGATAGATGGATAGTAATGAGAATACTGACGAGTGAACACTGACTACATGGACAATATATCTATACTAGGACTTATAAACTCTGGGATGTTTGGAATGGTTAAAAGTAACTAACTGAGGTACTGTAATTAACCCAGGGATAACATTTAAAAATAACCATATTCTCTAAAACTAAATTAAAATAATAGAAAACATTAATTAAAGATTTATATCTTTTTTACAAAACAAATGAGTTCCTCACTCTATTCCTTAATAATGTAACCCTTGTTTGACCTTTAGAATTTTTGTTATTCCTACTTGAAAAATCAACTATAATTTACAAGAACTTGGACACTGAACCATCATACTTCTGTATCTCAACAGAAGCACCTGATAAAACATATGACAGACAAACTAGGCCTGTCATGACTATAACACAACAACAAATTAAGTCAACTGTCACTATCCATAATTCACCAATATCCTATTTAAAATTCTAATTATGTAATTACAGAAGATTTTATGGTAATCAATTTTCAATTGGTATTTTTTTGGTAAATAATAAATTTGTAAAAATAACTGTTGGTGTATAGAATCACTTGATCAATGCTATCTTCCTTGTCTTCTGAAGAACTTTACATTACAATATCATCCTGTTTTTTTTTTCGATGACCTGATTATGGGTTTTTTCTTTCGTGGTTTCCCCCTCCCCCAACATTTCTGATTCTGGAATAAAAACGGATAACAAAGTAATCAAAATGCAATAATTAGCACACAATGTATTATCATGAATCCAAAAGACAGGTAATGATCGTGACCTGATTACGACCTTGAGACATGTGATTGGGGTACCTTACCTAGGTTAAATCAATATCTGTTTAGAATGAATCTACTCTGTTGTATGTTTATGTATAAAACCATATAAATAGGTTTCATGCTCACCTCTTCTGTAAAACATCTTTAAAATAATACAGAAATTTTCTAGCAAAAAAAATGTAATTTATATAATGTAACGTAAAGTTAAATTCTAACCTACGTAACCTACATAGGCATCACCTTATGACCATTCCTTGGATTCTCAATAAAAACTGAATTCAACGTGCTTACAAAAGACAGGAATTTGAGGTCAAGTGTAGTATCTATTGAATACCATTTATAAATGTATGAAGAGGATTTGGTCGTCTAAACGTACCACAAGTAAAATACAATAACAGAATCAATCTATATGTTGATCTAGTCATTTAAAAATCAACAACTTCCATGCTACACAATGCTGGAAATCCCAGAAATTTCTGAATAACTGATAAACAAAGCATTCAGTTATCAAACTTAAAAGAGAATCACAATAAAGGTTTTAAAATTCAAACTTATTTGTATTGATTAATCATGACTCAAACAAATATCAGTCCTTTTATTATCAATAAAACAAGGTGAACAAAAACAGGAAGTTAGCCCTCATATTCTGTGATAATTGCTGGATTAAAATCTGAGTGGAAAATGTATATGCTTTATGAGATAATCTGTTTTGCCATGCAACAATAGTTTTAGTTTAAAAGATAATTTGAAAAAAAAATACAAAAACACGGTCATGTGTGAACAAAGATATTATCTGTTGGGTTATGATTAAAAGTCATATTTATATGTGAACTTCCAAGGATGACCTCTGGATCAGAGGAAGAAAATCATTATTATTTACATAAAATAATTATATGAAATTGACATTAATTGAACATAAAATAAACAATGTATACCTGTACAATAAGTAATCTGATATTGAGACATAACATAAATATAAGATGTAAAATCCGGTCAAAAGAAGTCATATTCGTGCTTTTTGTAAATCTATGATAAACTCAGTAGCTAGCCTTAAAACAACTACCAACATGTTGACACATCTGTGTACACACATTTTTATGTGTGGTCTGTTGTATCACACTTGGATGTAATACATGTACCAGGGTATATAGATCATTCAGTGGTGTATGCAGACAAGGGAGACAACCTGAACAGACATCTGTTGTATTACACTTGGATGTAATACATGTACCAGGGTATATATCATTCAGTGGTGTATGCAGACAAGGGAGACAACCTGAACAGACATATGTTGTATTACACTTGGATGTAATACATGTACCAGGGTATAGATCATTCAGTGGTGTCTGCAGACAAGGGAGACAACCTAAACTTGCACCTAACGATTTTATGCAAGTTAATTATATAATTATGCCAATTTTCTTGCCCGTCAATGTTACATTAGTGTAATATGTCTGACATAATTACTACTCATTAATATATTTATCTTATGTTTTGGACATGTTTCACAAATTTGAGATTTATATGTAAGAGAGTTGTGAAGTCCAGTCCCATATTTTACTGAAATAGGCCCCCTGTCAGTAACTGTTTGTACATGATATTTTATAAAATCACAAGTGTTAACTCATCATTTAAAATGTCTATACATAGACTATAGTGTGTTGTTTATATCATAGATATAACATGTCATCTGATAGGACATTTTAATGTCCTCGTCACAACAAAAGAAACAGTCCTTTCCTGGACAGGAAAAGCACTGTTACATGTTGTTTGCTGAGCATAACATACAAGCTATCTGCTGCTACATTAGATAAAGTATGTAGTATATTTAGCCCGGTCATCTGTTCACCATTGGTCGTGTCTACAAAACTTTACCACTGTCCTTAAAATATTATCATTATCAGAAAATATATTTCAACAGCAATATTTTTTCATAAGGCACTTTTGTTTGAAAGGAGAATGGCACATTATTGGTCGGGGTTGGATTTAGGGGTAAAAAATATCTCCGCTACATCCACCTTCATTAGATAGCAGTAAACATGTCGTCTTGTTCAATCCACACATTAATAGTTGGTTCAAAACCAGCCTTCCTAAATCTATATTACACACACAATATAACATATGTACATGTATCAAGATTTCCAATGCATTGCAGAAACAAGAGTTTTGCTATTTGTTTCTGCAAGACTCAAAATTTTCCAACAAAATTACATTCTGTTACTTACTTTCAAAAAAAAGGTATTATATTCAATTCTTTCTCAAATCCTGGCTGTATGTGGTGGTATGTTAAGCAGAGTTACTTCCCTTGGTATGAGTTATAACCAGAATAATGTGTGTCTATTTCCCTGACAATATCATTTATACTGAAGTGGATTAGCTGTATCAAAGACAAAGGATGAGCTCTGGAGACACATATTTGAGGATTTAAATTAATGGTCATATACACGATGGACACGAGGATAAGATTGAGAAGAAAAAAATGAAAAATTGTGCAACACAAAAATATATAAAACATGTGTAACACAAACTGGAATGGTATATATAGATCCATGATCTGACTGTTTACATGGAGGTGTGTACGAGACACGAGACACAATTTCCAGTCTATTGTCTGGTCCGGTATAATTCTCTGTTATATTCCTCTGTTCTCCTTTGAATGACACACATTTGCAACTTTTATCAAATATTTAACATCTTTAAAGAAAAATGTCCTCTCTTGGTAACACATGTAAAACATGAATTCCCTTGAATTGAAAGACTGCAGCAATATACCACATGTTTTGTGCTTGGCACATCAGAAAACTGGTCAGACGTGGTCCAGCTAATGCCTCAATTGATCGATGATGAATGGTAGGGACGTCATCAGAATCACAAGAAAGTTTTACTGGATCATTATAATAGTTACTGCTTCCATACCCCAGTGTTATAAACAAACCTGTACAATCACAAAGGTAAGTATACAGATAAGATGACTTGACCAGTGGTCACTAAGTAGTGAGTTTCACATTGACCAGTGGTCACTTCGTAGTTAGTTCACATTGACCAGTGGTCACTTCGTAGTGAGTTCATATTGACCAGGTCACTAAGTAATGAGGGTCACATTGACCTGTGGTCATTAAGTAGTGAGGTTCACACTGACTGGTAAACATACTGTAGTGAAGTTCATATGAACAAATGACGTACAGTTTTCCTTGCTGTTTGTAATGATAAAATCTACGGTGATCCATGACCACTAGACTTTCGTCGTCTTCTATGAAAAAATCCTGATGGCCACTTCTTGAGGAGAGAAAGTGACCATTTCCTCTTATGTCAACTGTTGCTGACATGGACAACACAGGCTCCTGCTCGACCAGTACACAGACCAGCCATCTGAAACATAACAAAGTACTAGTAAGCTTTCCATCATAGAAACAAGTTTTTTTCAGGATTAACAACATAGAAGTCTTTCACAAACTTTTTATTCAAAATACATTTCTACCTGTATTTGAAACTGTGAAGATACACTTTCTTAAAATTCCCATAGAAACACACAGAAAATCTTTTGTAAACTTTGTATTTGCAAACCTTGTATTTATCTCCCATCAAATTTAAGTTAAGATATTCAGCAATAAGTTCATGTCTGATGAGCCCATCCATATATATTTCACTTATACAGAAGATGATATTTCATTGTCCTGTAATCAGTAAACTCTCCAACTTCAAAACAGAATTAAGATGTCATCCCGTGTCTGGTAATAAACTCATCCCTATCAGTTCATGAGTTGGCCCCCTATCACTTATCGGCCATTATCCTAGCTATTTCATGAGCTGGCTAGCAGTTAAAATTAACCCTAGTATTACTGATAATCTGGTGTGGATATTTAGCGAGATGTCAGTCATACCTTTGACCATTCGTTGCTGACTGAGTCGTAACATTCCACATCTTGTAGATACTGCTGACCGTCGTAACCTCCTACGGCAAAGATCTTGTCTCCCAGTACACATACACCTACTGCATCCCTGGGTGAGCTGATAGTGGCAATCATTGTCCATTGGTCAGTTTTGGGGTCGTATCTGTGGAAAAAAGTATACCCAGTTAAGTATAATACGATAGTGATCACTGACCACAACTGTGTTGATGTTCTGGTGATACTGTCTGTATAGCAAACTCTAAAAAAGGACCTCTTTCATGAACAATGGAATTTGGCCCACGACCCCATTTAATCCAAACCATGTGGCATTTATAGCACCCCAATACACTCCCCTGCAATAGCACTTAAAAAATTCAAGTGCAAAATTCAGTGCACCGAAACTGGAAGAGTTTGAAACACTCCTCCTAAGATCAAACTTTCATCTAAAAATCAAGAAAAAATGACATTTTTTAAAAATTTAATTGATCGTAACTTTTTTCTTATGCTAAATTTGACAAATAATGTTTGCTTAAAATGACAAATAGATTCCAATGAACAAAATAAGTGGTTATAAGAAGCCTTGCGATGAACCCTTGCCTTGTTATGGTGCCATTTCTGAACTTATTCCTTATACCCTCAGTAAATGTCACAAATTCTATAATAATCCAGGCCCTATGGGCCTTTTGAATTTTTAAGTGCTATTTCCGCGGGGTGTATTGGGGTGCTATAAATGCCACATGGTTTGGATTAAATCAGGTCGTGGACAAAATTCCATTGTTTGTGAAAGAGGTCCTTTCATCTTACTAGAAAAAAAACCCCACTGATTCCACAACCTGACTATTTTTAATCTAGAGATAGTCTTTCTGTTAAATTGTTAAACTGTTTTGATGAAGTAAAAGTTATCTGATTATTTCATATTACATGAAAGTAAATAACTCCTCTGAGAGACAAAGTATTGCACCAACAGCAGGGACACTGAACAATGTGTTGATCAGGTATAAAAGATATTAATTATAAAAAGTTGATGTCACCTCTTTGGAATTCATGATGCTGTAAATAAAAATGGCCAATACATGACTAAGAACACTAAGAATAATTCATAGAAAAATTTTCATTTTTTTTTTAAATTTTTTTATTTCAGCCAACTGGACAGTCCCATACTGATGAACCCATCAGGACATTATACCTTTCAGCACACTCAAATCTACAACATGTTGGGTTGGTAGCTGGTGCCTCATGACCTCCGACTGCGTACAGGAATCCCCCTCCCGTTGTGACCCCTACACCGCCACGCCGTTTCGACATTGGGGTACAGTGTAACCATTTGTTGGTGTGAGGATCAAAACACTCAACAGTCTTCAGGCAAGAGCTTCCATCTCTGCCTCCCACTGCATACAATCTGAAACACACAAGAGGTAAGAATGACTATTTTACACACCATATGAGACATTGCCAAAACATTGTTAAAAAAATATCATATGTTCAATACCGGTGCTCTGTGTTAAGTCGTATCCTTCATTCAGAAACTAAAATCCGTTTAAAGTATGCTTAATTGTTTATTTGTTGAGCTGTTGCAATCTTTCAATTTTACATAAAAATAAACATATAACACATACAGATATATTAACCACAATACATTTTAATACAATGCTTCATGCGTCCATTCAATTCTAGTTAACAAAAATATCTTGATTACCACAGAAAGATTTTAAGTCTTTACGCTGACTTAACAGTTAATTCATTCAAACATTCTACAAAGGCTTTCCATTGACAGGAACTCAGTCCCTGTAGAAGAATCATTCATCTTTGTACACAACTGATGAAATTTATCTTGATGGTTCTGCAATAAGCCCAGGGAACTAACACAAAGTATTCAACTGCCAATGATATTATATTTATTGTCATATTTTGAACGTTTTCTAGATGCAAGTTTTTGATGGACACAATATTTCAACTTGACAACCAGGACAGATGTATTGTCAGAAATGAGAGCACAATACAGTATGAACAGGGATTCCATTTTTGAAGTTAATATATATTTGTGATAGATATCTTGCAACAAGCCTAGGGAGCCAGCATTTTCTTACTCAAAGTCACAAGCTTATTACAAGTAATGAAGTAGTATTTCTTTGTTATTTTAAGATATATATGGGTGGGCTTATTACTGGCCTGCAGCATATTGATGGCTACAATAGCTGACGGTGCTTTGGTACATGTACTTACTTGCCCATGAGGACAGCCACGCCTACAGTACTGCGGGATGTTGACATGGGAGCGACATAGCTCCACTGCCTAGCTTGAGGATCCCAACGCTCCACTGTGTTTAGGTAAGACCAACCATCATGTCCTCCAACAGCATACATTGGTCCCTCCAATACTCCAACACCTGAAAAGTCAGTTGTATCACAGATCATTGAAAATCAACATTCTCGACAATAATACATGTATATATCAGCCAAACTACATTGTACAAGTCTTCATCAAGGGAAGATTTAGCTACACTTTAAGTTTGTCTAATCTAATTATGACAGATGTTTAAGAAAACAAAGATTTTGTAGTAAACCTAATGTAGTATGTACAGCAGGACCATCTTATCAATGATTAACTTCACATCATACCATTGTATTACAATGTACTTACCTAACCCATGTCTATGTGTTGACATCGGGGGCATGAGACTCCAGGACTTTTTCTTGGTGTCGTAACACTCAACAGTATTAAGGGTTTTTAGGCCGTCCCGACCTCCCACAATGTAAAGTTTATCTTCAATGACAGCCACTCCAAACTGGAGCCGACGACCACTCATGTTGGCTACTTGTGTCCAGTTGTTGGTCCGTAGGTCATATTTTTCTATTGTAGTTGCACCTAAAAACAATGAATTAAAGCGATGCTGTTAGACTGTGATCTGAACCAAGCAGTAGCTGTCATTTAGTACAGTTATCATAACATTATGCCTAATTGCATGCTCTGCCATAATGTTTGTTTCACCAATCCTAACTTTGTGTCCATCCTGACTGTTTTTCCTAACATGGTTTTTGCAACCATTTGAACGGTATGCCCTTATATGGCCTTAGCAATCATCCTATTTGTATGTCCTTATATGGTCTTTGCAACCCTTCAAACAGTATGCCCTTATATGGCCTTAGCAACCATCCTAACTGTATGTCCTTATTTGGTCTTTTGAACCATAGAATCATTCTTTATATACAAAGCTTTTGTATGAATTTTCCCTATAGTCCTAATTGTTTACCCTGTATGTCTGTATAATCCTATCCTATAACCCTAATTGTTTAACCTGTATGTCTGTATAATCCTATCCTATAACCCTAATTGTTTACCCTGTATGTCTGTATAATCCTATTTGATTCCCTTTATTGATATTGATCATGGTCTCCATTTTGATTCCAATCTCACTGACATGTACATGAGAAGAAGAAACAGGTAAAAGTAATGACAACGCTCCCCCTAGTATCCTGATATACTCTGATACAATGTACAAATATCACTCCCTTTCCCTGTCCAGTACCTTTGTATTTCTCCTCTCTAGTTTGCTATCTGACACTGCAGGTGTTAGACCAGGAGGTCTGAACCATTTTTGATTAAAATTCACCAATTTTAACTCTTTCTCCACAACCTCTAGTCAATAATTGAAGTAGGAGATGCTGTTTGTATAATTGGTGTTCGTGATAACATGAAATGGTGTTAAAACATTCATTATGTTAGGAAACAATCATTTTCTTTGTTAAGGAAGTGACTCTAGAATAACACATTTATCTCCAATTTGATAAGTTACAGACAAGTACTAAGTACGAAACATCAGTAAAATGAGGTCAAGAACACTGTCAATTATCTGTGTCTGATGTTCTTATGCTAACTTAATATACACATGTCTCTGACCTGCTCAAGTATTTTCAGAAAATTCATGAAAATTTAAAGAGTAGAAACTATTTATCAACAAAATCAATTTTCGTGCTGTATAATGTGCATTTATTATCATTATAACACATTATCAAGATCCATTCTCAATATTGGGAAAATGTCAAATTTCAAATACTGTTATAAAAAACAGAGCCCTTTTAAGATATTACAATAATAAACAAAGTGTTTCCATTTTTAAGACAAAAGATATTGTTTCTTTCATTCAAACAAAATTAAGAAAAAAAACCCTTGAGAGAGTTCAACACTTTAGAAACCACTCTCCTACAAAATCAATAACACTACGTCCCACAATTTTCTATAGAATCAATACATCAAGGTATGTCTGCCTCTAATTGAGTGTTAATTTCCTGTCGAGACAGAATGCTAGTCGATTATAACTGCCATCAATGTAGTGGTTATACTATAGCGATTTCTACCACGTCCCCACCTATCTACTTGTACAATACACTTCACCTTATAGGGATATGTACCCAGGTTCTGCCCTTAACTGACAAAAACAAGAATAATTTAATCTGTTATCTCTGGAAAATTCAAAGACAGCCTGCCAATTAATTTCTTTTCAAACTCACTAGTCTGACAATTTTATAGACAGAAGAATCCATGTAATTATCCAGAAAATAAAAAGCAGTGTCCCCAGAGGCTACGATAAAATTTTATCGAGCTAAAGCAGGGAAGGTTAGGTCCCAGTTGGTATTCTCTGATCCCTCATAACAGAGAGTCAGGTAAGATGATGGTTAAATGATAAAGGTCAATCGCTCAAAGGCTGTCTCAGCCTCATCAAGCATTAAAACATCTGTCCCTGAAAAAACATTTTCCAGTAAAGGCTACACGCTGCCTTACACAATTTCACTAGAAATTCATGTTTCTTATTGCTTAAGGCTATATGCTACCTTACACAATTTCACCACAAAATCATGTTTCCGATTGCTTATGGCTATACACTGCATTACACAATTTCATCACAAATTCATGTTTCCAAATGCTTATGGCTGTATGCTACCTTACACAATTTCACCACTAATTCATGTTTCCTATTGCTTAAGTCTATACACTGCCTTACACAATTTCTTCACAAATTCATGTTTCCTATTGCTTAAGGCTATATGATACCTTACACAATTTCATCACAAATTCATGTTTCTTATTGCTTAAGGCTAAATGCTTCCTTACACAATTTCACCACAAATTCATGTTTCCGATTGCTTATGGCTGTACACTGCCTTACACAATTTCATCACAAATGCATGTTTCCAAATGCTTATGGCTGTATGCTACCTTACACAATTTCACCTCTAATTCACGTTTCCTATTGCTTAAGGCTAAACACTGCCTTACACAATTTCTTCACAAATTCATGTTTCCTATTGCTTAAGGCTATATGCTACCTTACACAATTTCATCACTAATTCATGTTTCTTATTGCTTAAGGCTATATGCTACCTTACACAATTTCATCACTAATTCATGTTTCTTATTGCTTAAGGCTAAATGCTACCTTACACAATTTCATCACAAATTCATGTTTCTTATTGCTTAAGGCTAAATGCTACCTTACACAATTTCACCACAAATTCATGTTTCCGATTGCTTAAGGCTGTACACTGCCTTACACAATTTCATCACAAATGCATGTTTCCAAATGTTTATGGCTGTATACTACCTTACACAATTTCACCACTAATTCATGTTTCCTATTGCTTAAGGCTAAACACTGCCTTACACAATTTCTTCACAAATTCATGTTTCTTATTGCTTAAGGCTACACGCTACCTTACACAATTTCACTAGAAATCCATGTTTCCAATTGCGTAAGGCTATATGCTACCTTACACAATTTCACCACAAATTCGTGTTTCCGATTGCTTAAGGCTGTATGCTACCTTACACAATTTCATTACAAAGTCATGTTTCCAACTGATTAAGGCTTTATGCTACCTTAAAAACTTTCACCATTTGTTTTTGCCTTGTAAGTAATTTTATACATAAATTAAGAATAATCTATATATGTGTAATGTATATGTATGTCTCCCAAGTAACTTAATGAACTGCAATTCATTAAAGATGGTATCAAGTTTTTATAGTAACAAATTATTTTCGGAAGGTGAAGCATCATATTAGCACAAAAAGTTGGTGAAAAATCATGTATCATAAAACAAGACAAATTGAAACATCATTTATAGATGAGCTAGAGAAATAATTTGCATACCACCACTCTCCTCAAATGTTCAGACTAATACTCAGAAATAGGAATAGCACACACCTGCTAATGACAATAGCCCATTTCATGACATCACTGGACACAAATTACCTTTTTCAACCCAAATAAAATTATATGTTTCTATAAAAGCCACTGCTTTGAAAATTAAAATAAACAAAGAAGCGAATGTTTCTGCAGTAACCATATTGCCTTTCCTGTCCCTGACTGAGTTAAAACTGATGATTGTGTGTGTAGCTAATGACAAGTCAAGGTGACAGACACATAAACCTGTAAACAGACAAAATTATTTTGTCTTACAAACAGCATCCAACTCCCCTACACCTCTCCACCCACACACCACTTTTATACATCGTAAACTTGAGTTTGTAGCATTCCGTATTGATTCTATAAATTTTTCATGTTGGAAGGCAATGTAGTGTCAGGAGGATTATGAGACTGTGAGTTCTGCATTTAGTATCACAGTGTTGATCTCTAGGTCACAGATGACACCAACTTATTAATACAGAATTCTTCAGGTCTGATTAATTAATCACAATTGAAACCTGTCTGAACTAGCACACAAACACTACAGACATCATGCACTGAAAAGAGAGTTTTACAGATACCATAGATATCAACACCACAGCAACTGGTTCCTGAATAGACAGGTTTACATATAACACAGGTACCAACACCTCAACAACTGGTTCCTGAATAGACAGGTTTACATATAACACAGGTACCAACACCTCAACAACTGGTTCCTGAATAGACAGGTTTACATATAACACAGGTACCAACACCTCAACAACTGGTTCCTGAATAGACAGGTTTACATATAACACAGGTACCAACACCTCAACAACTGGTTCCTGAATAGACAGGTTTACATATAACACAGGTACCAACACCTCAGCAACTGGTTCCTGAATAGACAGGTTTACATATAATACAGGTACCAACACCTCAACAACTGGTTCCTGAATAGACAGGTTTACATATAACACAGGTATCAACACCTCAACAAGTGGTTCCTGAATAGACAGGTTTACATATAACACAGGTATCAACACCTCAACAAGTGGTTCCTGAATAGACAGGTTTACATATAACACAGGTATCAACACCACAGCAACTGGTTCTTGAATAGACAGGTTTACATATAACACAGGTATCAACACCACAGCAACTAGTTCTTGAATAGACAGGTTTACATATAACACAGGTATCAACACCTCAACAAGTGGTTCCTGAATAGACAGGTTTACATATAACACAGGTATCAACACCACAGCAACTGGTTCTTGAATAGACAGGTTTACATATAACACAGGTATCAACACCACAGCAACTGGTTCTTGAATAGACTGGTGTAACACTGGTTCCCACTGGTGTCACACTGGTTCCCACTGGTGTAACACTGGTTACCACTGGTGTAACCCTGGTTCCCACTGGTGTAACACTGGTCCCCACCTAACACTGGTTACATGACGGTAATGTAACACTGGTTCCCACTGGTGTAACACAGGTGGTCTTTTTAAAGATTAAATAACTGATATTGTTTTATCTATTCAAGCTATTTTAAAACTGAACTTTCGAGGCCTAGCCTTTGGGACGTCTTTTTGTTACAGTATAATCTTGCACCAATGAAATGGTAAGTTCATTGTTAATTAACTCTGAGTCAAAAGAAGTACACTGGTATGCTGAGAATGTTCTAAATCATATCTTAGACATTCTGGTTTTTACAATCACCAATATAATTAGTTTGTTTGAATTGTAACACATTATCCATGGAACCACTCACTTAGAAGCAAAACTCTTCCCTCATAGGTCCTAAGAAATCTCAAATTTCCCAAGTCAATATTTTTATTATATACAAACAATTCACACATGTACTTTTAAATCCTTGTAATTACTACACATGCCAATGACTTTGTGAAATAGGTTGATTCATTGTTAACAATCTCAAGTTGGTTTTTGTTTCTTAAACATCTACATGACTGTAATTCTTGGAGAAGTAGCCAGCTGTTTTTGGCCCTGCTTTCACTTTAGATTTTTCCCTGGCACACAGTCATTGCTTCCTTTTAACATTCAAATGGTGCCATCAATTGGCCATTGTTTTTCTAGGCGCCTGCAGACAAGCTTCCAAAAATTATTGGAAAGCAAAATTAAATTCTCTATGCCTGCTGTTTTTCATTGTGTCAGTGTAATCGCTGGTTCAATTTGCCTACAGTGGTACTTCAAGAAGCTTGGCAGACTTCTCGTATAGAAAAATGGTCCGTTGTGTAAATGTAACGTTGGAACATTGTTTTTTAGAAATATTTGATCTGCTGAAGACCAACAAAACATCTACAGTTTTAAAGCTGTTGCTAATGTAATGAAATGAACAATGTTTTCAGACATGCCAGTACACATTCCATTCTTAAAAACTTCGGTTTTTTATTAAGCTGCTACAATGTCAAAGATCTGGATGCTTGTGTTGATAGTCTTGAATTTGGAGGGAGCAAGGAGTAACCAGTCATATGATCATGGTGACCTGACACCTTTCACCACAGATCTGAGTATTAATCTCCAGCTGTCTTGGTTTAAGTTGAAATATTGTCAAAGAAAGTCTGATCTAAATCTGTTATGAAATGAAGTTGCTGGAGAAATAATATAACAGACAATATCATGGGCCTTCTATAAAATCATGGGCCTCCTATAATATCATGGGCCTCCTATAATATCACGGGCCTCCTATAAAATCACGGGCCTCCTATAAAATCACAGGCCTCCTATAATATCATGGGACTCCTATAATATCATGGGCCTCCTAAAAAATCATGGGCCTCCTATATAATCATGGACCTCCTATAAAATCATGGACCTCCTATAAAATCATGGACCTCCTATAATATCATGGGCCTCCTATATAATCATGGGCCTCCTATAATATCATGGGCCTCCTATAAAATCATGGGCCTCCTATATAATCATGGGCCTCCTATAAAATCATGGGCCTACTATAAAATCATGGGCCTCCTATAATATCATGGACCTCCTATAATATCATGGGCCTCCTATAATATCATGGGCCTCCTATAAAATCATGGACCTCCTATAATATCATGGGCCTCCTATAATATCATGGGCCTCCTATAATATCATGGCGCATAAAAAATCAGTTTCATGTTACTCCTGTTGACTCGGATGATGGACATCCATCATTTAATAAAGTAAATTAGTTTTTCAACTGTGAAACATTACCTTTTGTACAGTCCATCCCTCCAACTGCGTACAGAACACCAACAGTAGACTTTCTGGGTTTGGTACGTGGACTCTGGAATGATGAGCGTCTCTCAGGAAGGAGGTGGTATTTGAGTGCCTCCATAATGAGGTATTGACACTCCTTGTCCTCGCGGAATAAGGCGTTTGTCTCCACATGGTCGGCGATGAACTGTATCCATATCAACACATTGAAATCAATGACTAACGACTATCAAAGAAGTGTACTAAAGATACCAGATAGTATCCTTCAACATAGACTGAATATAAGTAGAAAATAATATAACTATATCATCGAGCTCTTTTCTCCATTCCAGAATATGTTAATGACCCTAAGGGCCAACAATGCTGAAGCTCAGAAGACAGGTGCGGAGAGTCAAAACTGAGACATCCTAAGAAAAATCAATTCAGTTCTTTTATTGTGATTTTACAGAAATTATTAAACTGATAGAATCTGCAATCATTCATCATTTTCTGAAACTTATTCCCAAAGAATTTCAGAATGCAACAATTTTTAGACTCTCAAATATGATAGCATGACCAAATTGTTGATAAAGTTTTTCTAACATATTTCAAAATTGCTGCCCCACAATCCCTTCGTAATGGTCAGGAGACAACAGTAGACTTAACTTTTACAACTGTACAGATTCCTTAGTACTTTGATGAACAAGTAAAATGTTTGTATAAAGTTTACCTGAGGAGACATTAGTGGAAGACGAATATGAGACAGGAGTTTGGATAGAACCTTCTTTCTATTGGCCATATCATGTTTTGCCCACATAATGAGTGACTGGAAGATGGTCTCTTCATCGGGAACGTTTAAGTCATCATTTGACAACAGACGACAAACTTCTTCTGCGGGCAGGATCAGAAATTCCTGGTTCTGCATCACATGTACAAAGTTGTCCTGGAAAAAAGAGGTCAAAGTTCAATCAATTATATTTTATCAATTTCAATGTTAATCATTAAATCCTATCAAGCATTCATGTATACCATCAATGTGACAACCATTCAAGTTATTCTGTTGGAAGCCCCAAGGAGTTAGCTCCATACGGATTAGCTCCATCTAGTTTGTGTAATAATCTATGTCCTCATCAATAGGATATCTTACATGTAGATTGACAAAACAAGATGGAGTCAATGTTAGTTCAGAGTGAGTCGGTTGATAAGTGGGGCGCTGTAAGTTTGGTGTGGACATGAAAGAAATGTAGGGCGATAAAATCAAATTTTACAATTAATCCATGTAAGTGTCAGTCACAACAAACACCAAGCACCACCAGTAAGTGTCAGTCACAACAAACACCAAGCACCACCAGTAAGTGTCAGTCACAACAAACACCAAGCACCACCAGTAAGTGTCAGTCACAACAAACACCAAGCATCACCAGTAAGTGTCAGTCACAACAAACACCAAGCACCACCAGTAAGTGTCAGTCACAACAAACACAAGCACACCAAGCACCACCAGTAAGTGTCAGTCACAACAAACACCAAGCACCACCAGTAAGTGTCAGTCACAACAAACACCAAGCACCACCAGTAAGTGTCAGTCACAACAAACACCAAGCACCACCAGTAAGTGTCAGTCACAACAAACACCTAGCACCACCAGTAAGTGTCAGTCACAACAAACACCAAGCACCACCAGTAAGTGTCAGTCACAACAAACACCAAGCACCACCAGTAAGTGTCAGTCACAACAAACACCAAGCACCACCAGTAAGTGTCAGTCACAACAAACACCAAGCACCACCAGTAAGTGTCAGTCACAACAAACACCAAGCACCACCAGTAAGTGTCAGTCACAACAAACACCAAGCACCACCAGTAAGTGTCAGTCACAACAAACACCAAGCATCACAGTCACAACAAACACCAAGCATCACCAGTAAGTGTCAGTCACAACAAACACCAAGCACCACCAGTAAGTGTCAGTCACAACAAACACCAAGCACCACCAGTAAGTGTCAGTCACAACAAACACCAAGCACCACCAGTAAGTGTCAGTCACAACAAACACCAAGCACCACCAGTAAGTGGATTATCTATTGACCAATTCCTGTCTTGGTGCTCGGATGAAAGATGTTTTCCTGTTCTTTTACCTTGGTAACTTATTATATTTAAAATTATAAATAATATGTTTTACTGCATAGCGTACAAAAAGTCAGACCCACAGCAACATAACATGATAATTATGTGACACTCGAGCATCAGAACATCTACACATACATGTATAATTAGTTTTATCAACTGGCAACAATAAAACAAACTTTTATCTAATGACACAAATAACTTATAGCACTTTTCTTATTGTTGAAAAATTTGAAGTAAAAATAATGTGAAGGTAATTTGGAAACTGGTATACAGAAACATTATATAAAAGGAGACCTGCTATAACACCCAACAATCCAGGCAGTATCAGTGAGCTTTGTTCTCAGACACAGTACAACAGTATATACCACAGGTAACAGTGAAGGTCAATATGGCTCTCTTATCTGATTCCTAAGGACTGACATCAGTTAGAAGTGTGAGGCTGTGTTGTATCATTACTATAAGCTGTTCCAGAATGTGTGGGAATGTTTATGATCTTTTTAAGGAGCTATAAAAACTCTTCTGGTTTGGTTTATATGTGCTATTTATATAAACAGGTTGTTTGACACACAAGTCATATACATGTACTAGGACCATACGCACATCAGCACCAAACACTCTAAATAAAGCATATTTCATTACCTTATAGAATTTACAACACAACAGAGCAAAAACCTCGCAAATAAATAGCATTATGTTTCATATAGATTCAAGTCTTAAAGTAAAAGTCCTTTCCCCTTTCCTTGCCAGTTTTTGGTAAGGAACAATATTTGACTGTAATAGATAACAGACCTACACAATTCCCCCATTTTCTCCTCGTCTTCCTCCCCCCACCCTCTCCACCTCCTCTCCTCCAGTTTTTTAATGCAAAGTGGTGTAGGGTAAAATTTTTTTTGATAGCAAAATAAAGTTTATGTGCTCAAAAAAACAATAGATATGAAAGAACAATAGCTCACATGAGCCTTTAGCTTACTGAGCTAAAAGAGCTATTTTTTATGTTACATGAAAATTTCTATGATATCACATGATAAAGCTTATCTATGTATAGTGGAATAAAACCAAAGTTAACAGAAGGAAAGCAATTGTATAAAAACCTATTGTATTGTAGTACTCTGCGTTACAATAAATACAAATGTTTAGATATGAAAACAAAACATTTAACCTGTATACATGTACTTGATTTTATAGTTTCTATATCATTAACCATGACACTAAACATAGACTGTAGATCTAAAGGTTACACTCAAGTATTAAATATTCAGCACAGTGCCCTGCCAGAAGACATATACCAGAAAGAAAACCTTTGTATCTAAGATCTTCCAACTCTTCGACCAAATAAAATTCCACTATCACCTTTCTATCTGTATAATACCAACGATAGCTGTAAAGAATTGTCATCATCTAAATTTCTGTCTGAACTGCACTATAAACCCCACAACATATTTTTCTATCAATACACACGGGTAAGATACTGTAAAGTTACACAGCCATCTTATTTTGCACTATACCTCTATACTGTGAGAAGCAGATGAACACAACATTCATAATGCTTCAAGACTTGTGTTAAATTATCTTTAGTCTAAAAATATACAAAGTATAGTTTCCAAATCAGACAAACACCATTTTAAGAAGGCTGATTGCTTCTTATCTACCTGTAACTGATGAAAGTTGATGAATCTAATAGAAATGTCCACTAATACTAATAAATATACATCTATAATGGCTTGAGAGCTTGCTTCAGGTTTAGATGTCCTCAGACAATGAAAAAAATCCAAGAAGGCTATATACAGAATAACCACATCTAACCGACGTACAACATCAGTATTAATATATACTTATAGACATGTTTTAATCTAATATATCTATCAATAAATTCATAGTAACCATTTATAGTTGTCTAAACATCAATATCTGAGATTAAGATTCGACTTTACACCTACATCTGTGAGATTGAGGTTTGACTTAGCACCAACATATGTGAGATTGAGGTTTGACTTGGCACCAACATCTGTGAGATTGAGGTATGAATTAGCACCTACATCTGTGAGATTGATGTTTGACTTAGCACCTACATCTGAGAGATTGAGGTTTGACTTAGCAGCTACATCTGAGAGATTGAGGTTTGACTTAGCAGCTACATCTGCGAGATTGAGGTTTGACTTAGCACCTACATCTGAGAGATTGAGGTTTGACTTAGCAGCTACATCTGAGAGATTGAGGTTTGACTTAGCAGCTACATCTGTGAGATTGAGGTTTGACTTAGCAGCTACATCTGTGAGATTGAGGTTTGACTTAGCAGCTACATCTGAGAAATTGAGGTTTGACTTAGCAGCTACATCTGTGGGATTGAGGTTTGACTTAGCAGCTACATCTGAGAGATTGAGGTTTGACTTAGCAGCTACATCTGAGAGATTGAGGTTTGACTTAGCAGCTACATCTGTGAGATTGATTGTCTTAGGTTTGACTTAGCAGCTACATCTGAGAGATTGAGGTTTGACTTAGCAGCTACATCTGTGAGATTGAGGTTTGTCTTAGCATTTACATCTGTGAGATTGAGGTTTGTCTTAGCACCTACATCTGAGAGATTGAGGTTTGACTTAGCACCTACATCTGAGAGATTGAGGTTTGACTTAGCAGCTACATCTGAAAGATTGAGGTTTGACTTAGCAGTTACATCTGTGAGATTGAGGTTTGTCTTAGCAGCTACATCTGAGAGATTGAGGTTTGACTTAGCAGCTACATCTGAGAGATTGAGGTTTGACTTAGCAGCTACATCTGAGAGATTGAGGTTTGACTTAGCAGTTACATCTGTGAGATTGAGGTTTGTCTTAGCACCTACATCTGAGAGATTGAGGTTTGACTTAGCACCAACATCTGTGAGATTGAGGTATACTAACCAAACAATAAATGTACTCAAGAGCAATTTTAGAATTCAGAAAAACTCAATGAGGAAAGGTTGTTTTTCAGATAATCCGAGTCTCTATTAACACTATACAGATAATGCTACACCAGTTAGTCAGACATCACAAACATTCTCATCGGCAGAGATTCAGCCATTGGAAACTAAAGGTCAGCCATCAAACTTTTGTACAGAAAACATAAAATCAAATATAAGAGACTTATCAATCCTGATATATCTACAAAACACCAAAGATTGGTACCAAGGGAGTTTACTCTGTAATGTTCTCCACAAACAAAGATTGGGTAATACTCTTGTGACATTTTCACACCATCAATAACATATCTGACATTTTAGGCCACACATCATCAACTGTGTTGGCAGTAATCAATGGTTGTAGTCTGGTGGCAGTATTAACGCCTGCCAGAACTGAGCCTTGGGACGCTTTATATACTATCATCCCCTTGAGTGTGCTATACCAGCAAACAAAGCGTGTCTCGTCAGATATCAGACAAGTCCACTTGGTTGGCTCTAGAGTCTCTGATTGTGAATGAACAAAGTACATGTCTCTTCAGATATCCTATAGGTTTACTTGACTGGTTATGTGACCTCTACATTGTCAGGCAAAAGGTTTGTTTCATCTGATACCAAACTGCAGGTCTATTTCTGATCAGATGGTTCTAACCCCCATCCTGAAATGATAGGTCAGTGAAGCATAAGCCTTGTCTTTAATATAACATTCAACACTACAGTAACTATCTAGTCACACTAGAATCCATTGAGATAGCTTTGAAATCTGGTTTTAGCTTACCATGTAATCATGTCTATTCAAACCACTCTTGATAGTTAACCATAACTCATCAATGGCAACAGAAGATATTTGTGCAGATAATAGCGTTTTTGTCTATCTTTCAAACAATAAATTCTTAAGTCTATTTGAGATCAAAAGACAAACTTTATAGTGCTATCTCACTGAAATGTTATGTTAGACACTACACCCGTTGACAAGATTTCAGAAACTGCTGGATGATACAAGGTTTGTCTTTTTTTTCAAACAATGAGAGATAAACTTTGGAATGTTATTGCACCAACATGTCATCCCTCTTGCAAACCACAATAGCCCACAAAATATACTTGTTCATACAAGAGGCATAGTAGCCTTGACAGTCACCCGAGATAAGCAATATTGAATATAAAGGTTAAACGATAGTCATCAAGTTTTCTATGAAAATTACAGGAAAGTCTTGAAAAAATGTCAACCAGGATCAATATGGGCATACCATCAAGCCGTCATCCTTCACTCATAACTCTAACCAAGTTTGAAATATTTCCAATGGATATAAAACAAATTATGTTAAAAATTTATTTTTCCTATATTAACTATAGTAAATTTTACTCGCTCCCCATGGGGCAATGTGAGACCCTGGGGCCATGACAGTTTTGGTAAAGCACCTTAAGATGCTTCTATTCATGAAGATTATTTGATTCTACCATGTCTGAGTGTTGAAAAGAAGAATTTTAAATCTGAGTCAATTTGACCACTTTTGGCCTTGTCCCTCAGGCCTCTGTTGGGTTAGGACTGTATCATTCACAGTTTAGTTCGTCTAAGGCCAGGGAAGGTTTCTAGAAAATTTCATTGAAATCAGATCAGGGGTTTTTAAGAAGTCGAAAATGTTTAATTCTTTGTGGACGCAAGCGGCACTACACACGACGCCTGATGAGGGTGATTGCAATAGTTCACCATGAGACTTTGTCTCAGGTGACCTAAAAATCCTGAAACCATTTGTATGAAAACGAAGGTTATTAACAGTCTTTTAATGTTTGGAAGTGACTCTAATGCATTTTTATGATACAACCCAATGTAGAATTCTGAAGGGCAAAAAAAAAGAAATCAATTTTTTTGCAAATTAGTTGGACTTCCTTCCTGACAATCTTTTTCTGTAAGAAAACACTCCAGAAAATTTCCTGGACTATACAATTTTGAAATCTGAAGCTCCTCAGTTTTTCTGAAAGCACCAGAACTTGCAATAGTATGGATGACTTACCATGACGTAGTTGTTGGCAACTTTGTAAAGGTCTGTACAGCCCTGAGCGTCAGCAAATTGTCTGATCCCGATACAGTTAGAGGGGTGGAGCTGTTTCATGAGGAAGTTACAGCAGGCCTCCACAACCTCTGACAGCTGAAGTAAACAGGAAGTGGATAGCAGATTCTCCACTGTATCCTCTTGAAGTGATATGTTACCTACAAAAGATTTGTACAAAGAACTTCATTATCAAAGGAAACTATAATTATCCACAGTTTTGAAATGTCAAATATATATAAATTGTAATTTTTGGAGCTCAGGTATTTGAATCCTGGATTCCTGCTTATCTGGTGGGTTCACTCAAATTTTGAGAATCTATTATATATCTCAGTAACGAGATTCATTAAAATTTCAATTATTCTGGTCTCATTAGAAAAATCCTATAAAAACTGATATTTCCTTTTTCAAATCAACTTTGAAAACACTAAAAGGAAATGTGTATTTGTGTAGTTTGAAATAGCATTGAAAAACCCCTTTCACAAATTATCATTTATACTTAATTACACTTGAAGTATAAAAAATTCTTTTTGCACAAAATTAGTTTAAAAATATCCTAGATTGACACTAAGGACCAACCATTGAGACAGAATAACAGGAAGTATGAATGTATTAAGCATGAGTTAACGACAAGTACTGTGCTATCTGTCCAGTTTTAACATGGATTTGAATACATTTGTCTCTGACACACATATCACCAATGTCTGGATGACATGCGATAAAACAAATCTCCTGAAAATGATTTTTCTTTTTGACCTGACTTCTTTATCACAATATCAGAAAAAAATCACAATGTAGAAATTTCATATCAAAAATTCAATGGCCATGATTGTTTTATTTCATAAAATTTTGCCATCACCTTAAAAGAAAAATTATTTCTCACATATAAGCCATCAAAATTGCCATCTTAAAATTTGTCCACAGAAAATAAAGGTCATTTCTTTGTGGGGGAGGGGGTTCATTACCAAAATCCTAAACCAATAGATGATTTCTAACAAAAGAGAAAGAAACAGAGATAAAAAACCCTTTATCCAACCATATATCATGTTAGTTCCCAACAGTGCAGACAGCCAAAGTGCACAACTATTTGGCCCTGTCAGGCCCCTGTGACAAACAGACCATTGCCTGGAGCTAATTTAGGTGGTAAATCAAGGAACCTCCGGCCTAAAATTGCTAAGGAGTCACTAATGAGGCCGTTGGATGCCATTAAAGGCCTTAATTCTGATTTCTGTGTCAATTCACCTCTAGTGTCTCCCATCAGTTCACTGTTTTACGACCCTTGCAGTATAATGTGAGCAATTTCTGCCTCATTACAATGCTATATGCACCTAATGTTAAATAATCTGTTTAACCCTCCCACAACACCCAGTAAAGGTTCTTGAACCAAGTTGCTTTTTTTATTGTTGTTTGTTTTACTAGGGATATATGGCAAAGTAAGGAAATGAGAACATAAAGTCAATTGAAATATTTCAATAAAATTCTCCAAAATCCTTCAAAATCTCATATTTTGACCCAGAAATGGACAGAAAAATCTAACTCTCCATTTTTTTTTCTGAGTTAGAAACCCTATAAATTAAGATCTAACTATATACTAATCATTTAAATATTTCCTAAATAACTTATCTAAATGCAACATTTTAATCTTGATGGAAAGGTAACATCATGGTCTCAATTCTGCTTCGTCTTCAACATTCTTAATTTCAAACCTCCTTCCACTTCTTAGCTCCTATAACTGGTGTTAATATGAAATAGTTTATTTCTGGTTCAGGACTATAAGAGACCTCTATACCACACAAATACTGGTAAATACATTTTTCAAATACTTCTATCTGGTATACAAGTGTATTAAAGTCTAATATTTACTTTGCAATGTAATTACTTGTACTATGTAATTAGAATAAAAGTCTTGGATTTTCCTGTGATTATCATGATTATTTTTAAAGGAATAAACTTTTAATGGTGATTCAACATTTTCTGGTCGTTAATTCCAAATTTATGTTCCTGATTTCTGAACATTTTTATGTTTTGGCCAGAGCATCCATTGAAAACATTTCCTAGCCCCGAATGCGCCGTCCTTTTCCGAAATCTAGATTACATCCTGAACGTGCACCCCTTATGTCCTTTAAAATGTGTTTTGCATGTGCAGATATGAAAATGTGTAAAACTCTTTGTTCCATCATCCTTTAGCACATCTCTACTTAACCTCTAATCAAGTGTTAGAAAGGATCAGGTTCCCAATTAAGACGGAAACTTGACAGGGGCAGACAATTCTGAAAATCACATATCCAGGCCTGAAGTTTGATTAATCCATTGTTTGCAAGACGATCAGTCTGATTAACTAAGTTTGTTATTCAAGGTCCTGAGTAAATGATGGATAATTATAATGCCCATATCTCACGGAAGAACACCATTACCAAGTAAAATCAGGACCTCTTTAGCTTTTTATAGTTTTCAACGCTAGGACTCATCATGTATCAAGAATCAATTAATCATATAACATTAAGTTCAGATATAACTGACTCTGTAACATAAAAGAAATTTCGTGCTTATATATCACAATACTATGGATTAGTAAAGCAAAGGGCTTGTATAGAGTATCCACAATTGTTAGGACTGTGCCAATGTTTAATATGATTATCTTTTGATTCACCTAATCTTAAATGACAATGGAGAAATCACAGAATTATGTTTTTCATCGCTAAGGATATAGCAAGGAATAATTTAGGTATGCCCCCAAAAATTAAATTTCTGTTTAATATGATCAGAAATTGGTATTCACATAGTCAGTATGCAGAGTGTGGATAAAGAATATGGCTACTGATTTATGTTTAATTAAAATTGTCACAGAGGATTTAAAAAACATATCAAAAAGTTTTACAACCATTTATCTGACATAATAATATCGATAGTTTTACAATGATTATAATATCTAACTCTACAGTGTTGCTCTTTCCAAACATGAAGCGCAAGATGTGACAGCAGACCAGAAGATATCAAACAGAATCAATGCTGATCATGTGACGTATATGGGTATAATTGGCGGTGACAGATGTTTACTCTTAATAGGGTATTTAACAACCGTCTACTCCCAACATTAACTATGAATTTGAATGGTGACTGCATGGAATGATTATGGTGACACCCTATCAATAGTTAAGGCATTTGGAAGATCTCGAAAGAAAACTGTAACAAAACAAAAAAATGAAAGGTTCAAATTATCACTAGACAGACAATTATTGTTTTTATTAAAACAAATGAAAGGTTCAAATTATCACTAGACAGACAATTATTGTTTTTATTTAAAAAAATGAAAGGTTCAAATTATCACTAGACAGACAATTATTGTTTTTATTTAAAAAAATGAAAGGTTCAAATTATCACTAGACAGACAATTATTGTTTTTATTTAAAAAAATGAAAGGTTCAAATTATCACTAGACAGACAATTATTGTTTTTATTTAAAAAAATGAAAGGTTCAAATTATCACTAGACAGACAATTATTGTTTTTATTTAAAAAAATGAAAGGTTCAAATTATCAAACAGACAATTATTGTTTTTATTAAAAAAAATGAAAGGTTCAAATTATCACTAGACAGACAATTATTGTTTTTATTTAAAAAAATGAAAGGTTCAAATTATCACTAGACAGACAATTATTGTTTTTATTAAAAAAATGAAAGATCACATGTTTAAATTTTTGTGTATCCAAACTGACTGGAGGTTTACCCTATAATGGTATTATATTATAAGTTATCATTTATTGAATCAAAAAACAAGAAGCAAAATAGCACTTCACACTATGTCAAAAATTAACAAAAAGAAAGATTAACAAGAAGACTCTCTAAAAACAACAACAAACATATCATAGTGACCATAAACCTTTCTGTATTTATTTCTCAAAAACCTGAGGTTTAAGCTTATCTGTATGCAGTTGACATCTTTCCTGGAAATCATGGTATTCTAGTATTAACCCTTGAATGTATCTAGGAAAGTAGGGAAGTCACTATTAAGAAAACGAAAATACATACAGCTTTAAACAGTTCAATCTAATAAAATAAATATATGGATAATTGTTGAATCAACCTTGTTTAACCTAATTAATTGTAAATTCTGTGGTAATGTAACTGTGATACAAGTACAGAGATATTTACCCAGATAAAAGTTTAACCATTTTTGTCTTATATTTTTCTTACTTTAGTCATCTAACAATAACCCCATGCCTAGTAATAAGTCCGCTTGTCTCTGTTCATTTTTCTATCAGTAAAATTACAACGACATGCTATTTCCTTGTCGTGTAATAAACGATGCCCTGATTTGAACAAGATTACGTTAGTGTTAGTAGTCATCCCTAACCTATAACAGAGCAAACAGTGAAATTTATTCAAATGTTTTATTGTTATATTTCAATGAGTACAACGACCTGATTTTTTACAAAATGGACCTTCTTATAATAAGCCTCTTAGCTTGATCCTTATGTCCAACACGACACACTTGGACAGCTCACCACTTAGTTGGATGACAAGAGTGACAATTCTCTTATCATGTACCTTCCATATCCTGATATACAGCATTCACACTTCCTTCTTTCAGTAAAAACAAGCCACAGTTGGTTACATCACTCAGCAATGTCCCGACTTATACGTAACAATTTTCCTGATTGATAATAAGTTTATTAACTGATTCAGAATCTTATAAGATCCTCTTCATCGAGCTCAAAAACATGACATAAAAATTAAAATGAAAGTGAGTGTGACGTAACTTATTAATGTATCTTAGATCCATAATTATAGAGCAGTTCCTGATTTTGCCAATATTTATCCAGTCTGTTTATCAATATATCTACGGTCGGCGATATTACCACATTTTCTGGAAGACTATTCCAAACTTTTGCATTGCGTAGGGAAAAAATCTTCTTGCGAATATCTAATTTGGAATGTTGTGGAAGTATTTTCAGTTTTCAATACTTAAAATATCATCACAAAAAAACAAGGATTATGAAGTCTATACCATTTACATTATGGATTCAATTAACAGTAGATAGTCTCTCAGTAAGCAGATAGTTGCTACTGTCTTAGTACAAGAAAATGTCCAACACATGAATAATACTCCTGATCACATGTTAAGACAAGTATCACTCTTTGATAAACTTCGATAAATGATAACAACGATGACCTTGACCTGTGAATATTAGATGACAAATCATTTGCTTAGTACCAATTCACCAATGCTTTCAATGGAAGAAACAAAACACATAGAAATTGACCCCGAAATGTAATTCTTTTTGAAAAGTTGGTTGGTTTGAGTAGCTCATCACTCCCCTTCCTGAATCAGATGTGAACATTCAGTATGGGGACACCTGCCAGCAGTCAGACACCTCACGGTCTTTTCACCAACAATTTGGAGAGAATAATATAAGACATTGTCATAAATAAATTCCTTTTTCTGTTTTTCAATCAAGATAATGACGTTTTCTTTTCTTCTTTTTTTTTCAAACAAATATGAAAGGGTTTTTTTTAAATAAAAATGATGAAACATAAATTTCTTTTCATCATATCAACTTATGCTCCTTTTGGTTCCTCTATGTCAAATCACAATGATTACTTCCATACCATTTAAGATAAAGCTATTCTTCACATTTTTTTAGCAATTAATATCCAACAAGATATTAGTGATATTCATACATGAACTTTGACCTTAAAGGAGACTTCTATTACCTTGACCTTATAAAAGGAAATTATATGTATGTTTGTAAAACAGGAAATATAATCTTGTCTGTTTATCTATTTGGAGAATTGGGTATATGATAATCAATTCATCTAAATATGACAACAAATAATTATCAAAGCCAGACAACTATGTGTGAATCACATCTGCTTGGAAACTCTCATTATGCAATTGACAAAACAAATTGTTTATCTGCTGGTAAATTTGCAATTTCCGTGAACAAATTGATAGCACTTGCTGAGAGTGCTATCTAGACGCCATCATGCTATTGAGCTGTCCCAATCCAACACTGAATAAAACCATGATAAAACATAAAGGTAGCCATGTATGAATATGATATCAAGTCTGTGTCGCATTTGAGGTGATTGCATCCAGAAGTTTATTGGTGGAGATCCCTCCCCCAAGGGAAATATGGTCGACAAATGATCAGAATACACTTATTACTGATAGCAAATACCGTTTAGTGTACAAATCACAAACATTGGCCATCAACATTTTGACAGGTATAATACCATTAATGTATATTCCCTAATTACTGACACTATCTAACTGGATTGTCTACAGTGGGCTTCAATATCACTATCTATAATTATAACACAAATAAATGGTACATCACTTTAGTTAATTCAGAAACCAGGAAAACAGGATTAATAAAATATGCTTTAAAAGTTATATATCATTCTATTCCCATAATGGATGTAATTATCATCCTCAGTTTCCAAAAGCATAGTTTGCTTCATCAGAATGTATACACAGCAGTCAGTGCCATCATTTCAGACTCTAAATGATGATACATTTATATATTAAAACTTGATAAATTTTCTTTTCACCATAGAAAACCCAAGAACAAATGAAATGATTTAAGGAAAGGGGAGGATACGTAACATAAAAAAGTATCTGTAACATGTGAATTAGATGTTGTCATCTGGTAGCCTGCAAAGTAATCCCGAGTATGAAAGCTCCAGTCCAACACAATGACATTAATGAACAAAACATGTATGTGTGAAACTACTATATGAGAAAACAAAAGCAGCTGTCGTATGTATACTGTTTCATTCAACGGTACACACAGGAATGACAAACATGTATTCAATGGTTTACTCAGGACTGCTTCTCTTAGTGAGACTAAAATAATATGGTCTCATACTAGTAATTGTGTAATTGTCAACTCTATGTACATAGAAATGACAACTTGATTGCAGGAACTGTGAATTAACTCAAACAGGAATATCTGTCAATAATATTAACTAATGTATATTGTATCATAACTGGCCTGGACCTGAATACACGTAGCTCATAAATGCATTGCATAGTCTTACTTTAGATTTTTCTCAGTCACCTCCTAGGCTTCAAAATTTAGGTACTTAGCTCACTGACGATTCCTAGAAGGACGGAACAGCTGTGTGATGCAGTTTCATTCATTGTTTGTATCTAAAGTTTCCATGCAGGGGTGAGTTGACAGCTATGCTTGTAAAAGTAACACTAAGTATTACATATTCCAAAGTCTCTAAATGGGAAAGTATGTATCTTGATGCCTCCATTAGGATTCAAACCCAGGACCTCTGACTTACTGGTCTTGCTCTCAACCAATTGAGTCGGAGGGAAGATATTTCTCACTGTGCGGTACTTAGCTGCTAGTATTTTACCCGGGTAACATATAACAAAACTGGTTCCCTTTTTAAAAGATGACCTTTAACCTCTATCTGACCTACCTGTGTAAGAATAGTTCACAATGGCTACCATGGCGTCTGGATCAACATCGTTGATTTTGATTTCCTCCATAGTAGCCTCCCTTACATCGTTGGTAAACATTGCCGCAAAGTAATCCGATGCTGCACTGAGAACGAGTCTGTGTGCGGGAATGCGCTTGTTTCCCACAAGTAACACGACATCACACAGTTGTCGCTTAGAAACGTAGCCCTCCATTTTTTTCATCATTCTCTCAGCATGGTTCATGGAGTGGAAGGAGTCAGGAACATCCTCCATCCTAGTTGTGGGGAACGTAGCAGCATAGGTCTGATGAACCAGGTACCTAGAGAAACAACAGGAGAGATTAAACAAGAGATAGTAATGAGGTACATAGCAGTGTAGGTCTGATGGACCAGGTACCTAGAGAGACAACAGGAGAGATTAAACAACAGATAGTGATGAGGTACATAGCAGTGTAGGTCTGATGGACCAGGTACCTAGAGAAACAACAGGACAGATTAAACAACAGATAGTGATGAGGAACATAGCAGTATAGGTCTGATGGACCAGGTACCTAGAGAAACAACAGGACAGATTAAACAACAGATAGTGGCACAGACCAGTCTGACAGACCAAGTACCTACAGTAACAACAGGAGAGGTTGTACGACAATAGACAGTGATGAGGAACAACAGGAGAGGTTGTATGACAACAGACAGTGATGAGGAACCACAGGAGAGGTTGTACAACAACAGAGTGTGGTACAGAACTGTTTGATAGACCAGGTACCTACAGTAACAACAGGAGAGGTTGTACAACAACAGAGAGTGGTACAGTATCTACAGTAACAACTGGAGACAGAACGGTCTGATAGACCAGGTACAACTACAGTAACAACTGGAGAGGTTGTACAACAACAAGAGAGTGGTACAGAACAGTCTGATAGACCAGGTACCTACAGTAACAACTGGAGAGGTTGTACAACAACAGAGAGTGGTACAGACAACTGGAGAGGTTGTACAACAACTGGACAGACCAGTCTGATAGACCAGGTACCTACAGTAACAACTGGAGAGGTTGTACAACAACAGAAAGTGGTACAGACCAGTCTGATAGACCAGGTATCTACAGTAACAACTGGAGAGGTTGTACAACAACAAAGAATGGTACAGAACGGTCTGATAGACCAGGTACCTACAGTAACAACTGGAGAGGTTGTACAACAACAGAGAGTGGTACAGACCAGTCTGATAGACCAGGTATCTACAGTAACAACTGGAGAGGTTGTACAACAACAGAAAGTGGTACAGACCAGTCTGATAGACCAGGTACCTACAGTAACAACAGGAGAGGTTGTACAACAACAGAAAGTGGTACAGACCAGTCTGATAGACCAGGTATCTACAGTAACAACTGGAGAGGTTGTACAACAACAAAGAATGGTACAGACCAGTCTGATAGACCAGGTATCTACAGTAACAACTGGAGAGGTTGTACAACAACAAAGAATGGTACAGAACGGTCTGATAGACCAGGTACCTACAGTAACAACTGGAGAGGTTGTACAACAACAGAGAGTGGTACAGACCAGTCTGATAGACCAGGTATCTACAGTAACAACTGGAGAGGTTGTACAACAACAGAAAGTGGTACAGACCAGTCTGATAGACCAGGTACCTACAGTAACAACAGGAGAGGTTGTACAACAACAGAAAGTGGTACAGACCAGTCTGATAGACCAGGTATCTACAGTAACAACTGGAGAGGTTGTACAACAACAAAGAATGGTACAGAACGGTCTGATAGACCAGGTACCTACAGTAACAACAGGAGAGGTTGTACAACAACAGAGAGTGGTACAGACCAGTCTGATAGACCAGGTACCTACAGTAACAACTGGAGAGGTTGTACAACAACAGAGAGTGGTACAGAACGGTCTGATAGACCAGGTACCTACAGTAACAACTGGAGAGGTTGTACAACAACAGAAAGTGGTACAGACCAGTCTGATAGACCAGGTATCTACAGTAACAACTGGAGAGGTTGTACAACAACAAAGAATGGTACAGAACGGTCTGATAGACCAGGTACCTACAGTAACAACTGGAGAGGTTGTACAACAACAGAGAGTGGTACAGACCAGTCTGATAGACCAGGTATCTACAGTAACACCTGGAGAGGTTGTACAACAACAGAAAGTGGTACAGACCAGTCTGATAGACCAGGTACCTACAGTAACAACTGGAGAGGTTGTACAACAACAGAGAGTGGTGCAGACCAGTCTGATAGACCAGGTACCTACAGTAACAACAGGAGAGGTTGTACAACAACAGAAAGTGGTACAGACCAGCCTGATAGACCAGGTATCTACAGTAACAACTGGTACAACAACAGAGAGTGGTACAGACCAGTCTGATAGACCAGGTACCTACAGTAACAACTGGAGAGGTTGTACAACAACAGAGAGTGGTACAGACCAGTCTGATAGACCAGGTACCTACAGTAACAACTGGAGAGGTTGTACAACAACAGAGAGTGATGAGGAACAACAGGAGAGGTTGTACAACAACAGAGAGTGGTGCAGACCAGTCTGATAGACCAGGTACCTACAGTAACAACAGGAGAGGTTGTACAACAACAGAAAGTGGTACAGACCAGCCTGATAGACCAGGTATCTACAGTAACAACTGGAGAGGTTGTACAACAAAAGAGAGTGGTACACAATGGTCTGATAGACCAGGTAACTACAGTAACAACTGGAGAGGTTGTACAACAACAGAGAGTGATGAGGAACAACAGGAGAGGTTGTACAACAACAGAGAGTGGTACAGAACTGTCTGATAGACCAGGTATCTACAGTAACAACTGGAGAGGTTGTACAACAACAGAGAGTGGTACACAATGGTCTGATAGACCAGGTACCTACAGTAACAACTGGAGAGGTTGTACAACAACAGAGAGTGGTACAGACCAGTCTGATAGACCAGGTATCTACAGTAACAACTGGAGTGGTTGTACGACAACAGACAGTGATGAGGAACCACAGGAGAGGTTGTACAACAACAGAGTGTGGTACAGACCAGTCTGATAGACCAGGTATCTACAGTAACAACTGGAGAGGTTGTACAACAACAAAGAATGGTACAGAACGGTCTGATAGACCAGGTACCTACAGTAACAACAGGAGAGGTTGTACAACAACAGAGAGTGGTACAGAACTGTCTGATAGACCAGGTACCTACAGTAACAACTGGAGAGGTTGTACAACAACAGAGAGTGGTACAGACCAGTCTGATAGACCAGGTACCTACAGTAACAACTGGAGAGGTTGTACAACAACAGAGAGTGGTACAGAACGGTCTGATAGACCAGGTACCTACAGCAACAACTGGAGAGGTTGTACAACAACAGAAAGTGGTACAGACCAGTCTGATAGACCAGGTATCTACAGTAACAACTGGAGAGGTTGTACAACAACAAAGAATGGTACAGAACGGTCTGATAGACCAGGTACCTACAGCAACAACTGGAGAGGTTGTACAACAACAGAGAGTGGTACAGACCAGTCTGATAGACCAGGTATCTACAGTAACAACTGGAGTGGTTGTACAACAACAGAGTGTGGTACAGACCAGTCTGATAGACCAGGTATCTACAGTAACAACTGGAGAGGTTGTACAACAACAAAGAATGGTACAGAACGGTCTGATAGACCTGGTACCTACAAAAACAGTAAAGGTTATAATACTTACAGCTACAGTAATTAAATAAATAAATACTGGAAAGTATCAACCTTTTTGTTCATCACTCTAGGGTATCTCCTATCAGACATTACATATAACATTGTTGATAAAACTATCTTATCATCAAACATTTATAATAATCTGTATCATCACATATCACTTACAATGTACACAGGAAACAATACACTGATATAGGATTGATATGATTGTTGTATAGATTTGTCTGAAACTGTCCACATGGCTTTCGTTCTCCATTAAACACCTCAGCTCTGTTCATGACTTGCATTTCAATATGTTGCAGCAGCAAGCTGCACTTGTAATGATAATTAGTTTTGCCTGCCTGCTGCTCAGAAAATGTTTCTAAATCAACACAAATCTTCCATTTCAAAAATTATACAAGTTTTTTTCACTTCCATTTTTTTTCTCTTCCTCTTTTGCTTTAAACTTTTTAGACAAGTGATATATTCCTCCCTCTTTTTATCACTTTTCCACACCAAATCTCTGTATCTAATTCTATTACCTCTTATCAACCCTGTCCCCTTTCCTCATTTTCAATTTTAACATCTTCAACAAGCTCCTCTCTCTCTCCTTTACTTTATTTCTCTACCTAATCATCTTCATTTCACCCATTTTTCCTCTATTGTTCCTTTTATCAACCTCTTTTCTTTCTTAATGAAACCAAGAAGCATACATACAACTATACTATCTAACCTGTAAGTGGTCAAATTACTTCTGGGGATTTAGGACCTAACAATTAAGCAATGCCAGTATACCATCATTGTTAGTGATGGGCTGATGAATGAAAATTTATCAAATAAGGAAATGAAACCAATTAATCCAAATAAGGAAATGAAACCAATTAATCCAAGCTAAAAATCACAGAGACAATTAGTCGATACAGTTAATTAGCTTAGAAGCAGAGATCTCAGAAATGCCGAGACTAGTTGTAATTTCTTCCTTAGATTGTCCATTTAGAGGTAATTTGTAACTAAGTCTTTTATCAGTGGATTTCAATAAGTAGGAAATACTAATTCTGGTACAGCAACAGATACTTCAATAAATAATTTAAAATTATACAAATTTTTTTTTAATGCAAGAAGCAAATTAAACAACTAAGAACTCAAATTGTTTGAAGACAATTCATTACTTTAATAAATAACCAATTGATTATGCATTTTAATTTATTGATTATGAAACTGGAACCAATTTTCCAATCACTATTTATCAATAATCTCATACTTCTATTTTAGACTATTGAATTTAATTCCAACACTGATCCCAGCCCCCTAGCCAGGGGAAATAGATGATATAGTGATGACAAGTGTTCAACAGAGACAGAAGATCTTGGAGAAGTTACTCGATGTTTTAGTTAACAAGCATGCTGCTCATTAGTATCATCTAAACCTGCATTCTATCACAGCGAGAGTGTGATCAACTTGATGAACTTAAAGACCACACACTTTGTACCAGTATCTAAGTATGTTGCAATCAACGGGATGTTTACATTAATTGTAAATAAAGAACAATGCTTGACATAAACAATTACATCATACAGGCTTTCTTATCTATTCCATACATGTGGTTAATCTTTAGGTGATAT